CTCTCTCTATATATATATATATATATATATATATATATATATATAGGGGTGTGATTCCATGGGAGGGGTTATAACCCCCCCCCCCCTTTCCTACGCCACTGGTTTAGTTTAACATGAAAACTAGTCGCGTAAATGGCTCCAGTTAGCACGGCGGTCAAGAGAGACAATAATAGCTGCGCCAAGAGATAAACTTATCTCAAGTCAAGAATCAGCCCCTTATATATATCTGGCTGATTATTCTGGTGTTAAAGGTCCTTCCGACTCAGGAATTATAATACTTCCTTAATACTTAGTATGCGAGAAAGAAAAAAAAAATTTTAAATCTAGATTACCAAGGGAAACAACCTGCAAATATTTTAACAAAAGTTGTGTAACATATAGAAACTATTGTAACAACAAGAAAGATGAACCGTTGCTATTTTAAAAATTAATTTAAGACAATTATTAAAAACATTTTATAAAAATTAGTCCTATCTTTATACTATATACATTTTATAATACTTGTTTTTAGTTTAATTAAAATAGGAAACTTTTAGCTTTATTTAATGTTACATCTTTAAAATAGCGATAGCTATTTTAATCGCATGCACACTCGATTGCAGTCCTTCGTGTAATCCTTGGATCATACTAATCATATTTGCTGAACTATAACATATTCGATACTGGCTTTCATTTTTTTAAATTAGGAGATTTGTAAATAATGGGAATGTATACATATATATATATATATATATATATATATATATATATATATATATATATATATATATATATATATATATATATATATATATATTCAATAATAAATATTATAATTTATTAGAAATTGGTAATTAAGTTTAGACAAATTGCAATATATATATATATATAACTAAGCTAGTTAGTCTACTTCTAAATATGTTAATTTTTTAAAATTAAAATTACCAAGGGAAACAATCTACAAATATTTTAACAAAAGTTGTGTTTAAAAAAGCAATTCTATATTAACAAAAAGAAAGTTAACCTTTTTAATTTTTATTTCATTTAAGATAATTATTAAAAACACATATAATAGTTATTCCAATCTCTATACTGTATACATTTTATAATACTTTTTTAAATTCTAGTTAAAATAGGAAAGTATAAGCTTTATTCAATACTAAATTTTTAAAATAATAGTTAGCTGTTAGTATAAAATTACTACTACTATGCTGTAAATGAGTGTTTAACCTTTCCCCTAGCAATGGAAAAAAAAAAGCATTGAAAAAAAACAAGTAATAGATTTTATTTTTATCTGCAGATCCCACTAGAATTGAGAGACAACGTTTAAAAAATCATTTTTTTTATTTTTTTAATTTTGTTGTCTAGGTTGGATAAGCAAAAGAAACTAACAATGTTCAGAGAAAAGAAAAAAAATCTCCCTAGAGTCGGGGGCCGACAACACACTCGAGGTCTAAATAAAAAAAAATCAACACATGTTGTTTTTAATTATTTATTTAATATTATTTTATTCAGGTATTATTTAATATCAAATTGATACACTACACATTATTAGTGGGAATGGAGAAATTGTTTCTTGGATGCCAGAATAGCAGACATTTTTGGCTTTAGATTTGATGTCCCTAACCATCAACATCAACAGTGACCTGAGATTATCATCGGATAAGTTTGTATTCAAATTGTTCTTCACTTATTTCATTCTTAAAAAATGTCTGTTCATACAGGTATGTTGCTCCCAAAATTGAAAGGTACCTTGATGCAAAATTTTTGACATTAGAAAAGTCTCCCTTGGACAAAAACTTGTAAAACCCACCAGTCCTTCATAGAACTTGTCCCTAGCGGTAACAGTGCCGTACGTGATATTTAGGGAAGTCATCATGTATCTGCCATCAAAGCAACATTATACACACCGTTGGGGAATATTTAGGGAAGTCATCATGTATCTGCCATCAAAGCAACATTATACACACCGTTGGGGAATATTTAGGGAAGTCATCATGTATCTGCCATCAAAGCAACATTATACACACCGTTGGGGAATATTTAGGGAAGTCATCATGTATCCGCCATCAAAGCAACACTATACACACCGTTGGGGAATATTTAGGGAAGTCATCATGTATCCGCCATCAAAGCAACACTATACACACCGTTGGGGAATATTTAGGGAAGTCATCATGTATCTGCCATCAAAGCAACATTATACACACCGTTGGGGAATATTTAGGGAAGTCATCATGTATCCGCCATCAAAGCAACACTATACACACCGATGGGGAATATTTAGGGAAGTCATCATGTATCCGCCATCAAAGCAACACTATACACACCGTTGGGGAATATTTAGGGAAGTCATCATGTATCCGCCATCAAAGCAACACTATACACACCGTTGGGGAATATTTAGGGAAGTCATCATGTATCCGCCATCAAAGCAACACTATACACACCGTTGGGGAATATTTGTATACCGGAGAGGTCTCAAATCAAAGACACTTCGCACGAGGATACTCAACAGTTCTCGTTGAACTAAACCAGACCGTAGCGAGTTGGGGCGTGGTACATATGCCCCCGGCGCCGACCTTAGGGGGCGCCAAAATGGGTTGGAAAAACAAATTAAAATATAATTTTAGCTGCATTTTTGCATTTTTAATATAATTAATATATGGGGGGTGCAAATCGAAAATTCGCGGGGGGGGGGGGGGGGGGGGGGGCGGGTGTGCAAATAAAAAGTTAGTAGAGGTGGCAAAAATTTAAAGTTGAAAGGTTGCTCCCTAGGGGGCGCCAAATTGACAGTTTGTCCCCGGGCGCCGGGAACGGTCGCTACGCCTCTGAACTAAACATATAACCATGACAAACACAAGAGATAGGAATCCGACGGGGGGGGGGGGGGGGGTGATAGTCTTGATCGCCAACGTAAATTCCTATCTCACAAGAACAGAAGAACACGTTTCTAACATCAAAGGACCCGTTATAAGTAGACGATTCAAAAATCAATAGTCTGTACTGGAAGTTAACGTTGTGACGACATTTCCAAGAGTCGAGTGCAAGACAAAAGATTTGACACGTAATAAACAACTGTTTTTCTTACATCAGACCGTCGTCACGTTACACTAATCAATAGTCCTAACGTATGGTCAAAATAAGGCTCTTCAGTTTAATGGTTCTTGGAAGATCAATGACGTATATCAAACAAATAGGGCTGAAGTGTTGTCTAAAATTAGCTGTATCGTGACGGCGTTGTATTGACGCAAAGATTGCGGGGTAATGATTGGATTAAAACATTTTGTTAATGATGCCAGAACAAGCAACGTTATAACTAAAACAGGCACGGAATCGGGACTAGGGCATTACCCACCCCTTACCAAATTTCACCCCTCCCGGAGTAATAATCCGATGTCAATTATCCTTATGTAAATTACCCCCCCCCCCCCACACCCCCTCCCATATTCAGTAAGACATTACCTTCACCCTCGGTTAACAGCATAAGGAATAGTTAGGGTTATAATTAGGGCTAAGGTTTGGGTTAGGCCAAGCGTAAGGGTTAGGTTTAACGCTAGGGCTAGGGTGACACCATGTCAAAAAATTGCAAAATGTGCAGAAGAAAAATGCTTTTTGCCAGTTGCATTTAGGAGTAATTATGCTGCATATATTTAAATTATAAGCCTATGTAGGCCGACACACACACACACACACACGCGCACACACACATACACACACACACACACACATTGTATATTTATATATATATAAGATAGTTTCACGGTTGAATAAACTCGAACCAAGGTACGTGTTGTGTAGAGCTGGCGAATGTTACGTCTGATCCCCTAGTTTAGTTGTGTATGGCTTGTGATGAGTTGTTACATGGTTTATACAGTATGTGCAAAACATTTCACGTACAAAACCTTAAATTTTCAAATAAAACATTTCATACAGCAATCGAAATTCTAAAAAGTAAAAACTTTATATAGTTAGTGTGATTTCAATAAAAAGTGGTTTTAAACTTTAATCAATGTTAGAAGAAAAGGTGATCAAACTGTTATTGTATCAGGTAAGTTGGGCTGTTTTATTGTTGTTTAGATTGTTTTGCTAGAAGACAAAGCAAATAACGATTTTAAAAAATGGCGTATCAACTTACTTTTATAATATCTAACTGTTAACTTTGTATGATTGCATTTTTCCTTTTTGTGTTCAACCAATCAGCAATACACTATTTTGTTTGCCTTTGCGTTGTGTTTGTTTCAGTGTTGCGTTTGCGTTTGCGTTTGTGTTTCGTTTTCGTTTGTGTCTTGTTTGCGTTTGCGTTTCCATTTGTGGTTGCGTTTGCGTATGTGTTTGCATTGTGTTTGTGTCTGCGTTTGTGTTTTCTTTTCTTTTTGCGTTGGTGTTTGTGTTTTCTTTTTTTCTGTTTGTGTTTGTAGTTGTGTTAACGTTGTGGTTGCGTTAACGTTGTGTTTGTGTTTGTATTTGTGTTTATGTTTTGCGTTTGTGTTTGCCTTTGTGTTTTTGCGCTTGCTTTTGTGTTTGCGTTCTAATTGAATGAGTTCTTGCGTTGTGTTTGTGTTTCTGTTTTCTTTTGTGTTTAGTTTTGTTCCGTTCTTAAGTTTTTACATTTAAAGAAGATTCACCGTTTCACCGTGCGGGAGCACGGGTATGCAGCTAGTATAGATATATAGACTAAATAGGGCACTTTCAATAACATGTGTCAACAAAAAAAAATATAACACCAATTAATTTAATGTTTTTGTTCCCAGTGTTTAATTGTTCACATAATTGTCTTTTTATATTTAGATTTCACTACAACAATGATTATGTAGGGATTTTTATTATTATTATTATGGTTAAATGTATCACTTAGGTGATATTTTTCTGAAATTCTGCTCAGGGTTTACTCAGGTTTAAAGTAAACTTATCCACTTTACGTGTCGAGCGATCCAACCCCACGTTCAAACATCTTGTGGTCGTCACTAATACCATGTGACATGCTCTGATACACACGGGTCGGTGTAGGTACGGTGATGTCGTAAGGCTTTTGTATGGACAGATCCGCTTCTTGCCGTTGAATGACATTCCTAACAGCCATTTTGTTTATGTTGAGGAAGTGTAGAAAGGGTAAAGCATTCAAGTCGTGTATCATCATATGATTTTTATTCCCTGGAAAATATTTTTACACGACACACACAGGGGAGAAGTAAGTTTAAAAAAAAATATTGATAAGTATATTAATGTTGTAATTGTTACACTGTTGCCTTTGTAATTAAGATATAAGCATTAAGGGCTACGTTTATTTTTTATAATTTGTGATATTATTACACAGCAAAATAATAATATTAGACAATGCATAGAACAAATGGTGTATCATTGGTGAACGTGTAGAGGGGTTATAGCTGGCGTTTTAGCAAGCGGGATCCGAACCTACTATTCCATCCGGCACCAAATCACCTCAAATTTAATGCATCAAGTCAGACCTTTACCCACTTTAGCCAATCAGTTGTAGTAAAAAACAGTGGCGTAGCGAGGTCGGGTGTCACCCGGTGCGGCACTTAATGGTGTCACCCCCTAGAGGCGTAGCGACCCTTCCCGGGGACAAACTTTCAAATTTTTGATTTGCACCCCCCCCCCCTCGAACTTTCGATTTGCACACCCCCCCCTCAAGTTTTCGATGATTTGCACCCTCCCTCGAACTTTTGATTTGCACCCCCCCTCAAGTTTTTCTCTATATATTTTGCTATTTTTTGCCTTGGTGTCACCCCCCTAAATGGTGTCACCCGGTGCGGTCCGCACCCCCCGCCCCCCCTCGCTACGCCCCTGGTAAAAAATAGCTTCCTTGGCTGTCCACTATCTTAGCGTGTACGCGGAAGACACCGAAAGGTTTCAACTGACCGATGGCCTCATACACAAAACAAGAAATACTCGCACCACACAAACGACACACCAGTACAGATACGATGCTGCTGGGTCAGTAGTGTCTTATTTGTGTTGACTGTCTTTCGTAGCTTTAAAATTACTTAAAAATAACGTTATGAAGTCATATTTTCACCCTCACCCCCTCTCCTACAAACACACACAATTGAAACTTTGTCACTTATATGAACATGATTGGATTTATTTAAAAAAGGAATGTTTAATTTTGAAAAAAATCCTTTGTAAAATGTAGGGCAAGTATGTCATGGTGCATTCACATTTAGTTCCTTTACTTCCCCTTGCTCAAATATCTTCACAAAAATTCAACCACCTGCTTATGTCATCTATCCCCGACTGCTTTTATTTACCACTCGAAATAATCACTTAATTAAGTGGAATTATCATTATTCTCTATATAATTTGATATTTTTTGGTTTGGTATCAACCCCTAAATGGTGTCACCCGGTGCGGTCCGCAACCCCCCCCCCCCTCGCTACGCCTCTGAGCAAATCCACCCCTGCTCAGATTTAACATTTATTATTAGATTCATGAACTAGATAAATACATTCTATAATTCAATATTGACTTAATTTCTTTTGATTAAACTGTAGGTGTGAGTCTGTTTATCTTTAGGTAAGGTAACTTAAATAAAGTAGATTTAGATCTATTAAAATACCAGTTATATTTTAGAATTGTGTAGAGAAATTAGGCAGATCTGGAATCATTTATTTAGTCTAGATTTTGTATTCAATTAATAACGTAGAAGTAAGCATATCTTTATTTATTCAAAGCCACAGTAACTATTCAAATCAAGATTATTACTAAAAAGATTTTAATTTGTTTGTTATTATTTAGTTAAAAGAGTCATTAAACAATTGAATAAGTTCATTGTGTTTAGTTCTATTGACCAGAAAAATTTCTAATCTTTTTATAAAATGCTAGTTTAAAAAAAAAATAAGGTTATACGATAATTATCACTTGTTCACGGTTTATAATTTGTTAGACTGCTAGATCGAGTTGTAAAAGAAAAAAAAATTAAAACTCCAAACATCTGTTTATAACTTTTATCTTTTATAAAAAAAATGTATCAGATCAAGATTATACTGCCGACCAATAAAATTGGATTCTTATAACATTAACTAGATAAAATATTAATTATTACCTTCTGGCTAAAACAACTTGGTATTGACATTTTAATCGAAGCTAGATAAACTATAAAATACGAGCCGACCCACGGCGTAGCATACGCCGCTATTTAGTTGTTTTACTTTCTACTTTTCAGTAATTCATAATTTGTGAATTCGACACTACCAATGTTGCACCTGAAAAACACTATTAGTAGCTGTAACCCCACCCTCCCTTCCCCCACCGTGAAAGCAGCCTCTTAGTTACCTCCCCTAAGTTTCAAATTGTTTAAAACTAAATTATCTGCCCCTAATTGCCGTCACTAAACCCGGCTCTATGATTGTAAACATTTAGCGTGAACCACAGTTCACCAGACTGCTGGGGGTGGGGGTGGTAGCGATGTGCCTAGGAACGGCTAAGAGCTTACGTGGTGGTGTCTCGCATGGTCCCCACGTAGATAATTATATATATATATATATATATATATATATATATATATATATATATATATATATATATATATATATATAAACTATTTGGTTATTAAATGTATTGAATTATTTCAGATAAAAGTTTGATGTAAGTCTTATATAAATATCAAAGGTATTAAAAACAACTAGGACAAGACTCAAGGACTAAAGTGATGGCAAGTAATGATCTGTCAAATCAATGTACAGGTAAATTTGTTGATATCATAAGAAAACATATGAAAAGTAAGATATGCTAGTCATAATTGCTAGTTTCGATGTGAATAATATGTGTATGTCAGATCATTATGTTGTATTTATCAACAGGAAGCAGCATAGACGACCACAGCAATATGGCAGACGAACAAGGCTGTTCAACACATTTTACAGGTATTGTCTATTTATTTTATTTTTATGTAGAATCTAAAACGAAAACAGTATCAATAGTGCTGTTAAGTGGTTTTGTTCTGATGTAGCCTTTATAGTGAAAAACGATGTAGTTTTTTGATTGGATGGTGGGTGATAGTTTAGATCAGGGGTCTCCAAACTTTTCAGTCCGAGGGTCGCATTAACTATCGCATTTCAGTTCGGGGGCCAGTTTCTTCCAGGCATGCCTCTGATTTTTCTGGGCAAAATTCCTCAGCCATCACCAACAAACGCTTTTTCCGTGGACTAAAAGATCTCCGCGGGCCGGATGAGAGGACATCGCGGGCCGCATCTGGCCCGCGGGCCGTAGTTTGGAGACCCCTGGTTTAGATGGTTATGTCAGCTGTAGGTCATAGATCGTTACTACGTTTTGTCAAAATTTGACAGCGGATAAAATAATTACAGTAATGACATTGTTTTATTTACCTGTACAGGTACATATGAAGTACAAGAGTGTCTTGAAGGCCAAAGTGAGGTAGATCTACACACATACAAGTTAAACTGTGAGAAAAATCCAGGCCATAAAAAATTTATACCTGTAAATAAGTTATGTGTCAAACATTTTCCTCCCGGATACCAAGACAATGATTTATGTGACGTCATAAAAGCCGCGGCAGACCTAACAGTCAGGATAGCCGTTGAGTTCACTAGTCCAGACAGACCAGAGTTTATACCGGGCACTACAGATACATATCCTGGCTACAGCAACAGGGAAAAGAACTCGATGTTTACAGGGACTGGATTGGTGTGGAACGTGACCAAGCACACAGTGGAAGATGATGGCAACACTTGTCCATGTCCTGAAGACGTCCATTCGCACACTCCCAGCAAAGTGTGGTGGGAGGTTGGTGTGCAGACGGCCAGACATGTGGTTTTTGATGAGAGTGAGGCGAAAAAGTCCAGCTGTAGGTTGTGGTTTGATGAGGATGAAAGTCCAGTGGTCAAATTGCATGGGTGGAAGGAAGTTACGTCAAACACTGAACGAGACTGGTTTGTACTGCAGTGTGTGACACATGATGCAAATGTAGTTACAAAATTGGAGGATATGATTAAGCGGTTTAATGGACTACATGAAAAACTGTGTGTCAAATATGAGAGTCTTAGAGATGTGGACAAGCTCATCATTATAGTGTCACATCCTCATGGCTGTTCTAAGCAGGTCTCTGTGGGTAAATGGGTAGAGAGGCAGGTGATTTCGGGTTATCAGACCAAGTACACGTACGATACGTGTACCTGCCCTGGTAGCAGTGGGGCTCTTGTCTACAGAGTAGGGTGTGGCAGGTCTAAGCATCCCCACAGTGGAGCTAACACTGACCCTAACTCTGTTGTGTTAAATTACAGCGGGGTGATGTTGGACTAAGACTTGTAATTGTCTGCACTTGTCAAGGGTCGGCGTGGTCGAGTCGGTGAAGCTCATGGTTGCTAAACCGAAAAATCTCGAGTTCGAACCCTCGGGCAGATGAGGCTCGTTAGCTGGGGACAGCAATCAACTGCTGCCTTGTAGTTTGTTCTTGGTTAGACAAAGGCTATTGAAGCAAATCCAAAAAGAAAAGCAGGCTGAAATCGGAGTCAATGGCCTCAATGGCGCATAACCAGTTGACACGTATCCTTAATTGTGGTGGAGGCGTGGTCGAGTCGGCAAAAGCACATGGTTGATAAATTCGATAAAGTCTCGAGTTCAAACCCTCTGGCAGATAACGCTTGATCCCTTCCAACACTAAAAATTAAGAACGAAGAAGAAGAAGAAGTCTGCACTTATCTGCATTGGTATGGAATGTAAACAAGCATAGCTTCTGCTTTTAAAAATATGTTTTAATATATTATTGTAGACCTATCTAGATTAATTTTAAATACTGGTATATTCTAATTGTAAAATACTTAAAGGAAAGTTATGAAAATAGGCAGTAAAACCTGCAAATAGTCTTGTTTCTTTCTTTGTTTGATTGAGAGTGGGAGACAGAAAAAAGAATTTCGTGAAAAAAATTGTTAATAAAATGTAAATAATAATTTTTTGTTGATTCATTTATTTATTTATTTGTACGCGTTTAGAATAAATCTAATCTTGAGCTAAAGTTTGGATCTAGCGACTCTCAATGTACATCAAAGATAAATAAATGTACTTTTTACAAGCTTTTATTTAACTCACTACCTCTGTCGTCAGTCTGTCTAGATCGAAACGCCCGAGCGAAATTACAGGCACTTCTAACTGACTGATACGGTTCGTAGTTGGTAGGTGGGTCAAGACATGAAGACAATGCAACTTGGTGTATTAATAGAAGCTCGATCTCAATTTCTGATTGGATCGGTTTAAAAATAGATGCTAATTGCATCATTTGCAAAGTGACGAAACTGTACAGAACAATTTCCTCGCGTTACAAAGTTATTTTTAGAGGTGTGACTTTTATTTTTGATTTAAGTTACCCTCCTAAAGTAATTTTTTACGGAAATATTTTCATTATGTTTGCATTTAAGTTGTGTTTATTGTTATGAGTGTTGTGTTTGTGTTTTCGTTTATGTTTTTTTTTGCGGTTGCATTTGTGTTTCCATTGTGTTTGTGTTTTCATTTGTGTTTGTTTTTGCGTTTTTTCTTTTGTGTTTGTGTTTGTGTGTTGCGTTTGTGTTTTCGTCTGTGTTTGCATTGTACTTGTTTGCATTGTGTTTTTGTTTTCTTTTGTGTTTGTATTTGCGTTGTGTTTGAGTTTTTGTTTTGTGTTTGTGTTTAGTTTAGTTTTGATCCCTAGTTGGTACATTTCAAAAACGATTTACCGTGGTGGAGCACGGGTATGCAGCTATTATATATATATATATATATATATATATATATATATATATATATATATATATATATATATATATATATATATATATATAAAACAAATAATGAATATAAAATATGATATTTTAAGCCATATTAGTACTTTATAACTGCTCAACTGAGGATCTAAATATTTTTTCAGCTACGAATTTCACCATACGAACGTATCAAATTTTATATTATTTCGTACAATAAAAGCCTAAATTAGATTTGATTATGATTTTTTCTTAGACCGCCTAATAGTTTGTCGGTCTAGTGGTCTGTCGAACTCATTGATGTCTGCTTTTTTATGCCGGCCATATGTCAAATCGGCACTTTTTATGTCGGCCTTTTGTCCATTCCGACCTTTTGTCTTAGGGGTCGTCCATAAATGACGTCACACTCGTAGGGGGGAAGGGGGGGGGTCTGTAATTTTGTGACGGTGTGTGATGAGGGGGAGGGGGGGGGGTTCAGATGGTGCGACGTCACACTTTTGCATAATAAAAAAGCAATATTAGAACACGAATTTTAGACGTTATTTCGCGTTTTAGAAAACGGTTTTAATAAATTGTAACAGGAATTGATTAAAATACTCTATTTTGACAGAGTTCAGACAAGATTTTAGAAAAATATCGATGTTTTAAAAAAAAATTCAACTTCAAATTTGAGGGGGGGGGGGGGTTGTAGGCTGAGGTGTGACGTCATTTTAGGGGGGGGGGGGGTCTTGCTTTTTGTGACGACGTGTGACGGAGTGGAGTGGGGAGGGGGTAGGTAAAAATCGTGAAAAAAAAGCGTGACATCATTTATGGATGACCCCTTACACCCGCCTCGCTCTGTGTCACACGGATTTGCCGAACTAAAGCCAACCTGGATCAATAATAGATCCAACCTAGTTCCAACCTGCTCAAACCTGGATACAACCTCCCATATCAACCACTCAACCACCCAACCACCCAATCCACAAACTGCAACTAAATCTACTCAACCTTGTTGAACTCCCTTTTCTTTATATGAACAATTTCCAAACTTCTTGGGTTTGCTTTAGGCCATTCGATATATATCAGAATTTATCATTCACTTAAGGGTTATAGATAGGTATAGGTAATGTTTTAAGATATACAGTTAGACCAGGGGTCGGCAACCTTTTGAAGCGGAAGAGCCAAAAGTCACAATTTTCAAAATTTCCCTGGTTTTAAAGAGCAACTAACATTTTTGTATTTCAAATATTTTAATTTTTTATTAAGATTATTAGTATTTGTACAAGGAGCTGGAGAGCCGCATCTTGATATCAAAAGAGCCGCATGCGGCTCGCGAGCCGCAGGTTGCCGATCCCTGAGTTAGACTACTCTTACCCTAGAGTTTAAGTTAAATTAAAACCTAACCAAAACATTAAAATACCACTAGATTTTTCCACTAACTATGCATTAAATATGTTACGAACTGAATCAAGAATCTTGAAAAAAAAATAAAAGCTACCATAATGAATGTTAATTAACTCACGTGTCTAAATTAAAACGTATCAATCACAAGCCCAGGTTAATTAACATTTAATTAAATCTACAGATACACGTCTCACGTGATAAGTTTAATTAGTTATCTACAGCGGCAGTGATAACAAATCCAGATAAAAATAACACAGTCGCTGGGCACAGTTAGAGGACTTGAGTGTCAGCGAGTATTTCAACCATCAGCTGCCAGTTAATCGTTGACATTGCCTTCAAACCGACATGAAGTCCGGTCAGGTCTTGTCTTGGGCGGCGGCCATCTTGTTGGTTGCCACGGTAACCTGTCACAAAGCATGCCTGGATCTGGAGCTCGAGAAGCGTCTCAATATAAAAGGCGTTAAGTGAGTGTTTGCGTCATCGCTTGATTTTGTTTTTATCCTAAAAATAGTTAAACCAAAGTATTTAAAAGTGTAAGTTAGGTTTAATATATATATATATATATATATATATATATATATATATATATATATATATATATATATATATATATATATATATATATATATATAATTGTTGAGAGGAATGGTTAAGACGCCGAACTCTTCGAATTTCAAATGTTCTAGCAAAACACTTGTTTTGTCCAAACACAGAACATATTTATGGTCTTCTCACCGTTTTTACTTTCAAATCTCCACGTTTTACAGCTCCCTGATTCGGAAAAACATAATTTTGCAATCTTGTCCATATGTCTGGGAGTGTGTATGTGTGTTTGTGTGTGTGTGTGTGTGAACACGATAACTAGAGTACCGTTAGAGCTAGGTTGATGAAATTTCATATATAAGTATTATATCAAAATCATAGATCCATATCAACTTTCGAGCGATTTCCGATAACCGAAAGTTGAACTTTTTCTACTTTCAATTTTTCAAAAGCCTATAACTTTAGTACTGTTGCAGAAAGATAAATGAAATTTCACATGTAAGTAAAATATCTAATTCTCTGCCTACTGTCAAATTTTGAATAATTACCGAGTTGCCATCCCCAGTTTTTTCATATAAGAATATTCGAGAAAGTTTATGGGAAATCACTCCCGGTTTATTTGTGTATGAAATAATTTTTGTGGTCAAAGTAAAAAGCGACTCTATTGGACTTAACTACTCTGGTTTATCCGATACAGAGTAGGGAGGGACAGAGGCGTAGCGGGGGGGGGGGGGGGGGGGGTACGGACCGCACCGGGTGACACCATTTAAGGGGGTGACACCAAGGCAAAAAATAGTAAAAATATATAGAGAAAAATTTGAGGGGGGGGGGGGGGTGCAAATCGAAAGTTCGAGGGGAGGGGTGCAAATCGAAAGTTTGAAGGGGGAGGGTGCAAATCGAAAATTTAAAGTTTGTCCCCGGGAAGAGTCGCTACGCCTCTGGGGGGGTGACACCATTAAGTGCCGCACCGGGTGACACCCGACCTCGCTGCGCCACGAGAAGGGGGGGGCTACATTGAGCTGACTGAGCTGAAATTAAGTCTTTGAAACTAAGACCAGATTATCTTGCTGACTCAACTAAAACTGACTCGAGTTTGTTGTATTTGAAAACATTTACATACATTTTTATTCTCAACTATGTATTTTCAATATGCATCAAAAGGCGCTTCTTTTTCCAATATGTCTTAAACACAAATGTGCATCTTAACATGTTCGACAATCCAAGTATACTGTCAAGTTCAGGTTTTGAACCTGACGGTCCATAAGGCAATTGAAGTAGAGTTCACCTGTTTCTGTGACCTTGGCATAATAAAGCAGTATTGTGAAATCTATTGCAGGTCTTCTATTAATTCCTTGCTTGTCTGTCTCTTCGTTGTTTGTTAAAAAAAAAATTCTGTTTGTACACTACAGGACCTATCCCCGCCCGTGGGAAGACCCAGAGTTTGTCGCCTCCCTCCCCGAGGGGTGGGACTGGAGGAACATCAGTGGCGTGAGTTATGTGAGCACTACCAGGAACCAGCACATTCCTCAGTGTGAGTACTTGGAGGTCTCGTGTTGATATTTGTGTGTGTGTGTCTTCTCGTTTGTTAGCCACTCGTGTCTAAGGTGTAAGGTTGTTATAATAGTAGTACCCTAACTGTAGGTACAGTAATTGTGGGTACCCTGACTATAAGTACCCTAACTGTAGGTACACTAATTGTGGGTACCCTAACTGTAGGTAGCCTAACTGTAGGTACCATAATTGTGGGTACCCTAGCTTTAGGTACCCTAATTGTGGGTACCTTAACTGTAGGTACCCTAAGTGTATGTACCCTAAGTGTAGGTACCGTAATTGTGGGTACCATAACCGTAGGTACCCTAACTGTAGGTACCCTAACTGTAGGTACCCTAATTGTGGGTACCCTAACTGTAGGTACCCTAAATGTGGGTAACTCTTTTGTTTACCATATGAGTAGATATATAGTCTTATATTTGAGTAACGTGACGAGTAACATCACACACAGACACACACACATACATATATGTTGTTTTTTATTGGTAGTCTCCCCCCCCCACACACATCTGCTAGTATATCTTTTAAATTTGAATATTAAACTCTCATACCCCCCTTGCCCACCCCTACCACCATTTTACCACCCCTCACCAGACTGTGGCTCCTGCTGGTGTATGGCTGCTACCAGCGCCCTAGCAGACAGACTGAACATCAAACGTAAGGCGGCCTGGCCTTCAGCCTATCTCTCTGCCCAGGTAAAGATGCGTGCTACAATCTTCTTCCATCGCTCTTTGCAGATACTCACCAGTGGCGTAGCTACCGTAAAGCTAGCGTAAGCAAGGCATAGGGGCCCAAGGCAAATACGGGCCCTTTTTCGAAAGTTTGAGGGGGGGGGGTGCAAATCGAAAGTTTGTCGCTACGCCTCTGAGGGGCCCACTAACACTTTTTGCATAGGGGCCCCAAAATCCTAGCTACGCCACTGATACTTACTGTATCAATTTTTTTAAAACTTAAGTTTTAGTTTTTTTTTAGCTATTTTATGTGGGATGAGTAGTAGAGCGCTTGAGTCTTAACCCAGAGGTCTCGAGTTCGGATCTTGATCCGGATACAGATTGCAGGGCGCCCGTGAGTCCACCCAGCTTTGATGATTACATGGGAAGAGTAAGGGAAACAAAGACGACTGGGCTTAGTGCTGACCACGCTATCCCTTTTTTTTAATTCTGCGGTCACTGAAACAGATAAACTCTACTGTACTGACATTCATGCCGGGGATTGTAAAAGTAAACAGTTTTTACATCTGTGTTGTGGACACCCCCCCCTGCGTCACACCCTAGTAGCGCCATTGCAATATAACTAGTAAGTCGTGACCTCGACGTGAGCACGTATTCTCATCTCCCACACCAGCACGTGATCGACTGTGCGGACGCTGGCAGCTGTGAGGGCGGGTCGGACGACGGTGTGTGGGCATATGCCCACAAGCACGGCATACCAGACGAGGGCTGTAACAACTACCAGGCTAAGGATCAAGGTAAGACATTTCAACCTGGGATAGATTTTTGTTTGTCTTATAACCAGGTGTTAAGAATTAATTCGAATTTTACACTATACACCTGAAATAGAAGATGATATCAGTTAGTGGCAGTTTCTTCCAGGCATCTCTTTGGGGGAGGGGGGCGAAGAAAGTCTTTCCCCCCCCCCCCCCCCTCCCATCCTCGAACGAAATGGAATTTATATAGAAAATTAATACTTTCAACAGTGCCCCTCCCCGGAAATTTTAGTCCGCCCCCCCCCCCCCAAAAAAAAATATTCAAAAAGGCCTCCCCCTCCCCAGGAGAAAAAGGCTGGAGGAAACACTGTATACTAGTGTATACCATCTTATCACTACCTCCCTACCACATCTCTGTTTCCTTACAGACTGCACAGACTTTAACCAATGTGGAACGTGTACAACATTCGGCGTGTGTAACACGGTTAGTAACTACAGGTACGTAGACTCATTAACAAATTATATATATATTATATATATATATATATATATATATATATATATATATATATATATATATATATATATATATATATATATATATATATTAATAATTTCGACTCTATTCCCACCTTAAGTTAAGGGATGGTTATAACAATGTATACACTTTTGAAATAACAGAACATGAAGTATGAACTTCTTTAAATGTACTTTGTTGATTTATCTGTGATGATTTATCAGTGTTGATTTATCTGTGATGATTGATCTGTGATGATTTATCTGTGATGATTGATCTGTGATGATTTATCTGTGTTGATTTATTTGTGTTGATTTATCTGTGATGATTTATCTGTGTTGATTTATCTGTGATGATTTATCTGTGATGATTTATCTGTGTTGACATATCTGTGATGATTTATCTGTGTTGATTTATCTGTGATGATCTTAGGCTGACGAAAGTGGGAGACTATGGTGACGTCAACGGGAGGGACAAGATCATGGCGGAGGTTTACGCTAACGGCCCGGTCAGGTGATGATTGCTTGTTGCTTCTTCTTCTTCGTCTTTTAAAAAAGCATGTCAACATATGGGTGATCATACAGCTAGTCCGATTCCTCTGACGAAAACAGTCGTCACCAACAGGGTTTCTTCTAGATTTTTTTTCTCCGGTGGTGGTGGTGTGGGAGGGGGGGGGGGTGGGCACTTTAAATTTTCTGAGTGGACTTTAAATTTCCGGGTGGGGGGGGGGGGCACTGGTAAAAGTCGATATTTTCTATATAAAGTCTATTTCGTTGGGGGGGGGGGGGGGGGGGCGGAATGCCTGGAAGAAACTTTGGTCACCAACACAGCGTATAAAACCTGTTGTTTTATGTTGAGAAGGTAATTAATTATCCCCTCATTATCAGCTAAACATGTGTTGGTATTTCTAAAAAAAAATATTAACGCTGTAAGAATAGATTAGCGAATTTTAATACTTAGCAATATTTCAAATCACAGAATAAAAAACTAACTGCAAATAAAGAGACACGAAATGAAAATGCAGACTTCGTTAATTTTGTATAACGTGTTTGGAATTTTTTGAATTATAGATCTCTGGTTATTTAAAAAACAAGTTAATAAAAAGTCTAGTGATAATTTAAGCGCAATTTCCTTAATTAATTTTTTGTGACTGAACGAAAGGATATTTTTGAAAACTTTCTTCGGCAATATTGTTCTAAATTATGGCAGGAATCGATTGGTAAATGTTTCAAGATATGGGCCAAAAACTGCATTTTTTTTCGAGGTTTTTTGGCTTTTCCGGGAAATCCAGGAAGGAATTCCGGGAATTTGTTTGGCCCACAATCATCCTCGGAACTCGCTTAACATATTTGCTTTTGGAACTAGTCCTCGATATTGCTTCGTTGAGGAGGAGATACGACTTAAAGCTGCGGACACACATCCATCCATCCATTCATTCATTCATTCATTCATCCATCCAGAAATGACGAGTTAATAATCGCAATTGTCCAGTATGGAAATTGCGCTAAAAAAACAACAACAACAAAACGTCGTGTAGTTCGGTTAAAATTAAATGTTGAAAATGTTTTTAAAATTATAATTAGAATCACAAATTTTAATCTCGTTCTAGTTGTGGTATTGACGCCACAGAGGGTTTAGAGAAATACAAAGGCGGCATCTACTCGGAGCACAAGCTGATGCCTATGGTAAGTCACGTGCGCGTCTGATGAATTTATATGATAAAAAAAGTAAACTGGAAAAAAAGTAATGAAACAATTGCAACAATTCTTCTACAGGCAAACCACGTGGTCAGTATTGCCGGATGGGGTGTGGAGAATGGTGTGGAATTCTGGGTAGTTCGTAACTCGTGGGGCGAGCCTTGGGTAAGTTCAATCCTAATTTCTAACCATAAAACTATTCGAAAATACAATACTACTAACAACACACCACACCTATTTTTGGAAGAGTCTATTATCGAACATCGGTATCTTCAAACATCCGCTGATGTAGTTTAGTTACAATTCATAACATTCAGGTAATTTAGTAAATTTCATCTAAGCTAATTTTTAAAATCAAAGGTTATCATCAATCTTACAGAGAATATACAGTTTGAATTCCTATTAAGTTAACGTGCTAGAATTTGTTTGGATCATTGATTCAGTTTTCTAGATTTTATAGAACTTTAAAAACATTGTATCCATGCAGAGGCGTAGCGAGGGGGGGGGGGATATGTCCCCGGGCACCGACCTTAGGGGGGGCGCCAAATTGAAAGTTTGGGGGGGGGGGGGTGCAAATCGAAAGTTTGTCCCCGGGCGCCGGGAAGGGTCGCTGTATCCATGAGTTCGAATCCGGGTTCAAGTCACTGACTCCTTCCAGTGGTACTAAGGGCCTATAAAGGCATTATCACATTATCCCTTCATATGCATAGTTAAAAAAACAAGAACTCTAATTTACAAGATTCTGTCTAAGGATCGCTAGGTCTAAAGAAGAATCGTTGATTTACATAATGATACAATATATAAAAACTTAATACATATAAAAACTTTTTCTTTATTATTTGTGTTGTACAAAAGGGTTAACATAAGTGTATTTTTCCGTTTCTGTTTTGTTGTATGAAAATATTGTGATATATGACGATATTGCAGAGGCGTAGCGACCCTTCCCGGCGCCCGGGGACAAACTTTCGATTTGCACCCCCCCCCCTCGACTTTTTCATTTGCACCCCTCCCCTCAAACTTTCGATTTGCACCCCCTCTCGAACTTTTCATTTGCACCCCCCCCCCTCAAACTTTCAATTTGCACCCCCCCTCGACTTTTTCATTTGCACCCCCTCCCTCAAACTTTCGATTCGCACCCCCCCTCGAACTTTTTATTTGCACCCCCCCCTCAAACTTTCAATTTGGCGCCCCCCCCCCCTAAGGTCGGCGCCCGGGGACATATGTCGCCCCCCCCCCCTCGCTACGCCTCTGTGATATTGTACCATAACTGAATTCTTTCCATGAATTCCCCAGGGAGAGAGCGGCTGGTTCCGTATCGTGACAAGCAAATACAAGAACGGACGGGGGAAAGAATACAACCTGGGCATCGAGGATGGCTGCGCCTATGGTGATGTCATTGTGTGATTGTGACAAGACAGGGGCGGAACTACAGTGCCGCCAGACCCCGCAATGCGGGGGGGCCCAGACCAATTGGGGGCCCAAAAATCCTGGCTAAATTATTTAAAAAAAAATAAATATTAAATTAGGTGGAGGTCGAGTTATCTTTCTTCTACAGTTACAAACAAACACGATAGTCGGCAAACGTCTTTGAGAAAAATGCACTGACTATAGCTCGAGAGACCGCCAGACATATAGACAACTTCAAAGACGAAGCATCTGCCGGTACGCTTTGAAATCGGGCTGGGGAAATGTTGCGGCGAGGCGACTATCCTGGTCTTCTAGACGATCGGAAAAAGTCGGCACTATTGATGTAGATGTTTATCGGCGCTTTCTTGTCCCCTTCCCTTCCCAACTCTCTCTCCCCCCCCTCCCCCCTACCCCTCACTTCTACCCCTCACCACACCCTTACTCTTACAATAAGATGTAATGCATAGATTAACGAACCGTCTATGAACTGTAAACTGACCACTTCTGCACATTTTGTTAAAAACACTGGTCAGTAGTTGTTCATTTACCTGATGAACAGGGGCGGAACTACAGTCCCGCCAGACCCCGCAATGCGCGGGGGGGGGGGAGGGGGGAGGCCGTTTAGGGGCCCACGGCTGACCAAATTTTTTTTTTTTTTTAATTTTGAATTTAATTTTTGCCTTAATATTTGGTTTGTAAAAGAAAAACACTGTAGCTGCGGTACGATAATCTTTATTTTACAGTCACTATACCACGCTCTTCCGCAAAAGATAAAATCCATTACACAAACTACAGTGTAAAATTTAATGTGATTTTTGTGCACGATTACAAGACTTTCTCTATACTTCGTATATACGAGAAAGTAAAAACATTGTTATATTGTTTACATTATTAAAACACATATCTATGATTATGTGTTTAAACTACTGGCCTGAATTCTACAAAAAATATAATTATTTATTTCGATCTCATACATTTATAATTGCGTTCATTTTTACTTTAACAACTGTATCAATAAACTTGTAAAAGTATAAGTTATTTCCCTTCAGCGAAGCATTTGAAATTTGACTTTGCCGGCACGCTTTGAATTCGGGCTGGGGAAATGTTGCGGCGACCGGCGAGTCGGCGACTATCCTGGTCTTCTAGACGACCGGATAAAGTCGGCACTATTGATGTAGATGTTTATCGGCACTTTCTTGTCCCCTTCCAATGAACCTTCCCAACTCTCTCCTCTCCCCTACCCCTCACCTCTACCCCTCACCACACCCTTACTCTTACAGTAAGATGTAATGCGTAGATTAACAAACCGTCTATGAACTACTGTACTGTACCACTCTCTTCCGCAAAAGATAAAATCCATTACATTACTCTTCAAATTTTGAATGACTTCTTTGACTCGTTGCCCCCCCCCCCTCCCTTTGATAGCTAAATAGAGGACACGTAACTGTTTGACCGATCCTCCAAAGTATACTGTGGCGGATGGGGCAGGGGATGGGGACCAAAAAGGGGGTTAAAAAATTGTCGACAAATTCTTTACATATTTAAAACAGTTATTTATAGTTGTATTTTTTAACCATCGTCAAGGCCGAGTTCTATTTCCCTACAATCAAACACACGCTGTCGCCGGCAAAATTCTTTAAAAAAAAACAACAAAGTCCATAGCACGAAAAGCCGCTACATATGAAGTGGGCTTTCAATACTATCATGATGCGCGGTGCTTATTCGCGGCATTGGTAGGGGACCCGAAATCCATTGTACATTTTTCAATGTTAATATATGTTTGTGATAGTGGTTGAATTTGTATCCTGTACTATCTTGTATCGTACAAATAATTAAAAAAAAATAATATAATACTAGAAACTTCAGTTTTATATACGTTTACTTGTTTTTGATTTTACAAGAAATATAGTAAACTTTTAAGGCCTATACTTCAAATTATCTCCCCTGAGTAAGTTTTACAATGGGCGATGCTTACGTACATAGATCAAGGCGTTTTGTTGTCCCTTTCAAGTTTTTTTCCCGAGCCGACCCCTATCCCATCCCTCTTTCTCAACCTCACAAGTATCGAGGAGATAAATGTATCGTTTATGAACTACTTCCTAACCGTACGATTCACCACTTCAGCACATTTTGTCAGACACTAGACAGCACTAGATCTAGTCAACACATATTAATTTACTTTCATAGTATTAGGCAAATCTAATTCACAAAACAGGGCAGGTAAGATTATTTTTTATATAATTATTTAGAAATTAATTAGAACGTTTAGAATTAATTGAACATTATTAATAGTCATTGAGGTGGGGGTGTGTGAGGGTCTGGCTTTTTATTAATCCCCCCCCCCTCCCCTAAATCAGAAGGTTATCCAACGCGTGACCTGGCCACATACAGTTGTACATGTGAAAAACATTTTTCTCTCTAATATTATTATGCATTACTGCATCATTCACCCAATCGCCATGAAAACTTGGGAAGCTGTTGAGTACAGCCCCGCAAAGGTTTCTGTCATAGGCCTAACATTTGTACATATTTGAGTGGGGACTCCTAACGGAAATATGTGATTTAGCGCCCCGTGATACTGCATAAGTGGATGAGGTTACTACTTGAATACAACCGGCGTCAGTGTCATCCTGAGCGCATCACATATGAGCAAGTTGGCCCCCACAGACAGTCGTTTAAAAGTTCCCACAACACTAGGAATAAGTCTCGCTACAACACTCGATGACTAAATCTAATTAGGTGTCGCACCAATGTTTCTTCCAGGGTAGACTGTTTTCGGGGGAGGGGAGGGGGGGGGGGGAGCTCTGCCGGAAGAAACAATGTGTCACACCCATCACCCGTGCAGTAATGTAACCGGTAGCTCCAAGAGCCCCGTGACTCCCCTGACACCTGGGCCGTCGCAGAGGGATTTACAGCATGCCTTGGCGTGTCTAGTTGGTAGTGTGGACAAACCCGCGCCCTAAGATCCAAAAAATGAACTGCCGACACTGTTAACATTTAATTCAACTTCTGGAAAACAGGGCACACGGTTAGTAACGTTTTGATGAAAGCCTCAGTTTGGTGTGTTGGACTAGATTTAGAAAGGGGCCAGCTCGTGTGTTGGAAAACCTCTGATTTATTCGTGTACCAGATGTAATTTTTTTTAAATTGAGAGCGAACCTTGTTTTATATATATATATATATATATATATATATATATATATATATATATATATATATATATATATATATATATATATATATATATATAGCCTATATATATATATATATATATATATATATAAAATATATATAAAATATATATATATATATGGGGGGCCCAAAAAATTTTTTTGCGGGGTGGCCCATTTTTTCTAGTTCCGCCACTGTGACAAGATGGTATTTGTCACTGTGTCACTGTGACATACGAATTATATGTAATTGTGGCAAGATGATATATGATAACGCGACACGTGTCTCAGTGACTTTGACATAAGATGACACCTGTTATATGCTTATGTCGCCTCTACGTTTCCATAAATAAATCTTGATACCCAAATACGTTGAGTTCGATGTGATTCTTTAGGTCGAATGAAAAATATTCTTCTGTGCAATAACATTCATCATCTATTCCCATTCGTGCCTAAGACCAGGGGCGGAGTAAGCTTGAGCGGAGCCCCCGGCTGAATTTTTTGGGGGCCCCTATATAAAAATGAATAAAAATAAATAAATATACATATACATATACATATATATATATATATATATATATATATATATATATATATATATATATATATATATATATAGGCCTGTTGTAAAAAATAAATTAAAGCTTGTGATGCTAACATTAAAAGAAGTTTTTGTAGTGAAAACCAATAATTAAGCAGTCCTCTCAGTCCCCACCCGTCCCTTAATCAGCTACTGCTTAAGACCCATAGGGTAGATCTGTTTCAATGACCTCGGCATACAAGTGGATATCGCGGTCAGCACTAGTGTTTTCTTCTATCGCTCTACCTTTAGTCCACGCAGTCTCCGCACTAGCATTCACCAACTCAAACGTTAATCCACCAGCTTTCAATCAAGGATCGGTCCAATGTCCATCTGACGCATTTGGTAAGTGAAAACAGTGGTATGCCATCTGCCAGCTCCATAGTTCCAGCAATACTGAAGTTCTGACAACTACAGTTCTAACTAAGACACATCGCTAAACTAATTGCTAACTCAAAATGAAACTTCTGGCAACTGAACTAAAGAACTCAGAATTTAACCCTGGGTGGGATAAGAATAGAAAAAGAAAATGGAAGGTGTGTGTGTGGAGGGGGTAGGGGGAAGGGGTAATGTTCACTTTAAACTTGAAGTGGACTACTGCGAGACTTAATTTAAAGCTAAGCCCGGGCATGCAAGTTAATAAAAAAAAATTATAAGATTACTACCAAAAGTATTAGAGAGCGGGTCATCTGTAATGTTCTTCAATTCCCATCAACATAGTCTGATAATTTTAGCGTCCACTCTAATAAACTTCAATCTCTACCTCCTCCCCCTACACACAAAAAAGAAAGGATGGGATTGAAAGATTTAAGTTACATTCACATAAAAAATGTAAAATCTTACATGAAAACATTCCACTTTCTTGTAAAAAACAAAACAAACTTAGCTGACGATATCTACAAGCGTAGCTTTAGCAGCATGTATTGTTTCATCATTTTTAAATTTTAAAATTTCAATTAAATTTCATACATAAAAAATTATTGTAACCTATTCAAATAAACCCGATTATAAAATGTGTCTAATGCCCCTCTGTCCCCAATCCCTTACCCCGATACCCTTAGTACATGTTTTATTTTATTTCTTGATATTGATCCCCATAACAGAGTACATGCAACAAAAGCCACAACCATTAAAAGAACGATATTATACTTCTTTGACCTGTATTATTCATCATTCTAAATACCCGAGAGTTTCCATAACTGCGTTTATGCAACAATCACCACAATAATTAAAATATCGATATCGTTAACCACACTTTGACCTGTATTATTCACCAATCTAAATACCTGAGAATTTACATAACTGCGTATTTGCAACAACAGCCAAAACCATTAAATGACCGATATCGTTAACCACACTTCGACCTGTATTATTCACCAATCTAAATACCCGAGTGTTCACCCAGATAGACAATCGTATAATCACATTAAGTGTTATTAAGCTGATTAGATAAGTCCAATGTGTCAGGTGAGTGAATTAAAACAACTAGCACACGTCTCGTGACTTAGCCGTGTGATTACAACTCGTGATAGCCGATCAAATTGCTCCTGTGTTGTGAGTGTGTTCAGAAGTTGGTGATTTTAGTTAGGCTTGTCAAGCAGACATAATAAGTTGAAGAGGGAGAGAAGCCGCATCATGTTTCTGAAAGTGGTTGGCGTTGTTGCCTTGGTTACCGCGGCCATTTTGGTGTACGTTGAAGGAGCAAGGTTTGAGGCGTGCTTGAACACCAAGTTTGAGAGAGGGATAAATATCGGTGTCAAGTAAGTATTTTGTTGCGAATTTTTATTTAGTCGCACTAGTGTCCGACAAATGGACTTTTCAAGAATGTGTTAGGTAGTTAGTAATTTTGTCGTACCAGATTTGTGTTAGGGTGACGCTGTTAGGGTTCCACCTAGGGCTAGTGATAGGATTAGGGATATGGATAGGGTTATGGATAGAGATAGGGATAACATTCAAATTAATAGCTTACATTGAATGACATTAGCTTTTATTTTACTGACAATAACCCAACACCTATAATTAAATGAAGATTCCATTATTGAGACATTATCGGAAACTGGTTAGGATCACAGCACTTTTAATTATTTTTTTTTTTTGCACACCCGATCAGAGTTTCTTCCAGGCATCTCTTCGGGGGGGGGGGGGGGGGGAAACCGAAGAAAGTCTACCGTCCCCCGAACGAGATGGATTTTATATAGTAAACATACACTTTTACTAGTGTCCGCCCCCTCCCCCCCCTGAAAAAAAAGTCTGGAAGAAACACTGCACCCGATTTTGTATGCATACGTGGAAGACCAAGCTTAACCACGTCCTTTTTCTTAACAAGCAACCTGTACAATCTAAGGGTTCTATAATGTCATTCGTTGAAAAGTGATAATAAGAGCGACGTTAGCTCGACACTTACCCGAAGATCTTTTGCTAAATTAACGTTTGCCAAAAAACGACAAATGTCCGAAGAGATTTTTGTCCGAAACGAACAAATGCCGAAGAGACGTTTGCCAAATGAGACTAATGCCATAAAGGAAAAAACAAAGCAACATAGCTTTAGCTTAATTTAATAGTTGACTGCACACAGTGAAATATTTGAGATTTTAAAGCTAGAGTTGTTTCAGAAATTTTGCAAAAGTTTTGATAACATCTAGCACGTGCTTTCCTCAGGAACTACAAGAGGCCATGGGAGTACCCAGAAGTCTTAGCGTCCCTCCCCACCCAGTGGGACTGGCGTAACGTCAACGGCACCAACTACGTCAGCACCACCAGGAACCAGCACATCCCACAATGTAAGCACCGCTACGCCTCTTGCGCGTGCAGACACTGCTCACCCACCCCCACTGGGATAGTTACATTGTCAGCTCACTCGGAACTTGGGCCGTCGACAAGAACGGACTAGACAAGTTTAATCCGGGACTAGTTTCTACAACTAACATCCCCTGAGTCCATCCCCGCCCCCCCCCCCCTCGTTGTACAGGAACTGCCCAGATAATTTAATCCGGGACTAGTTTCTCCAGCTGGCATCCAATACGTCCTCGCCCCCCCCCCCCCCCCCCCCACGCCCTTCAGAGTTCTGCAAGAGCTTCACAGTTAACTTGATTCTGAGCTAGTTTCAATAACATCCTTCCCTCCCCCTAAACCACCTACCTCTATTCTGACATATTTTTTTTTAAATCATAAGAAAATAAATTTTTAAACAATTAGAAAAACGAAAAAAAATATTTCAGTATTTAATTAATCTCAATGTTTTAACCGTCTATTGTACAACTTTCATACCGCGTCACTAAATACCTGATGTAATTATTTCAACCATCTTCCCCCATCTCACCAGACTGTGGCTCCTGCTGGTGTATGGCTGCTACCAGCGCTCTGGCAGACAGACTGAACATCAAACGTAAGGCGGCCTGGCCTTCAGCATATCTCTCTGTACAGGTAGGTCTTTGTGACCTTCAGTGGCACGGTTATACCCATGTTCATGTAGGTCTTTGTGGCCTTTAGTGGCACGGGTAAATCCATGTTCAGCTAGGTCTTTGGGACCTTCAATGTCACGGTTAAATCCATGTTCAGGTAGGTCTTTGTGAGCTTTAAAGCCTATTTTTAGATAAGCGTTTGTGATCTTTGATGTTTGTATGGAGTCTATGTTTAGATAGGTCTTTGTGACCCTTGCGTGTGACAGTTACACAACATTGTCAAATCAATTTTTTTTTCTTTCTTCTTCTTAGTTCGTAATTTTTAATACTGGGATTACATCCAACACTACTAAGTATTACGTGTCAACTGATTATGCTCCATATAGGCTGTTGACTCCGATTTCAGCCTGCTTTTCTTTTTACATTTGCTTCTGTAGCCTTTGCCCAACCAAGAACAAACTACAAGACAGTATTTGTTTGATTTTGGAGTTGTCTCTCCTAGAACGATTGTTGTCCCCAGCTGTCGAGCCTCATCTGCCAGAGGATTCGAACTCAAGACTTTTCTGTTTAGCTTCTCTGAGCTTAACCGACTCGACCACGCCGACCCCCAATTATTTTTTTTTTCAAATCAAGTAATTTCTATTTTTATTTTTCGATAGCACGTGATTGACTGTGGCAAAGCCGGAAGTTGTAACGGCGGGTCTGACGACCTGGTGTGGAAATACGCCCACGACCACGGCATCCCCAGCGAGACGTGCAACAACTACCAAGCCAAGAATCAAGGTAAACGTCCGTCATCCCCCTCCCCTCACCTTACACATCAACAACTACCAAGCCAAGAACCAAGGTAAACACACACTTCCCTGCATAGGTAAAGTCCGTCTACCCCCCCCCCCCTCCCCCTCCCCTTACACATCACAACAACTTCCAAGCAAAGAACCAAGGTACACACACTGCACTCCATAGGTAACGTCCGTCAACCCCCCCCCCCCCACCCCTTTGCACATCACCACCCTCGGGAAGTCTTTCATATATTTTTCTCCTGGTGGGGCTGGTGGGGGGGGGGGGGGGAGAACCAATCATTAAATTATGCATTTTTTATATAAATGATATTGACCCATACATTCCCTTTATCCTATACATCCATAATGATTTGCCAATCTTTGAAAACGCATTCACTCACCTTAATCCTTCCACCAATATTGACCCACCCACCCACGTTGACCTACCTACCCACCCATCTTCACCCTCTCAACCATCGTAACCCTCCCAACTACATTAACCCACCCACCCACACTAACCCACCCACCCATCTTGACCCCCAGACTGTACAGACTTCAACAAATGTGGGACGTGTACAACCTTTGGGGAGTGCGCCAGTCTCCAGCAGTACAGGTTCGTGCATGTGCATTCTAATAAGCTGATCACCCATTAAAACATGCTAATCATCTTATTTATATATGCTAATCACCTCATTCAAATATGCTACGCACCTCAGTCAAATATGCTTACCGTCATTAAAATATGCTAAATATCCTTATTAAAATATGCTAATTACCTCATTCAAATATGCTAATCACCCCATTAAAACATGTTAATCACCTAATTTAAATATGATATTGCTAGCCACCTCATTCATTATGCTAATCACCTCATTCAAATATGCTAATTACCTCATTCGAATATGCTAATCATATCATTCAAATATGCTAATCACCTCATTCAAATATGCTAATCACCTCATTCAAATATTATAATCACCTCATTCAAATACGCCGATCATCGCGTTCAAATATGCTTATCGTCATTTTAAAATGTGCTAACTACTTCACTAAACATATACCGAAACATATTTGTTATTGTTTAAACTTGTTTTCTTTTAAACTTGTATTTACCATGATGTAGTAAAATAAAGAAAAAAAAAACATTCTCTCACTCCAGCTTAACTAAAGTGGGTGACTATGGTAGTCTCCGTGGACGGGACCAGATCATGGCGGAAGTTTACAAGAACGGACCAGTCAGGTTTGTGCTAGCTTACCAATGAAATATTAGGTACCGTCATAAACACAAGGAATACATTAGCTGAGAATTGAAATGATTAAGATTTTGTTCGTCCTTAAAAAGTAGCACGCTCTATTTTTAGTATTTTAGACGAATTTCGCTCCGCAAAATAAATCGACAAAAGACAGCAACCCACCCAACCCCCTAAAATGTTAGTGGGATTTTTTTTCAATTATCTCCCGGGGGGGGGGGGGGAGGGAGAGTACTTGAACCTGCTGCCCCCCCCCCCCCCCCACTATATATTTTTTATATTTATAATTCAAAACTGCAGCTAAAATGAGCTTTTAATTTTGGCGTCCCGAGGGTCGGAGTCCAAGGACATGTACCCACGCCCCCCCCCCCCCCCCTCTGGGGCGGAGTGGAGAGATGCCTTAAAACAATGAAACTTGAGTCACAGAGTCACACCGTAAAATAACCTTAAATTCTTACTCCGCTTGCATTTGATCAATGAATCTCTATCTTATTCAGCTGTGGTATCGACGCCACTGAACTTCTCCACAACTACACGGGAGGAATCTATCAGGAATACAATCCCGCTCCCCTGGTAAAGTATTGCAGCTGCCTACATGGTTTTACAAAAAATAAAATAAAAAAATGACGGAACATAATTACCGTGGTGCGGACGGTGACCGGAGAGATGCCCAACGGAAAACTGCGCACAAAAAAAGTGGGCAGGGCATTTTTTGTTTTCTTAAATAGAACTTTTTTTTAGACATTAACATAGAGTGAGTACTTGTACATTGTTGCGTGATAAAACATATTTCCTCGAAATATGATAAAATTAAAGTGAATTAGTATAATTAGTTTGTATTTGCGCAATTTTCTGTTTGCGCAGTTTTCCGTTGCGCGTTTTTCTAGGAACCAGTATGGACACCGCAATAGCAAAACACACACACACACACACATATATATATATATATATATATATATATATAATGTGGTTATAAAACAGTTTAAATGGTGAAGTATTAACGAACATGGTGGTTGTTTGACTACAGGAGAACCACGTGGTAGCCATCAGCGGATGGGGTGTGAGTGACGGCATTGAATACTGGGTAGTCCGCAACTCCTGGGGGACGCCATGGGTAAGTCGGTCAACGAAGCTGTTGTGATTGCGGGTGGGGTGTGAGTGACGGCATTGAATACTGGGTAGTCCGCAACTCCTGGGGGACGCCATGGGTAAGTCGGTCAACGAAGCTGTTGTGATTGCGGGTGGGGTGTGAGTGACGGCATTGAATACTGGGTAGTCCGCAACTCCTGGGGGACTCCATGGGTAAGTCGGTCAACGAAGCTGTTGTGATTGCGGGTGGGGTGTGAGTGACGGCATTGAATACTGGGTAGTCCGCAACTCCTGGGGGACTCCATGGGTAAGTCGGTCAACGAAGCTGTTGTGATTGCGGGTGGGGTGTGAGTGACGGCATTGAATACTGGGTAGTCCGCAACTCCTGGGGGACTCCATGGGTAAGTCGGTCAACGAAGCTGTTGTGACGTCCACCAGCCCCACTCCTTTGTTGTGACCAGTGGCGTAGCGAGGTCGGGTGTCACCTGGTGCGGCACTTAATGGTATAGCGACCCTTCCCAGGGACAAACTTTCAAAATTACGATTTGCACTCCCCCCCCCTTCAAGTTTTTGCCTTGGTGTCACCCCCTGAATGGTGTCATCCGGTGCGGTCCACACCCCCCGCCCCCACCCCCTCGCTACGCCTTTGGTTGTGACACCTTCGTACCAAATTAGTAAAATCTTTCCCAGCCCGCATCATAATTATTTCCTCTAAGGAACGTCGATCCACCAGAGCTCAGCACTAGCGCCCCTCTCCCAAAATATTTTGTTAAAATTAGACCTGAAAACTTTTTGTTTTTTACCAGGGTGAGAACGGTTGGTTCAGGATCGTCACCAGCACCTACAAGAACGGCCAGGGCAACAACTACAACCTGGCAATAGAGAGCAACTGCGCTTACGGTGACGTCATTGTGTAAACACAAAATACCTGGCAATGTTAAATGTTATCAAAACGAATACATTTTATTAAAATTCGTTTAGGTGTCATTTATGTGTGTTTATTATTTTAAATTTTTTTTTTGCCGTGTTAAAAAAAAAAAAAAATGGTGAAAAAAAAGGTGTTATGCAATGGGGTACTGGCAATCTTTTGCAGTGAGTGTAAAACTGTGCTTATATAACTTGTATGCATGGGTTTACAAAAAATATTGTGTTGTTGTTGTACAATATGTCTTCATGAGGTACTACTAAAAAGTAGAAAATAAATTATTTTCTTTAAATATTTAATAATACACTACCATTAAATAACTATAAAGAAAAGCGTGGGTGGGCCTCTTCCTAAACATTAGTAAAGGTATCCAATAGATACTTAATACTTAAGTGACCCACGCTTTTCTTTATAGTTTTTTGACTGGTAGTGTATTATCAAATATTTAAAGAAAATAATTTATTTTCTACTTTTTAGTGCATAATTACAAAAAAAAAAACAACTTTTAATATAAACGTTTTTTATGAATATTTTTTTTTATATTTAAATTTAAAAATCTCTACCCATGACCAATACTGAAAGTCATATTATCAACCAAAACACTGGCCATTATGATCAAGTTTATTTTGTTGTTAATTAGTAGGCTACACAGAACCAAGAAATTAAACAGCAATGTACAGAGAAAAAAAATAAAACCAAAAGAACCAAAGTACAATGTTAGAGAAAAGCTAATTAAAAGAAAAATTTATCTGGCAAATTATTTATAAACAACTTGCTCTAGAGCTGCACAACAAAGGGCAAAAATAAATTGTTAAAGGGCAATAACAATTTTCAAAGGGCAATAATCAAATGTTCAAATAGTAATAGTTATAGAATACAAAAAAATTATTAATTACATTTTTCTTTACAAATTAGTCATAAATAGTAAATAAAATTAAAGCTAGCAATATTAAAGTTGTAAGGCAAAAACTTTAATCCCATTCTCAGATCAGGAATGGCCCCTACAGTCAAAACAAAAGACTAGCTGAAATTTTTAAAGTAAAACTAGATTAAAAATAATGAAAAAACCATTTTACATTTTCAATAGGTTAAAAGACTATTATCTAAAGATTTCATAAGTGAAACTCAAATTGTATAGTTGCACAGTACGTGTTAGGGTACAGTGTTAGGGTACACCCGCCACAAGGTCAGGTGCCACCGGTGCGGCTTCTCTTTGTGTCATCCCCCCCCTCCCCCCGCCCCATTTGCAATTTTTTAAACTTGGTGTCACCCTCTAAATGGCATCACCCGGTGCAGTCCGCATCCCCCACCTCACGACACATCTGCCCATCACCACAGTTCTTAATCAGTTTCCCTTTCTTAATTAACCAACCTGATCGGTGCTACATTTTAGTGCTTTTATTTTTCTAGACTTGATCTGTTTTTACTCAAACACATAAAAATATCGCTGTATATATCAAGATTAAAATTATGTGTTTAAAAATCCCTATCATGGATCATGACAACGGATCAAATAAATGCAAATTTAATGCTTGGCGTTTTCAAACAACAGAGAGGATAAAGGCAATCTACATGTCAATAGCCTTGCGGGTTTAAACAACTAATTAATGGAAGAAGAAGAAAATTGGTCAACAACACTTTAGGTCACCTGACCTTATCTAGAACTCTCTAGCCAAGGCGACACAAGCTATTTTAACATCACACTTCTCTAAACAACAGGAACTTCAAAATCTCAACAACACTGAGAAATATCTAAATGGCGTAACTAGGGGAGGAGGTCAATTAAGGGGGGCATTTAGCCCCAGGTGAAACAATATTTTCATAAATATGCATGTAAATAGTGAGTGCTGTCCCTTGTATAAAGGCAAACAGAGTAAACCTGATTGTACCCTAAGGGAGATAAGATGCATAGTTATGTCAATGAAACACATGGAAGATGGAACAAACACATTGAGCCATGATTGAGTCATCCCACATATATGTTGAGCTTTATCCTCAAACAAGAACAACAGTCTTTGGTGTTTACTGCTTCAAAGAATATTATATTGGACCAAAGTAATTTTATTTAAGGTACTGTTAATGAAGAACATTCTTCATGTGTGTAGTGATTGAAGTTTATCTTTGAAAAAAACATCTACCTCAATATACTGAGCAAGTGTGTATACTGGAAATATGGGTGGGAATGCTGGGGAGGGGGGGTGTATTGAATATAAGGGCTGGATTAGGAATAGGAGGGGTAATGTGCATGTAGAGGCAGAAAGGAATGTGTGGGGGGAGGGGGGTGGTGTATTGAATATAAGGGCTGGATAAGGAATAGGCGGAGGGGAATGTGTGTGGAGGGGGAAGGGTGCAGTGTTTCTTTCAGGCATGTCCCAACCCCTGGATAAAAATAGAAACACTCTTATTCTTGCCATCCACCCTCACCCTCCCCAAGCAAAATATTCTGAAAATACAATGAAAACAAAAAGGGAGGTGGGTGTTATAGATATAAGGGATAGGGTTGGAATGGAAGATGTGTGTGTGTGTGGGGGGGGGGGGAATAAGGGGTGGGGAGGGAATGAATATCTAATCCTGGGTGAAGCTACACAATCAGTCAATGTCAAATATATCATAACATGACCCAGTGTGGACAAAATAAATCACTGACACTTGGGAATAATGGAAGTTCACCTCACAAAACTTGAGTAAAATAGTTTTATGAATAGGGGATCAATCGTCACACAAAAATGTAAAGTTTTTTAACATGAGATAATTTAAAGCAAACTAACAGTGGCTGTTAGTGAGTTAAACATGTTGATTACTGGTACACAGTCTAAATGTAAGTTTTAGCTTCTATCAAAATAATGCTAAATAATAATCTTTTTAGCATAATATTCTTTTAACTGAAATATAGAGTACAATAATTATTATTAGTAATAATATTACTAATAATGAAAAAGATATACAACCATTATCATAGTTACAAATAGAACCCCCTCCTCTAAAAAATGTAACTGAACATTTAGCGAAACAATTCTGTTTGGTAAATATTTTAAAAATCTTGTTTTTAGTATTAAGTTTAAGAGCAGTTAACTCTAAAAACCTTCATTGAATCCTAAATTAGAATGTTATCTCCCCTGTAAAATTAACCTAGTATATTTACAAACAATATTTAGTATGTTGTTAATGTTAGGGTGAAATAAAACCTTTCAGTTTAAAGCTAAAATTTTGAATCTTTCATTTTACCCAACATATATAAACAATTATGTTTGCGACAAAAAGTCAGCTTTTCAATCTCCAAACTCAAATACATTTTAAACTTTAAAATATGTAAGTTATATGTTAGTAACAATATTTTTATTCTATGAAACATTAGAAATGCTAGTGGTTATTAACATTACAAGTACAAGGTAAAAATATTGGACTTTAAAAAAAAGTTATTATTGACAAACCTACGGTTTAAGGCATTCATAAGTAATGTACATTAACATAATGCTTAGGAAACAAATATATGTTTGAAGAAATCTTTAACGGAAATCGTGATCTTGTCGTAGTTAATTCGGAAAATAAAAAGGAATTAAACAAATGCTTTCAAGAAAATGTTTTCAAAATAATTGCTTCCATTGATTTTCTATATCACAATGAAAATCCATACACAATTGAAACATTTTTACTTAAATATATTTGCTCAATTTCAACACCTAAACTACTGATGATTTGTTGTAACCTTATCTTTAATAGAATTATTTTAAAATTTAAAATAGGCAGAATTTAATAATTAAGTAAAATAAAAGTGAAGGCAGAAAGCAATTAGTAAACCTTAATAACAAAATATATTATTTATAAAAATTAAGTTAAAACTTAATTAAAACTAAATATAAGAATAATTAGCAAAAAAATGTAGCAAGTAAATACGCAAATGAAATTTTAGCAAGTTAAGTAATGCCTACTGTGTTAGCTTTAAAGTAGTTGAATTTCATGCATGGCCAAAAGCACATTTCAGCAATGTTTGTCAATACAGATATTATAGAGTGACCCACTACTATTTCTGGATATTCAGATTTACACTAGTCAAAAGTTCAAGCAGATTGTTTCAATTCATCACATTTTTAAAAAATTCCAGTTTTTAAGATTAGTGACTGAGGATGTAAAAAGAGTTTCAGTCGAACCATATTATGGCACAAGTAAACTGGAATTTAAAAAAAAATAATAAGATGCAGTTTTAGGATGGTGTAGAGAAAAAAATCTGGAATGTGACCTTTATGCACAATATGCTTTAGTTCACAGGGTTGAGAGCTATCAAGGGACATAACCAAAATAAAATGATGAATTGATCAAAAGTATTGTAAAACAAACTTAATAAAAACATTATGAATAATTTCTACCATTATAATAAAGTGCCTGCAATATATGTACATATTTAATTTACAAAAATATTAATCAGTACAGTTGGAAATTTAAAACAACACTAATTCACTATTAATTAAGTAAAAAAAATCTGTTTAATTATGCCTTTTCCTTTAAAAAAAGAAACAACTTTAACATTTCTTATATGCATCTACCTTTATCATAATGACCATTTTCATTGTTAAAAATCTCAACATAATTTACATTCAATAGAGTTATAAGCATAAAACAGCCACCAAAGTATGTTATTTATTGCTAAAGCTCAGCTTTGAATAATACAAAAACAAATGTACCTTTTAAGTGTGATACCAATCTACTATGCTGAAATACAAATATTACAAAGAACATTCCAACCACTGTCTCCTCAAAATAAAAAATTTGATTGCAACGTTTTAAAAGTTGTATTTTTGTTTAAAAAAAAATACTGATTTGATTAAAGCAAGATTATTTACTGAAACATTCAGATCCTAAATTGGGTGAAATTTTGTCTCATGTTTCTGCATATCCTGATTTATACATTTACAGAAATTTTTTATTAATGACAACAATTTATGTAAGTGCTACAGAATATAATGCAATAAAAATTTTTTTTTACAAGCGAGGAATGTTTAGATCCCTTACATAAGCCTGGTCCCAGTTATTTAGCTGATATAAAAAAATAATGCTTGTTGCTACTTGAATTAAATCAACCTCAAGCCTCTAGAACAACATACATTTAAAAAAAAACAACTTTTCACTGGAATCTTTAAGAATATGCCATTTACAAGTTTCCTGAATGTCATATTTCTAAAAAAATATTTTGACAGAATTTTCTATCTAATAAGCTATGAACAAGCTTCATGATTGTCACAAATTTGCTTTGACTTTTTCACTAGAATCTGATGGATATGTTTCATGGTTAGTAAAGTTACCCCATTATATTATTTTATAATCATGACATATTTAAGTAATGTTTATATATATGAGAATAAAATATCACATTCAAGTATTTACATTTGAAAGTTTGCATTTGTTATGCATGTAATATTTTGAGCTAAAAGTCTGTAAATGTTTGGGAATAATTCATGAGCTATATTTTATTTTATCACAATAAAAATTATTTATTATTTAATATAATGTAATCATTTGTTTTACTGCTAGAAAAATATTGGATTAGATTAAAAACAAACTGGCTAAATATAAAAACTGGTCATTAATTCACATTCCAAAACAGTTAACATAAGTTTTGTTAAAAAAAACAATTGTTTCTATACTTAGGTTCAGTTTTTAAAAATACTGACAAATAATTATTGAAGAATTAATAAGCGTTAATTCTCTTTGATGAAACATTTTATTGTTAAGTAATATAGAGAGTAAGAAAAAAAATTGCATAGTAATTATTTTAACAGAAAACCAATTTATCCAGTGGTGTCATTAAATAGGCTAACTAACATTTTCAACTGGAGTAAAATTATTCCTATTTAAAGAATTTTAAAAAATAAAAATGGTTTAAAATTTATCTTTCAGCTGTTCAAGTTATTTGAGATTGGTGGCATAGAGGCAGGTTCGGGGGTGGAAGGAAGTGAGTGGTTTAAAAACCCGGTTTTTACTATATATATATATTTAAACATATTCAATGACCATTTTAAGATTGTTATTTTTTTTTTAACATTCAAAATACTGAAATTGAAAGTAATAACAAAATGGGTGTACCAATGGCATTATCTGTAAGTTAATGTAAAACAGCTATCATTTTATTTGTACTTGGGGGAGGAGGGTTTCAACCCCTTCAAACAACCCCCCACCCTTTGCCTAAGCCACTGCTTGAGATCACTTGGAATTTAACTATAAACAGTATGTTAAAAATTTCAATAGCTTATATATCGTTTTTTAAACAGCAATACGAAAAAATAATAATAATCTCAAAATTAGCAACAGTGTAGAGGAAATTACCACCAACAAGAATCTACACTAAAAAGTTTCCTAACATTATTTTATCAACTGGCCTTTATCAAACAAACTATCCTCTTCGTCCTCGTCGGATGCCTGATCGTGGTACTCCTCCAGCACCTTGTGGTTGTTCTGTTCCTTCATCTTGTAGGCGTTGTTGTCGTGGGCTATGTCAGTCAGGTCGTCGCTGTCGTCGTCCTCGTCGTGGTCCTGGAGCTGTTGGAAGCCCAGGCTGTCGTACTGCATGCGGCCTGTTTTCTTCAGGCACATGACGGCAGTGATGAAGATCAGGATCAGCAAGACTACACAACCTGGGGGAGGAGAGGAAATAAAAAAATATTATTTTTATTGTTATTGTAGTATTTAGTATTTTACCAGCACCACTGGACTCCAGAGGCGGAACTACAGTACCGCCAGACCCCGCAATACGGGGGGGGGGGGGGGGGGGCACGCTATTTAGGGGCCCACAGTCATATTCTTTTTCCCTTTGTTTTTAACCACTGTGAAAGCCGAGTCCTCTTTCTCCTTATTGATTAAACTTAGCAAAGATAAGCAAACGTTCAAACCACTTCAATGACTTATTTCCCTTTTTAAAATAGTCAAAGGGGTGCTCATAAGCTCATTTTAATAGATTTGTACTAAACAAATTAAAAAGCAATTACTTCTCTTAATTATTTTTATAGAAAGTACTTACTAAAGAATGACATTGTATAAATATGAAATGTATTTAAAATTAATATTATAAATACAAAAAAAAAACATAAAATAATCATAACATGAGACACTAGAAACATTAGAAGTTGAGAGGACTCACAGCAAAAATAATGTAAAACTGATTTTCCCAAAACACACTTAAACACTTCCACACATGACATGATGTAGTAATTTGTTTAATTGGAAAAAAAAACATTTTTTTTTTCAAAACCCGAACAGGCCACAAATGAGTATCCTATATTCATATTTTGTTTGAATATATATATATATATATATATATATATATATATATATATATATATATATATATATATATATATATATATATATATATATATATATATATATATATATATATAGGCCTATATATATATATATATATATATATATATATATATATATATATATATATATATATATATAGGAAGGGGGGGGGGCTAAAACATTTTTTTGCGGGGTGGCCCTTTTTTCTAGTTCCGCCACTGCTGGACTCTTTCCAAACTAGGTGCCTGTGAAGAAGAAAAAGCATCACTGGCCTAACACCATCTTCAATGATAAACTATAAGAAGAGATGGAAATGGAGGCCTTTCTGAAATAATAAAAAAAAAAATCGCTGGAAAGGGAATGTCTTGAGAATGAACCCCGATGATAAAGCAGAAATGCGGTAAACTGGATGACTCTAGGAAAAAAGAAAACGGAAGCCCAAGAAAGACATGGAGGTGCATGGTGGGGAAACAGCTGGCTGATGCAGAACTGTCTTTAGTGACTACCAGAAAATGTTTGGGTGAGCTTTTTGTGGCAACCTCATATGTCTTGGATACGAACGCAAAAGATGATGAGGATTAATTATTTTAATTATTTCTAATTCTAGGGCAGTGATGAAATATTTGAAAAACTACAACTAGCTAAAAGATTATTTCTCCACTGTTTGACCTTATGTCTCAGGTTACAGAAGATAATGCTAAACTTAGCAGTAAGTACGGGATGGCATGGTTCAAGTGATAGAGAGTGAAAATTATTTTATAGATCGTCTCAGAGTCTACTCAGATCTGATGCAAACCTGGCTAGCTCAGTATAATTAAAGATAGCTGAGCATCTAGCCACTCACCATCCTTTTGTATAAACAGATGAAATCTACTTCATCTGCTAGTTAAGAATTGATATTTTACTGTACAAATAGCACAAAAAGGGCTCATTTATAGTAAAATATTATAAAAAAAATAACTTTAAGTAGCCATAATTACATCAGTAATCTCATGTAAAATACTCTGAACATAAACATTTGTAATGAGTAAAGAATAAATCTATTAATTTAATTTTTATAACTTACCTAAAATCAATTTAAAAACAATTAATAAAAAAAACATACCTATAATTGTGAGGCTGACAAACACTTACCTATAATTGTAACAGATAGCATGGGAGACAATCCAAATATCCAAGTACTGGTGATCATCTCAATACCAATTTCCTTAGCATTTGGACCTAACAGCACCACCACCTCCTGTAATAATTGAAAACAAAAATATTTATAACATAATGCTTATCAATGTGACGGTATGTTCTGACCATAGATCATCTCAATACCAATTTCCTTAGCATTTGGACCTAACAGCACCACCACCTCCTGTAATAATTGAAAACAAAAATATTTATAACATAATGCTTAACACAGGGACAGTATGTTCAGACCATAGATCATCTCAATACCAATTTCCTTAGCATTTGGACCTAACAGCACCACAACCTCCTGTAATAATTGAAAACAAAAATATAACATAATGCTTAACAAAGGGACAGTATGTTCAGACCATAGATCATCTCAATACCAATTTCCTTAGCATTTGGACCTAACAGTACCACAACCTCCTGTAATAATTGAAAACAAAAATATTTATAACATAATGCTTAACACAGGGACAGTATGTTCAGACCATAGATCATCTCAATACCAATTTCCTTAGCATTTGGACCTAACAGCACCACAACCTCCTGTAATAATTGAAAACAAAAATATAACATAATGCTTAACAAAGGGACAGTATGTTCAGACCATAGATCATCTCAATACCAATTTCCTTAGCATTTGGACCTAACAGCACCACCACCTCCTGTAATAATTGAAAACAAAAATATAACATAATGCTTAACAAAGGGACAGTATGTTCAGACCATAGATCATCTCAATACCAATTTCCTTAGCATTTGGACCTAACAGCACCACAACCTCCTGTAATAATTGAAAACAAAAATATAACATAATGCTTAACAATGGAACGGTATGGTCAAATGGTAGAGCATACAACTGCTAACCCGAAATTTTCAAATTCTGCTAGAGTCTGCAAACGTCCCTGAGTCCACCTAGCTCTGATAGGGAGGTACCTGACTCACATAATGAATAAATAAAGGTGGCAAGGCATAATGCTGACCACACTATCCTTCAATATGCAGAGATCACAGAATCAAATAAACTCTACTTCATCTTCCACAGACCAAGGTTCAAAGGATAACTTTACTTTTTTTTTAAAGCAAAAAATGTGTGCATAAAATTTGAATAAAAAAAAAAATTAAAAAAATAAAAACAAAATCCCTACCGTATCCTGATCCTGGTAACTGCTGACAACAGATTTAAACTTGTAGGTCCCTCCTGGCAGGTAGAAGATGAATCTGCCTTTACTGTCTGTGTACTGCACATAGCCTGAAGGGGTTGCCGTAATCCTCACCTGAGACAAAGGTTTCTGGCTCTCTTTGTCCACCACAGTTCCATACACTCCTTTATGTGACTACATGATGTACATGAATTTGAGGATGAATTAACAAATATTTAAAATATGTTCTATCAAGAAAAGAAAAAAAAAATATCTAAATTATCATTTGAGTATGCTAGATACAATAAAGCCAGCTATTGTCAGAATTTTAGCTTAATCTTAAGAAAATGAGCTTAACCAGCTCTAATTAGTACTCAACATTAGTTGGATAGAAAAACAGGCAAGTGCCTCAAATACTAGCAACTGTATCACCACAAAAAACAATGACATTAAGGCTGTCTTCACTTAGAAACTACTGGCCTCAAGATAATACCATTTTGATAAAATTAAAACAAAAATATTCAACCTATCCTTGACGCCTTCAATGCTGAAATAATTACCATGATAAAAGAGCTATGAAAAAAATTGGTATTCAGCCAATCTGGTGCAATACTGACTTCAATAATAAAACCATTGTGCTATGAAAACATCAACACACCTCTCTGATGAGGGACATGAGTGGCTGCTTCATGTGTGTCCAGATACCAACCAGCTGGTCAGCACTTGGGTACCTGCAACAGCTGGTGTACACCTCCAGTGCAGCACGATGAACATTCCAGTGGAGGTATCGCTAAAATACGCAACACAACAAAACTTAGTAAATAAATATTTCAGTGTGAGTCTGTAGATATTGCTAAAATACGCAACACAACAAAACTTAGTAAATAAATATTACACTGTGTGAGTCTGCAGGTATCGCTAAAATACGCAACACTACAAAACTTAGTATGAGTCTGTAGGTATCGCTAAAATACACAACAGGCTAAGATAATATGAAAAATATTTCACTGTGTGAGTCTGTAGGAAGCTCTTAAGGGAATATGCGCTCTAAAAAAAAAAAAAAAAAAATCAGAAATTCCTTTTTTTTCGTCATGATGGGTTTCTTGTACTTTTGGATACTTTGTCCATTTTTGTATTAAGAAAATAATAACTTTAATGAGAAAAAAAAATGTATTTGTTTAAAATACCATTTTTATGACCCTATTAATTAAAAAATAATCAATTTTTCCCAATCTTACAAGCTCCCTATGAAAAGTTTTATATCCGTCATATATTTAGCATCATTGGAAAGCTGGATTTCTCATGTATTTGATAATCTTTATTTCCATCATCTTGGAAACACCCAAACACACCAAACTTAGTAAAAAATAAATTAATGTATAACACTGTAGGTAATTCTAAAATATGTAAAACACCTAAACTGAATAAATATATTTCAATAATGGGTTTGTAGGTAGCTCTAAAATACATTGCAAACTAAAATTTTGTAAAAACTTTTTAAGTATGACCTTGTGGGTACTCTAAAGTTTAAAACAAACCAAATCTTACAAGCAGTTTACTAAAAATATTTCAATGTATGAATCTATAGGTTGCTCTAAAGTACACAGAAATCAAAACAAGCAATTGAATAATTTTTTTACAAAATCTAGAATAAAATATGTACAAATTTACCATTAGACTTCCTTTGTGGGAAAAGTATTTTTCATACTCTACTATAGGAGATTTAAAACTTTCACCTGAGAAGAAATTGTTGGAGGTTAAATAATGAAAACAGTGATCTATTTTTAGAAATTAAATTTATTTTACTGTCATTAGTCGATGGAAAATATTCAGTTCTGACTGACCTTTATAAGGCATTAAAACAAATAATATACTACTCAAATTCATTTCCTGTTTGTTTTTCACGAATAATAAAACATAATAAAACAAAGCTTCTATTGCTGTATAACCATAGAGTTATCTTACCACATCCAAGATTTGTTGTCTCCCCTCCACCACCGTGAACAAATGCCTCAGCCAATGCTAAAAGAGTAAAATGAAAACAAGTTTTAAAAAATGTGTAAAATTAAATAAAAGAATTTTTTTTTAGTACACGGAAGTTATGAGGAAAACAAGTTAAAAACATTTGCAAAATTAAAAGAAGAGATGAATTAATTTTTTTTTGACAACGCATGACCTAACAGTGTTGGTTATTGCCCATTGTAATGTACCTTGGTCAGCTGGTCCAAAATAGGCCACCACATTATTCCCACTGCGCAGGTTGACAACTATATGAGAGTTTGTATCTGACAAGGCTTTCTTCAATGCCTTGGTCTCAAGCTGTTCTTCATCACCTTTGTAGTCATCAACACCTGGGAATAGATAGATCAACAACTACAATTATGAACTACAGGCATAATAAAATGTCAAAAAACACATCATATATGTTCACATTTTAAATTTCCAGCAATCAACATTAGTTAATTGCTGAAAATATCTTTAAACAAAAAACAAAATAAATTTGATCAATGTCATGCCCTTTATTTAAAAAAAAATTGTCTTACATCACTCATTACACTACAACTATACATTTCTACATATAAAAAATAAACTCATTTCTGGCATCTAAAAAGCTTTATTTTGGACTATTTAGTATAAGACAGGGGTCTCCAAACTACGGCCCGCTGCCAGATGCGGCCCGTGAGGTCCTCTCATCCGGCACTCGGAGATCTTTTTGTCCACGGATTAAATGTTTGTAGGAGGTGGATGAGAAAAATTTCAAAACAAACTGAAAATGTAGCATTGGGTGCAAATACCATTGAAGTAAATGTGGCCAGTTGCCCAGCAAATGACAGCATTAAAGACAAGGTCAAATAAGGGCAGGTGGGTTTTATAAGTATTAGCCCAACTAAGACTTTCCTAATATTAAAACTTTAGCATCAAAGTGCCTTTCAAATTTGGAACAACATACAAACTTTATCAAGAACAATTTGATAACAAACTTTGGAACTCTACTGTGTTGATGGTCCCTGACAGTGTTTATTTCAGACTTTTTTCTCAGGTAGGGAGGGGGGCACTTGTTGAAATTTGTATATATATATATATATATATATATATATATATATATATATATATATATATATATATATATATATATATATATGCCTATATAGGGGGTTGGCGTTCTTTGGGGGGGGGGGGGGGGGAAAGAAAGGGTTATGATCTCTTACAGAATTGTATAAAGAGACTTTCTCATCTCCCAGTGCTTTTTAAGTCTTATAAACATCTAATTGTGATGAAATGGGGGAAGAGTGGTGGGGGAGGGGGCATGTGTCTGACATGTCTAATAGTGTGTTGCTCCCATAATCCTTCAGTAAACTGCTCACCCAGGAAGTTGGTGTCCAGGTCAAAGTTGAGAGAGTTGTTGTGCCCCATCCCTTTCTCACAGACACTGGGCATGGCCAGCCGACCACCATCCACATTCAGTGCTGGAATAATGAAAATCTCCATCTCCTGTAGCAACTACATGGGAAACAAAAACAGAAGAGTTACACAGTGATTAAAGCAAAATACACTATTTCTATGACATGCTAGCTGTTCTAAACATGATATTCATGTTAAGTTAATCCCCCCCCCCAAACAATATATCTCCTACTTTAGGAACAGTTAAGGACCAGACTTCTAGCAGACAGGCAATAGAAGCAGATGTAAGTGAAATAACATATAGTGTTAATGTCTAACCAGCAAATCAGTGGAGATGGAGAATTTTTAAATCTTTTATTTGCTACTCTTTTGTAATTGCAATACCTATCTACACATTTAGTCTTAATAAATCCTTAAAAAACTATTTAAAATGCTAAACCTATCAAAATACTCTATAAAAAGAATTCTATATACAGTGAGGTTGTGTTGTTCTTTTGTTTATACTTGTTACTTTCATTAGCCAACAACCACTACTTGTTAAACACGCTCAAGAAAAAAATCCAAGAAATATTTTTAAAAGGACCCAGCTTGATCTGACGAAAAGAAAACCCCACTCTAAAATAATCTAACTGGCCCTAATTCTACAAACAAAAACCCACCCTACCTTTGCCATAAAATCATCCTGCTTGCCCTGATCATACAAAAACCCACTATCAAACAAAAACCCACCCTACCTTTGCCATAAAATCATCCAATTCGCCCTGATCATACAAAAACCCACCCTACCTTTGCCATAAAATCATCCTGCTTGCCCTGATCATACAAAAACCCACCCTACCTTTGCCATAAAATCATCCTGCTTGCCCTGATCATACAAAAACCCACTATCAAACAAAAACCCACCCTACCTTTGCCATAAAATCATCCAATTCGCCCTGATCATACAAAAACCCGCTATCATACAAAAACCCACCCTACCTTTGCCATAAAATCGTCCTGCTTGCCCTGATCACACAAGTACATGCCCAGCTGGACCAGGACCTCTCTGGACACCATCTCCTCCCCGTGGACATTGCCCACAAAGAATATCTTAGGCCTCAAATGACCCTCAGACACAGGATGACCAAACTTCAGCATCCAGATATCAGACTCCAATTTGGTTTTACCAATACTGAAAGAGACATACAATTTCATCAAATCCTAGAATTTTTAAACAGTAGCTGAAATAAAGAATGAAAAACTATTGAAAAACTGAGGCTGATGGTACATAATGAATAATCTAGAACTGAATCTTTGACGCCAACTGAACAAATGCTGCATTGTGTCTTAAATTTACAATTTACAACTTATTTCTTGGCAACCATTTAATATTGTACAAATTGTCCTGAGTTAACAGGTTGAACAATGTTTCAGATGAAGTTTACAATAAACTTTTTACAAGTAATTTTTGTACAGAAAAAACACCTCAAAACTACTGCCCAGCCAGTGAGCTTATAAACACCAAGAATATACACATTACAGAAAAAAAAATTGTACAAAGTCTTTATAGAGAAAACATATGTGAAAACAGGATATAGTAAGTTCTTTATTCAAATTGACTAATTAACAAAAATAATTTGTTTTCCCTGTCTAAAAAGACAACATGAAATTTTTTTTCTACTCGACTAAATTAACAAAAAGAATTTCTTTACCCGACTTAACTGTGTAAAAATATGAAAATCTTTGTTTACCTGACTTAACTGTGATAACAAAATATGAAAATCTGTTTACCTGACTTAACTGTGATAAAAATCATCAACTTTCGTTTACCTGGCTTAAACTGATAAAAATAAACAGCTTTTGTTTACCTGACTAAGCTGGCAATATCCTGACACTTGCTGGATATATTCTTCAATGAACTGGTGAGAGCCGTGTAGTCATGGTAACCCACCCTCTGGTTGCTGGTGTCCTCCACCTTCAGCACTACATCCAGGGTGACGGGGGAATTCTCCTGCATGTAGATCCTTTTGGTCACTGTGTTGTAGCCTAAATGGTAGAGACTTGTTGTAAGCAGGATTTCAACTTGACTAGTTGTGTGTTAGGTAACGATTTTCAAGTTAGGTTGGCAATTTTTAAGCATGTTGACAATTTATAAATATATTGACAATTTTGTAAAGATTTTGACTATTTAATATGTATTGACAATTTGTAAGCATGTTGACAATTTGTAAAGATGTTGGCGAATTCGTAAGCATATTGAAAACTTGTAGGTATGTTGATGGGACAGCGTGACCTGGCGTTAGACTGCTAACTCAAAAATCTTGAGTTCGAATCCAGATGTTTACAATTTGTTAATATATTGACAACTGGTATGTTTAGTAGAGACTACTCTGTAACATATGTGTGTTATGGAGACAGTAGACACTAGTTATGAAGTTAGAATATTTTATAGGTAATATATTCTATTAGTATTAAAATGACTAACTTATTCATTCTGCCAGTAAATAATTACTAAATTAAAGCTACCAGGTAAAAGGAAACTACAACAGATAAGCAGGTATCCAAGTGAACGCCTTACCCTTAGCTTCTATTGTGATGTCATGGTAGCCCGCTGTAGTCAGCCAAAAGAAATTAGAACTTAATTCAAATTTACTGCGACTGTCCAGCTGCAGGGAGTACGAGGAGATTGTCTCCCCCTTTTCATTGACCACCTTGCCCTGGACCCCTGAAGACATAAGTTTTTTTAACTTCGTTAAAATTAGCATGGCATGTTAGTATATACGGTACATAAAAAATAATATGACAATTATTTCAACTAAAAATTAAAACAGGCAATCATGAATTAAAATTACGTAAGTATGAACTAAAAGTGGAGGTTTTAGTTTGAGCTTGGCAGTCCATGGGGTCCCTGTGGTAGAGTTCACCTGTTTCTACGACCTCTGCATATGAAGGCATAATGTGGTCAGCACTGTGTCCAGCCACCTTTCTCTAATGTAAGCCAGGTACCCATCAGCGCTGGGTGGACTCAGGGACATCTTAAGGATTACAGCCAGGGACCCGAACTCTCTAGACTTTAAGGTTAGCAGTCGTGCACTCTCCACACCACCCCATGTAAGTATGCAAGGCAGATACGTATAACATTACGTGTGTAATTTACATTTTTTTAATTACTAAAATTGTATTTTATCATAGACAAATCGCAATTCATAAAACAGATGACTTACAAATCTCCAGCGAACGTTTATTTTATCAAGCAAAAATAAAAAAGTTTTCTTGCTGTAGGAACCAACCTTGTAGAGACTTAGTTAAGACATTTAGAATGGGTTGCAGAGATGCCATCCACAGGTCTGGGAGTTCCAAGGCAGGGGGGTATTTGCAGCATGCTATGTGGGCACTAAGCTGGAGAGGATTAGATGAAGCAAATGATAACACACCTCACAACTACTGCCTATCTAGTGAGTTGGTGCACAATAGATTACAGCAACAACACATCACAACTACTGCCCATCTAGTGAGTTGGTGCACACAACAGGAATATACAGATTACAGCAACAACACCTCACAACTACTGCCTATCTAGTGAGTTGGTGCACACAACAGGAATATACAGATTACAGCAACAACACCTCACAACTACTGCCTATCTAGTGAGTTGGTGCACACAACAGGAATATACAGATTACAGCAACAACACCTCACAACTACTGCCTATCTAGTGAGTTGGTGCACACAACAGGAATATAGAGATTACAGCAATAACACCTCACAACTAGTGAGTTGGTGCATACAACAGGAATATATAGATTACAGCAAAAACACCTCACAACTACTGCCTATCTAGAGTTTATGCACACGCCAAGAATATAGACTTTACAGAAAATTATTAGAGTCAGTAAACTACCAAGAGACATGTATGAAAATTAATAGCTTGTTATCCAGAGCTAGTATCAGTATTTAAATATTTTATAAATTAGCATTTTACTCAATTTTTTTATGTAATAGCAAATAGATTCACAAACACATTTTTTAAACTTTTTTTCAAACTTAGATTTCAATCTTTTCCATAAGATATAACATACTACTTATAAAGATGATAGGGCTGTATATATTTGTTATAAAATTCATTGTACAATGTATGAAAGCAATCTAATAAAAACGATAAATGAGATTTAAAAAAAAATAATTGAAAGCTTTCATTTTATTAATGTAGTATATAAAAATCAATTTCACAAAGAAAATATTAAAGAAAATCTATCAAGAGACTATAAAACTGAATCAATAATTTTTCTTCTAAATTTTGTACGGCTAGACACGTGCACTAACAAATATTATTTAATAGAAGTAAATCTACATTTTGTAATAACTATCTAACTATAAAAAACTAGTCACAATAACAGCCTAAATCAAATCAAAGAAGGGACATAATCACAGCCTAAATCTACCAAGGGACATAAAAACTCAACAAAAGGGGCATAACCGCTAACTAAATAAAAAAAATTGACACAATCACAGACAAACACCATGCCTTACCATCAAGGTCCTGTACTGAGCATACACAGTATCAGCAAAGGCTACTCCGTCGTTGCCCATGGATGCCCCATGAATAATCCCTGAATATTTAGCCCCACCACAAGCCTCTGGATGGTGGATGTCAGTCATTGACTTGACAAAAGCCATGGATATCTCCTGGAGAATGTCTTCATCCTCTGTCATCACTAGATCTATATGGTTTTCACTCAGTGGAACATTACGAGGGATGCTAAAATTTGTAATAGCAATATTATTAGGGACATATTAATTTAAATCTGTATGAAAGAGTAAAGATGTTCTTAAGAGTAAGATGTTCTTAAGAGTAAAGACGTTCTTAAGATGTATTAAACAATATGCTACAGGTAACAGAATAAAGAAGCACTATCAAATTACTTGATAAATTAAAATTTAAAGAAAAATTACAATTTTATCCTGAAACAAAACTAAATGTGGAAACAGAACTAAATGTGGAGTAAAAAAAGAATAATAGTATTAAAATTCATTTTTAAAACCTAAGCATAATCAAGTGTCTGTGTCATATTAAGTAGAAGAATTCAAGAGAATTTTAATTCTGGTACAATAAAAAAAATATTTTTAGTACATACACAATGAACTTGCCACCCCCTTCCAAATTGAGTATAAGGTCAAACTTGTACGAGGCAATAAAATTCACTAGGTAGGAGACAGATGGGTCCTGGAAGCAAAAAGTCAAATATTTTTAAATTATCAACATACAATTTTCAAAAACTAGCGCAATGTGAATATCTTCCATAACTCGTATTGTTAAAAGGTTTGAGATGGGGGGGGGGGGGGGGATGGGATTTAAAATAAGTCAAGATAGGTTTGATGAAATTGTTTGCCCTCTTTAAGTATTGATTTACCTATTCATTGAAAAAGTTACAAAATGGTTTCCGATCTAAAGCAAATAAACCTATTCAATACCCTGTCCCAGAGGTGTAGCGACCCTTCCGGGCGCCCAGTGACAAACTTTCAATTTCGCGCCCCCTCGGGAGCAACCTTTCAATTTTCAATTTGCACTCCCCTCAAACTTTAAATTTGCACCCCCACCCCCCATATATTTTTTATATTTATAATGCAAAACTGCATTTTTTTTTTGTTCTTCCAACCCATTTTGGCGCCCTCTAAGGTCGGCGCCCAGGGACATATGTACCCCCTCTCGCTACGCCTCTGCCCTGTCTTCATGTTAAAAAGCAAAAAAAGATAATTCTCCCAGCATGACAGGGCAACTGACAATACAGTTTCTCTTCATATTTCATTTCAACTCTTTCTTCACGAAACTGTTAACACAAAAAGCATCAACAATTCTTTACTCCCATTATATACATTGTAACAAATTTGGTTTAACTTGAAAAACAAAAACAATCTGCGATTATGTGTAAAAAAATATTAATAATACTTTTGTAACAGTTAAATGTAGATGAATTATGTTTCGAGTATGTATCTTAAAAAGGCGATATGAATATAAAATATAGTATGGGTGTGCGCATGCGCTAAGGAAAGGTAGCAGAGAGAGGTAGATAGAGCGGGAGGAGATGACGAAACTGAAAATCGTGGTTCTAGTAGTGTAGCTGCTATATATCTGATATCAATAAAAGACTGTAAAATCACCAATAATGTTGTTTGTATTTGCCTTTAGTTCGTGCCATGAACCCAGTCATACAAAAGGGCTGTGACAACTTTAAAATATAAAATTAAAAAAAAAAAAAATCCTATTGACCGCTTACCTTTTCTATGACAAGTTTATTGAACTTTGACCCTTTGTAATTCTCCCCTGTGCAGTCCCCAGCTACAGCAGAGGTAACCTGAGCATTGAACTGAGGCAGGATGTGAACATGCACCTTGCTCAGAACATTCACAACCTTGGGCTCCTTCTGGTTGAAACCTGGAATACATTTTTTTTAAAAATTTGTTGGAGAATTTCACACAGATTCAACAAATGTAAGGTACATTAAATTTCACAAACAATATCTTTTTGTCTAACATATAAAATGTTCTAAATTCACAATAGGTTAACAAAAATGGTTTTTAACTACCATATTTTCCAGCATATAAGCTGTCCTTAACCAAGAAAAATATCTAAAGAGTTAGGGGCCGTTTTATAAATTTTGTCGTTTTTTAGGGCGGGTATATCACAAACTAAAATTTAATTTTAAAATTTGGGGGTGGGAGTGGGTGTTTTATTCAACCAGTCATCTTAAACTGAATATTTTGGTAATTATATTTCAAAACTCTCTTCAGTAATTACCATAAACCCTCCTACCAAAGCCCTGTTATTTTTATTTCACATGTAGATTAATGAAAATAACTGAATACAAACTCACCTGTGATTAAATGACGAGCTAATCTCACAAGTATCTCGCCACCTAGTGGTGAATCACCATTCAGGACACCCAGCAAGAGGACATGGGGCTTGCTATCATTGAACGACTACAATAAAGTAAATTAACACTAGTTTTATAATTGTCAGTTATGCTAGAAACGTAAACTCTTAATATAAAAATTAAATATATATAAATATAATATACATAAATTTATATTAACTCAAAATATAAAATGTTTATCTTGCATTAAAGTATATTATATTTCTTAACCATACAATAATAGCTTAGTTATTGTTACCTCGCAAATAATATTTATTCCTTAACGAAACATTTTACATTATTTCCCTTTAAGAGTTATTATTTAAGAAAGGAAAATAATCTAAAAGAATTTTGTAAAGGAAGTTTAATAATTACATCTACTGTATTTTAGCCATGTAAGTATGTCTATGTATATATGTTAACTAAATATAAAAGATATTAGACAATGTATAAATAAATATATATATTAATTTGAATTATCCTTACAGCTGAAAGATGAATTGTAGCAATCTCATCATTCCCAGGGGGTCCCAAATGTTCATACTTGGCAACAGTTGGATTTTTGCTGGCCATGTTAAGAAGCTCCTGTTTGATATCGCTGGGTGACAAGTAGCGATCAGACTGCATGTTTTCTTTAATGTCAAAGTCCTCCACTGACGTCCACTTGGCAGCGTCCACCACAGCTAGGCTAAAGTTGACAGACACAGCTGCCCCAGAGCTGACCTTGACAGTTATGGACTGGGGCTTGTAGCTGGAGAAAATTAAAAGGTATGGTTTATTTTTCACGAGCCGGCCCGCGGCATAACATACGCCGCTATTTAGTTGTTTCTAATTTTCAATAATTCATAATTTGTGAATTCGACAGTACCAACGCTGACACTGAAAATATTTCTTTAAAACACTATAAGTAGCTCATTAAGGACCATAACCCCCCCCCTTCCTTCCCTCCCCCCCCCTCCCCCCCCCCCCTACGTTTAAAATCGTTGGCTCTGCTTGTAAACATTTAGAGTGAACACAGCTCACTAAAACCATGTAGGGGTGGGGAGGTAGGGAGAGCGTTTGCAGCTTGTTTTCTAACGGCTCGAAGAAGAGAATTATATATATAGATAGCTTTTTGCAACAAAACAAACTTTTTTTTAAAAGAAACGGGAACTAAAAAGAAAAATTTGAAAATTGGCTCACTTGAATGAAATGTTATTGATTTTACACTTGGCTCATTGAAAAGAATTAAAATAATTTTACATAGAATGTTCTATTTTTCTTTATGTAGCTGATATATTAACTCTGACGTTAAACTAAGTAAGTAGGTACATATGTTAGCCAAGTATGAATGTAATGTAAACGACACATGATCAATGCCAGTATCCATTCCCTACCCTAAGGCACTACCAGTTTAGACTTATTTTTGCAGAGGAAATAACAGTTAAAACATTCTTTCCTTTAGGTGCTAACAGAACATATTTCTACTTCTTCTTCTTCGTTCTTAATTTTAGTGTTGGAAGGGATCACCTCCAACACAATTAAGTATACGTGTAGACTGGTTATGCGCCATTGAGGCCATCGACTCCAATTTAAGCCTGCTTTTCTTTTTGGATTTGCTTCCATAAACTTTGTCCAACCAAGAACAAACTACAAGACAGCAGTTATTTAATGTTGGAGTTGTCTCTCCTAGATGAGTGGTTGTCCCCAGCTGCCCAAGGGTTCAAACTCGAGACTTTTAAGCAGCCATCAGCTTTACCGACTCAACTACACCGACCCCTATATTTCTACTTATTAAAGATATATTCTTACCCAATGGCACTAGCAGTTAAGACGTAGGTCCCGGGGGTGAGCAGTCTCCAGTAATCCCCGTCAGCCGCTGAGTGTATATCATGCTTGATGCCCTCCACTGATATCACGGCATTAGCTATAGGCGCATCAGATTCTTTGTCTTTGACGAACCCTCTCACACCTTTGTGTACCTAAACCACAGAAACAACACACGTTATCAGAGACAATGTAGGTTTCACTTCATAGAAAAATATAAATACTGTAGTAATAAATAAATTTAAAAAAAAAAGAAAATTGAAAAGATTTTATCATGGCTATAAGTTTATACATTGATGGGCGTATGGCCTTTTAGTAAAGGTTAACGGGCAGGGTGCAAGAGTTCCTAGATGAACTTGAACGGCCATGTGTTCATGACCAAGGTGAGCCACCTAGATGGAGGCATCAGGCTGTGTCAGGCATTGGGCGGAGTGGGTGTCATCATGTGACACTTAGCCCTAGACGCACCACACAAATCTGTGATGTCCCAACAACCCTCAGCCTCAACAGATAAGGGATATACATTTATACACACACAGAGTGTGTATAAATATCTACGTTTGTATGGAAAAGTATATGAATGCAGTATGTACAATTGTAATTGTTTATAGTGAAATAAGGCAGTAGATGTTTTAAGAATTTTCTGGTAACAAAATACCATAAGAAAATAACATTCCAGCAACTTAAACTTACCTGGCCCATGTAAACTAGTAGTGAGTCTTTGTTGGCCTCCCAGTATGAGGGTAAATCACTTTTCAGTGGGTACTTGACACAGCCCAACTCAAATGTGATGTCAAAACAGTTGGTGAATCCGTAGTTCCAGTCCTGCATGCCGCCTGTTAAAAGTGTGTAAACTTTATGACCTCTCTTCTTGAGAAGTTAACGTAGGATACAAGGCATGTTAACATCATAGTTATGGGCAGCGCTCCATCTAAGCTGAGCGGTTTTGTGGCCGTGCAGTAGTTTTGAGCTGCCGCGCAGTGATTTTGTAAAATAAATATATCCTTGTACAAGACTTTTAGAACAGCATGCACAGAAAATACATTTTGCACACTAACTTTTGTCCCTTAGAGGAAATATTGGTTATTTGACAGCATGGTTTCATAGTAGAGCACATGCCTGCTAACCCAAATGTCTTGAGTTCGGTTCACTAAACAGAGTCTGTAAAAGTCTATGAGACCGCTTAGTTTTATGGGTACCTGATGAGTTTAAAGCAGCTGGGCATTAGATCTGACCACATTATTTGTAGAGGTCAATGAAACAAGTAAACTCTACTTCACCTGACTTACTGAATGCCAGGTCCAAAAGGGGTAACTTTACTTTTACTATCAGAAGCATATAAAAAGATTTATAAGCTTATACTCAACAATGCAGGATTATCTACAGTGAATGCTCAATATATTTCATTTCATCAAAGAGTATCTAAATGAGTAGAAATTGGAGATCTTAACAAGAAAACAATGAGGATAAACCAACATCACATAATAATTGGATAAATGTTATGTTTAGTTGACACTTACCAGTCACAGCGTACCACTTGGCACCGTTAGTAACACCATTTTCAAAATACGTATCATCAATATTTGGACATGGGTGGCCAGAATGCATACTTGAATGTGCCTATATGTAAAGAAAAATTTTTTTGAAGCATTATCTCGTACAGTTATTCATACATAAAGTGATATTGAATACTAATTTAGAAAACACCCTTTTGAACCAGACAGCTAAATATGGTAAAATTTTTCCTAATTTGAAAAGATGTATCCCAGCATAATTTCAAGATATTTTTACTTTTCCTGAGTTTTCTTCAGACACCCATGCATGACAGTCCTAGAGACTCAGGCCAGGGACAGACTAGGATTCCTACTCTACCCACCCCCACGATAATTTTGGGGTGGTTACTAAATGTGGGACGGAGTGGTCTAACGGTAGAGAGCTGGACTGCTATCCCATAAGTCTCGAGTTTGAATCCGGGTTCAATTCAGTGGACAGTCCCTGAGTCAACCCAACTCTAATGGGGTACCTAATTCACGTTAGGGAAAGTAAAGGCGGCTGGGCATAGTGCTGACCACACTATGTCTTCATATGCCGAGGTCACGGAAACAAGTGAACTCTACTTCACTTGCCCTATAGACTGTCAGATTTGAAAAGGGATCTTTCCTTTTTTTTTTACTTTTACTAAATGTGCACACACTATTCTCAAGTAAAGTACACCAGTTAAGGAGATAATTATCCAGAAGATAATTTTTAAAGATGCAGTGTAATTCAGTTGACTACCCAAGTGTACAAAATAATTTTTCAGAAAATGTGTAAAAAAAAAATGCAGTGTATTGTCCACTACATAGTGACCAGACAAAAAATATTTTCAATCAGAAGGTAAACAAAAAGTAGGAAGGAGTCAGTGTGGTCAGGTCATATAAGCTCATGGTTGCTAAACTGAAAAATCCCGAGTTCTAACCACCAGGCAGATGAGTCTCAATAGCTGTAGGACAGCAACATTTTAAGGAGAGACAACTTCAAAATCAAACAAATGCTGCTTTGTAGTTTGTTTTTGGTTGGGCAGGAAATCCAAAAAAGAAAAGCAGGTTGATATAGTCAACAGCATTTACAGTGCATAACGTTGACACATTATAATTAGTTTTGTTTGAAAAAATCCTTCAACACTACAACTAAGAACGAAAATGAAAGTAAAAGTGGACTGTACCAGTGAGTAAGACTCAGCTAATTGTTTGAACACAGCGCTGTCAGGAGACTCAGACGGCACCACAGGATGACCACTCGGGTAGTCGTCGTAGGGGTAGTTGGCCACCAGGGAGCCCCCGTGCATGTTGGCAGACAGGACAAACGGGTAGGACATTGTCCAGTTCATCACTTCCAGAGTCTCAATCTCCTGGACTTTGTTGGTCTCCACTTGGTTGAAAAGCCCCGGGAAATTTCTGTTTAGGTCTATGTTGTGAGCATTGGAGCGCCCTTCAATGCCTGAGATGTCTCCTAAAAAATTTGAATTAATATTTTTATTTTTTAGTTTAGACATAAAACTGTAAACATAAATTGTAATAAATGTTGATATAAAAAAATATTATAAATAATTATAGATTTAAGATCATATTACAACTAAAAAGTCATATCACATTTATTGGGTTTAACGAAAACAATATTTAAATTTGGAAAAGCATTCGAAAAAAATGTGGTAAAAGAATGAATATTGGGAGAAATACACTTCAATAACTGGAGTTTAAAGTAGTTAAAAAGTACTATTCTTCTAACTATATAAACATATTGGTATAGCTATCTGGATAAAATCCCTTACAACTAAATGAGGCAGAGAAACTTACCCTCTTTAACAATCTCTTTGCCATCTGGCTAATATCCCTTGCAACCATAAGAAAATGAGGCAGAGAAACTTACCCTCTTTAGCAATCTCGTAGCCATCTGTCTAATATCCCTTGCAACCATAAGAATATGAGGCAGAGAAACTTACCCTCTTTAGCAATCTCGTAGCCATCTGTCTAATATCCCTTGCAACCATAAGAATATGAGGCAGAGAAACTCACCCTCTTTAGCAATCTCATAGCTATCTGACTAATATCTCTAACAATTAAATGAGGCAGAGAACCTTACCCTCTTTAGCAATCTCGTAGCCATCTGACTAATATCTCTTACAATTAAATGAGGCAGAGAGACTTACCCTCTTTAGCAAGCTCGTAGCCATCTGACTTGCAACCATAAGAAAATGAGGCAGAGAAACTCACCCTCTTTAGCAATCTCGTAGCCATCTGTCTAATATCCCTTGCAACCATAAGAATATGAGGCAGAGAGACCTACCCTCTTTAGCAATCTCGTAGCCATCTGTCTAATATCCCTTGCAACCATAAAAAAATGAGGCTGAGAAACTCACCCTCTTTAGCAATCTCGTAGCCATCTGGGTTCATACTGGGCATGAGGTGTATGCGTGTCTGGTCGACCATCAGGGTGATGAGCTGGTCAGTGCCGTAGTTCTCACACAACAGCGTGGCCAGAGACAGGAGCATCACTCTGCCCACCACCTCGTTCCCGTGCATGTTGGCTATGTACTTGAACTCAGGCTCACCTGCATAAGATGGCAGAATAGTGATGTCATAAAATGAGTCTCCAGGAACAAAGAAATCTTTCTGATAGACTGAATATAATCAAATCAAATCATGGTTAATTAATAACCTATTATGATGTGTGGATCTGGACAGGGCCGATGCTGGAAGTTGACGAACAATGTACGAGAAATGACAGACATGACGAAGACTTCTACACCCTCACACGACAAGAACAAGACTCAGACTGACTTCAACAATTTCCCTTAACAACCAAAACATACTCTCCCACGGCACATCCTTACTTACTTTGTCATGCATTTAGAATCTTTTATTAATCCCACTACACACATACTCTCAAACCCTCAACATCTTTTATTAAACACATTCCACTACACACATACTCTCAAACTCATCCAATACAACAAAGTTCATTCACAACACTATAGGCTGTTGAAGTGGAGTCCAAATGGAGTCCTGCCGGTTGGCGTTTTTTTAAACCAAATCTGGATATTTTTATTAAATCTTTTTTTTTAAAGTTAGGAAAGCTACTTTCGCTTTTGGCTTCAAAACAAATACAAGTTTTAGAATCAGAATTTTATGAATTTAAATCTAGAATTCGAGATAGATCTAGAATCTAATCTAGATTCTAGATCTTTCTAGATAAAGAATTGACTTTTCAACTTTTCAGATTTTAATAAAGAATCTAGATTAGATTCTAGATCTAGAATTTTATTTAGAATACAACCGACTCGTTAGATTTAGTTTTAGTCATTTATTTAGTGGTAGGGACCGTAGTCAGTCTAAAGTTCTAAACTCTAAAGATTTTTTTAAAGAAGAGTAAAGAACTAAAGATTCTTTACTAAAGAAGACGTCGTAAAGTCAAGTGACCAAGTCTAAAGAATTAAAGAACTTTAATAATTAGATTCTACTCTAGTGTACTAACTTAGTCTTGTCTTAGTACTTAGATCTAGAAAATCTAGTACTAATTAATAATTAATATTAATAGTACACTAAGTACAGTATACACTAACAGTGACTAACACACTAAGTCTAAGTTATAAACTGTAGATAGATATTAATAAGATATAGAATCTAGATCTAGATCTAGTTATAGTCATAGTCTGATATAGGCCTAACAAATCGTCAAATAGTCAAATAGTATTATTAGGCCTATTTATTTGCTAGATCTAGGGCCTAAGTATTTTATTTAGATCTAGATCTCTGCCTTATTTTAGTTAGACCTAGATCTATAATTAAATAATATATATAGACTATAGAGTATTTTCTTTTATAGCGAACTATATGAATACTTTTATTAATATTATTATTAGGTGTTAGTAATAATAGAATAATTAGTTAGATTTACGATCATTTTGTAAAATAGAAACCTTTGGCCTTTAGACTTAACTTTTGAATTTAGGCCCATAAATTTTTCTTTAGACTTTATTTTGCTTAGAAAGTTTAGGCCTGATTAAATTAGTAATTTGACCCTATGTATTAATCATATTATTATAGTTAATTAGGCCTATAGGCCCCTAATTTAAATTAGGCCTATTTAGTAATAAAGACTTTGCCTTTATTCATTTTAATAAATAGGCCCCTATTTTAAATCAATGCCATATTTTTAAAAATAATTCCTTTTCCTAGTACTTTTTCTTTTAGTACTAGATCTAGATCTAGAAGTAGATAAACTAGATATTACACGGTGACAGTAGGCTAGACCTAATAACCGTAATTACTAATTAGTCGTCTGCTTAGTATAGACAAGTTATAGTGTACCAGTATTACTAGATAAAATTCTATATCTAGTAGTAGCTCTAGAAATTCCAAATTTGATTTAAGCCCAAAGTGGGCCTAAAATTGGATTAATCTAATAATTACTATTATTAGGGTCTAATTAGTTTAATTGTAATAAGCTTTGTTTGGCTTTGTGTTACTGTCATTGAGCTTTTAATTTAACATTGAAAATTTAATTCCAAGATTTAAAAAAAAAAATCAGCAACTTTAATTAATCTATATAGCTAGATTCTAGATATTCATACTGTTGTACAAGGCATACTTAGTAGAAATTAAATATGCTATAATTACAGTTTTCTGACTATATCACTCAGAATAAACAGATATGACTAAATAGGCCTAATGACTACTAATGTATATTACATTGTTTTAGAATAATTTCTTTTGCTTTACAGTAAGCATGTATTTTTCGTGTCTGTGTACACTATTTAATATTTATTTTTACTGTTAATGAAAATATTATTCCACAGATGAAGCATGTTCCACTTGTAATAATAAAAAATAATGTCTTGTTTTTTTGACTTAGGCTAATAAAACAGTTGTATGGTTTACACTTAAAGTCAGTATCTCAAGCCAGTTACCCTTAATGTACTCAAGCCCTCAAACCACTTCTCTGGATTAGCAATTGTGTGCTGTAATGCTCAACCAATAAATCCCATTTTCATATGTCATTGTAAATATATATTTCTGTTCACAAATATTGCTTTAACTTTAATTATGAGTAGAAATATGATATGAGCAACTGGTTTCATTGTTCATATTAAACAATATTACATGTACATCCTAAATATGTCCTTTTATAAATTATTAAACTTAATTATTCTTTTATTGAGTGTGTTGTTTTAATACCAGTTCTTTGTGTGTGTGTGTGTGTGTGGGTTCAAATATTTTTAAAACTGTTTAGGAAACTAAATAGTATTTTACTTGCAAATTTTGTTTTAAGCAACTCACACTGGCATTAGACTGCTAACCCAGTAGTTGGTAGAAAGTCCCTGAGTGCACCCAGCAGTGATGGGTACCTAACTCACGTTAGTGAAAGTAAATGTGGATGGGCATATGGCTGACCAAATCATCCCTCCCTATGCCAAGGTCACAAAAATAGGTGAACTCTATGTTGTCAGATCCATGGATTAACAGGTTTGAGACTGGAGCTTTACTACCATACAACTCTCACTATTGTTTACAATATTTTCATAAACTAACATTACAAATACAATTTAAAAAAAAGAAATTCAACATAAAATGAATGAGAAAAATTCAATATTTAGTAAATAAATTTATCATTTATTTAATATTTAAAGGTAAAGGTATTTGATTTATTACTTTCCAGTAATTGCAGGGGATTTTTTTTTCTTGCATCAAATATTGTTCTTCATAAATTGCAGTCTTAGATGAAATCTTCATTATAACACACATTTTGATTTCATGTTTTGTTGATAGTCTTGGTTGAGGTTTCCTGGAAATTGTGTAGGCTTCTTTCTAGAGGTCTATATGCACTGATTTAATTCAGGTAGGCCTAATCTGAAAAATAGATGTACACACAATATTTCTACTCAGAATTTTCTCTTATAATTAGATCTATAGTTTACATTTTTATACATAATCAAAATTTTAAATAAAATTGAAACTAAAACTAGCCATTAAATCTATAACTACTTTAGGTCAATATATATTGAGCATTAAGCCTAGATTCTATTACTAAATCTAAACTCTAGATCTAATAACCAGGGTACAAGGCCTACTAAATAAGTGGATATAGATACATTTTGCTACATTGCATACTAGATCTAGATTGTGGGCTAGAGTAATAAGTGTATGTTACAATATTTACTGACACTAAGTCCTAGACAAAATATCTAAATTACTGTGTAGATTGTTACTACAACTCACACTAGCAATGCTACTGTCTATTACACTAGTGAACTCTACAGTCTACATTTACAACTCTACACACCTTTTAGGCCTTGCCTTAGCTTAGACGCCACTAGACGGGGCAGACTGGGATAGGTAGTACTAGACTAGAGTAACTAGATCTAGATAGATTAGATAACTTACAACTAGCTCTCTACTCGACAAACACACACTAGAATCTAAAATCTAGATCTAGAATTCAATCTAGATCTAGTAATCTAGTAGATTCTAAATCTAATCACTACTGTACTGTCACTTTTTATTTAGAGGGATCAGTATAGTTAATAAAGTAATAAAGTAGATATAGGCCTTCAGATATTATATATTTAGGATCAGGTAGATTTAGATTTTAGATCTATTTTTGTAATATTCTGTCATCGAACTTGACGGTCTAGATAAGTGTTCACTGTTTACCAAATCGTTCAGTAGGAGTGATGTCCCCTGGGGCTAGGTCTTACATTAACTTTAAAAAATAATTAATTTACTTACCGCCACAAAACTTTTCTGTCAGAATTGAATGCAAATACATTACTTCCCAACCGTACGTACACAATAGACTTGAACTTTTGTATATTTGTTGCATATTGGGAGTTCATGATGAGTTTAAAATGTTGAAGCGAAGTCAAGAAACAAGCAGCCGCCATGTTTGTTTATCAATGGTAATCATGATCACAAAAATTCATTTAGTCTGGAAAATTAATCTCTCCCTGGCGGAAGTTTTTCCAAAACTTGGAATGGATTAATGAATTAATATTATTAATTATTTCAAAAATTATTTTCAATAGTTTATCTTGAATTAAAAAATTCAAAACACATAAAAATCGATACTTAATATTTTGTTTTAATTTTTGACAGCTAAAACATAATTTTAGCGCTTGCCAATTAATTTATATAATTTTTTGAAAAATAGCATGTTATATAGCAAAGTATTACTGCAACACCCAATTGACAAGCAGAACTACGAGGCAATACAACTTAAAACAGATTAAAAAGCCATAAAGGAAAAAAAGCAGAAAAACACCAAAATAAGACATAAAAGAAAATGATGAAGAAAAACGAAGTGCATAAATAAAAACATCTTACTTGGCTTGTATAAAAGAAAATGACAAGGAAAATCCAAATGTATAAAAAATATCATATCATACCTGGCTCGTGCACACCTGGGTTGTCAGTAATCTCCAGGACCCACAGGTCCCTGTTCTGTACGCTCTTGCCAATGGAGTACAGTCTTGTAATAGAGGGGTACCGGGTGGATAAGGCAGTCAGTAGTTCTGTCATCTCCTGGTTGCTGTGGTGAGTCAAATTTGTCGGCTCCTTGAAGTTTGTAGCTGAGTGATGGCTGGAACAACACAAAAGTATGTGTCACTGTAGAGCTTATTACTGCCAACCTTAAAGTCTTGAGTTCGGATCCCAGGTTGAGTATGTAAGATGTCGATGAATCCACACAGCTTACGGTAGGGATATAAAGACGGCTGAGCATAGTACTGACCACACTATCCCCATGTATGCTGAGGTCATCGAAACAGATGAATTGTACTTCATCTGCCCCATGTGTCTCTAGCACAAACAGGAAATGATGTGTGTTAAAATATTGCACTGGTTTACTGTGCTCCCTAATATTCAAGCCTGATAGTCAATCGAGAAGATAAAGCTGTGTTTATCTGTATCTGTGATATTGGCTAATCACAGCTCTAAGTGGTCAACACTAAGTACAGCCAGTTTATTTAAGTTCACCATACAATTCAAGGACCTTATAGCTCAAGTCAAGCCTTAAAATTGAAAACTTTAAATTCAAGTCAAGCCTTAAAATTGTAAACTTTAAATCTGGATATTTGAATTGTTTGATGTTTCCTTTAACTTTCAATTAGAAATAATTTTTAGTTATCTACCATCAAGTGTGATAACTCTAGTAACAGTTTGGCTCAACTCTATTAAATACATAACACAACTCTTACCTGTAGTCTTGAAGAGAGTTTACAAGATTCACTAGTGTTTCCAATGAATCCGATGAAGGTTTGACACTTCTCTTTGTCAAAGTGAAGTTCACTTGCACCCCATTACCACTAGGCACCACAATATTATCTCGCACAGTGCTTTCATATCTGTCAAAGTAAAATATAAACTATCCAAATAAATAAATAATTCAATATTCATTAATAGCAAACATAGTAGTAATGTTGATATCGCACAAGATTATAATGTTAAGATACTGAAAACTAATAAACTGTACATAATGAAGACTAACATGATAAAAATATACAGTTGCAAAGCACTAATGCATGGAACTAAATATTTGTAGAGGTCTATTGTCATTTTGTGGTTAACAGATTATAACGTGTCAGCAATATCCATTATTCATATTCCAAATTTAAGATAATTAGATATCAAATCATCTACAGCCACTTCATAGAGAGACACCCTTACTTGTAAAATGTTTCACAAGGTCAGCTTATGAAGAGACATACAATGATTATTACATGATGATAGTAGCAGTGCGTTTAACCTCTGGAGATTGCAGCATACAAAGAAGCCATAACAGTAACAGTACATTAAAAGTCTTCTTCAGACCATAACACTGTAAAATGGCAAACTGCTATCAAAAGCTATGTATTTATTAGAGCTGGATGGGCTCAGAATCAGAATTATTGCTTACCCAGTATTCAAACCTGGACACACTCTAAAAGTAAAGTTTCCCTTCCAAACCTGACAGTCCATGGGATAACTGAAGAAGAGTTCACCTATTTCTGTGACCAAGGCATATGAAGAACTAGTGTGGTCAGCACTATGCCCAGCTGCCTTTACTTTCACTAAAATGAGTTAGGTACCCATCAGAGCTGGGTAGACACAGTGATGCTCTATGCACTTGAAACCAGATTCAAACTTGAGACCTTAGGTTAGCAGTTGTAAGCTCTATCATTCTATCCCATATAAACTCTCAAAACTAGGACATAATAAAAATCCTGTATTTTAAAAATAGAAAAGACTAAATTAGTCTTACCCATCGGCAACAACCCTAACTGTATAGGTATCAGGTACCAATAAACGCCAGTAGTCTCCAAACTTTGATGTAGTGATATTATGGTTAATCCCATCAACCACAATTTTAGCATTTGGAATTCCAAGTCCAGTTTCAGAGTCAAGCACAAAACCTTTAATTCCAATATGGACCTACGCATCAGAACATACACATTTTTTATTTGCGACAATGTAAAAAAAAAATTTGAAATAATATATTTAGCTTTATTTTATGTGGGCCTAGGCATAAATACAATACACAATAACATAGAGAAACTAAATCAGCAGTATGAGAGTGACAAAAAAATAAGGAAAAAAAATCTTTTCTTTTTAAAAGAAGTAAATTGTTAAATTGTAACTAAATTGTAATTATATATTTTTTTTTTAAATTTGTATTAGTAATTAACACACTGACTGATGTGTTATAATGTTACTACACTCCTCACCATTTCCATATAAGCTAAAAGGGCTTCTTTGTTATTGTTCCATTCTTTTGGCAACTCAGAAGGGTCTGGATACTTGCAACAAGATAACTCCAGAGTAATCTCTAGACAGTTGCTGTGCAAGTAATTGTAATCCTCCATGCCACCTTAAAATTAAAAGAGATTTAGTTATTAAATTTACATTCCATTGTAAACTAGAACAATATATGATTATGATGTTGATATTAATTATAATATTATACCAATGCTAAAAATATACAGATTTTTTTGTTAGAAAATGATCACAATAATTACAGCAGAGAACTGACAGCTTTTTAATAAGGGTAGCATAACCAGAGGGAGAGAGTTAAGTATAAACTGCTTAATCACCTCTGTTTCAGGTTTATAAAGTTATAGGAAAGTATGTAAACCTAATGTAGACCTGCTCGGGAAGAATAATAAGCCTTACAACTCAGTAGCTAGGCAAATCCCGCTGCCGAGAAAATCGGACAAATCGGCTTTTCCTTACCCCTTGCATGTTTAACTCTGTTTTTTGCATGCTTTTATTGTGTTTATATTAACATGTTATACATCATTCTGTTCGTAATTGAATAACCTTTTTAACTGTATGAGTTTGATTTCTGTATTATTTCAGACGTTGAAGAAATCGCCGATTAAATCGCATTTTTTACCCCCCGCGGCGACGTGCCGATTAGGGGGGAGGCTTTTTCACCTTTTTAAACAGGGGTGTTACTTGGAGTCTATAGACTCTTTGAGTTTTCGTACTACAACAGTGAAACTTCGTAGAAGAATAGATTAAATGTACACGTATAACGCTCAGGGTTCTTGATTAAAATATGTTAAATACTTTCGGAGATATCAGACCGCAAAGTTAAACTAAGTTATTTGAGCTATTTATGGATCGATTTTTTATTTGAACCCTGAGCTGTATTCCTGAAATCTCGACGTTTATTAATATGTATCATATGTCCTATAAGGCTCTATAATAAGGACGTCTATAGACTTTGAAGTGGACCGAAAATATAAACACGTCGCGCCGACCGCTGTCTGACTGAACCGCCCTGCTGTGCTTCGAATCGCCGTTTTTAACCTGATGACGCGTTACAAAATGTGTATACACGTATTAAGTTTACGTACTACAACAGTTAAATTTGGCAGACGAATACATTAAATGTAGACGTATAACGCTCAGGGTTCGTGGTCAAAATAAGTTAAATACTTTTGGAGATATCGGACCGCAAAGTTGAACCAAGTTTCCCGGTCTATTATTGGACATATTTTACATTTGAACCCTGAGCTGTATTCCCGAAATCTCGACGTTTATTTAAATGTATAACATGTAATATAGCACCTCGTAATAAAGCCGTCCATACATTTTAAAACCGAACGAAAATAAAAATTAACGCGTCGGCCGCCGTCCGACTGAATCGCTCTGCTGTGGTGATCTACACATCGTGTGGCACAGCCGAGTGTGTGGTCACGTGACGCTAGGCGCTTGATCCGATTGGATGATACTATAAACAATGTCTAAAGATAGATACATGTGTTCCCGTGTTTGACTCGACGGCTATTGCTACTTTATATTTATAAGCACACAGACATGTTGCATAACTTTGTCTTAACCCATTGAAACGTCAAACAAAAGTTTTGTTAGTATTTACGGCTGAGGACTAATCGTCAAAATTAATCTTCTTTAGAAATTAATCCGAATAGCTTCGGCCCGATCAAACAATGTGATTCGCGTAACGTTTCATTATTGTGTACATTGCATTTTCGTAAAAATGGCTTTAAAAATAAATTAAATTATAGCCGGGGCTCTTTTCTACAAATTTTAATACCACTAACAACGTGGGGGTTACTAGCTTGCCAAATCGACCAAAATGGGGTGGGGTGGATGGGGGTAGCCACTGACCATCCTACACCATATGTAACACCCATAGCCTCACCCCGCCCCCACTAGTCCGTGACGCGACAAGCCGACGAGCATCGCTTTTGATGTTGTATAACACCCGTACGGTACACGGTGGTTTCATACCCCACCTCCCTCCCCCTTCACTTTGTGGAGTTGATGTTACTAACCCTCGGGCATAGATCAGGAAATCTTCCCAGACTTTTGTCTCTAAAATTACATAATATTCGTCTGACACGTTCATCGGGTTGGCCGACTAGCCTATCCAGCGGTCGTGTTAACGTAATAGGGCAATAAAATTCGTTGGTCAGAAGACCTGGTTACCCGCATGTCTGATTGAACTAAATCTAGGCAAAAGCTGGTGGTGGTACACGTGTCTGTGTATAGCCAAACTCGGTAATCTTACACAATTTCTAGAATCTACTAGATCTACACAGTCAAGCACTCAAACACGTGCTTTTTTCTTAAGAAAGTTGTTAATTGTAAAAGGCCTACTGGTAGGCTTACAAATACCAATACCTACTTACTACTAGCATAAACATTGGGCATAAATATAAATTTATGTTATATATCTATAACTTAACTATATCTTGTGCAAGTTTTTAAAAAAAATATTTTCCTCCAAAGTTTATTTTATTGACATTGTAAAAATGATTAACTTTAATATGGGTAATAATATTAGGTAATTACCATAAAGCACACTCTGATTCTGATCAGACACATTTGTAACTAGACTAATTCTATAGCAAAAAGGATTAAGATATTTAAAATAACAAGAAATATAATTATAATGAGATAGGCCTTTATTTTTGGAACAGAGTAGGCCTATCCTATAGTAGTGCACAGAGATTACATAACATCTTTTAAGAAGTTACATAATCACAAATTTACTATAGCATTCTTCTCTTTGTATTGAAAAACTTGATTAGTTATATTTTCTTCTAGATCTAGTAGGCTATTAACTTGAAGTTAACTGACAATGAGCAAAAGTGATTTAAAACAAATTCATGGTATATTTTGAGCAAAGGGTGGGATTACATAACCTTAACATTTGATAGTTATGTAACAATGTTGGACCATTTTAAATCGACCATTAGCTTCAGCATATATTGTCATATCTTAGATTAAAACAGCGTTACATTTAAAGAATGACTTCTTATCACATTGATTATTACATGTTTAAAAAAAAATTGAAAGGGGGGTATTACATAATCTATTAGATCAGTAGGTTGAGTAATCGAAGGACACTTTTTAAAATAGCATCATTGGATTCAGCATACAAAAATCTATAAAATGTCTTAAAATTACATCAATTGATTAAGTATTCTGGCTTTTATACCACTTTTAGTGAAAAACGCTTAAAAATTTGGTCCATACCCTCCCAGTATTTTTCCTCTTTCAGGGTCTACCCCGGTTGTCTGAAAAAACTGCTGTTTTTTAATGACTAAAAAATTCATAACTTTTTTGTTTATGGTCAGATTTTGAAAATTCAAACTGATCTGTAATCAGATTGACAGCCCCTATCCAAATATGTAACTATTATATTGTTTTACTGAAATTAATTTTTTGCATTGGCCTAGCTAGTTGACAACTGTAACTGTAATTTACAATAAACTAGGCTTAGGGCCTATATTTCTTAAATTTTTATCCCTGAGGGAAAGAGGGATGAAACATACTGAAAATACAGAGGAGTAAAATTCAAAACCTGCGTAATTGACTCAAAAAAAATTACTCTGCAATAAAATAGTCAATTAAAAAAAAAATATTGAAGAAGCAAACAAATATTGTTTTGCCTCTATACTTTAGGTCAGGGTGTGATAATAATATAAGGCCTAATAGGCCTATATAGGCTATATAGGCCTACGTTGCCTATTTTGTACTAGCACTTTCGTCTTTAGTTTTAACAAATAGTTATAGGCATATAGATCTAGATACTTTTAATGTGAAAAATTTCGCAATAATTGAATTCTTACCTGGTACATCATACCACTGTGCCCCATTTGTGATACCACCTTTAAAATTATCAGTTGGACAAACATGTCCATTTTTCATTGTCAGGTGATTATCAGCATAGGTATGGGCCAGGAGTTTGAAAACGCTATCATCAGGTGCCGCACTGTATACTCCTTGGAGCTTGTGGGATGCCGAGTCATCAAAAGGATAAGAGGCAACAACACTGCCACCATGTAAGTTAGCTGATAGGACAAATGGGTTTTGTTCAATCCAGTTTATCATAGCTTGAGTTTCAGGCTGAATGGGGTCTTGATTAGAAGCTGCAACAAATTGATCTGGAAAATTTCTATTTAAATCAATTTTGTTAGCATTTTCCCGCCCGTTGCCTCCTCCTAAATCACAATCTCCTACTTTGGCTTTTGCAAATCCATCTGGGTTCATGGAGGGCAAAATAAAAATATTTGTTGAGTCCACTAGTTTCCGAATTCGAGGATCTTTAGCTTCATATTGTGTCAGTAAATATGGCACTAAATTTATAAGTAACTCACGACCAACGACTTCATTGCCATGCATGTTACCAACATATTTAAACATAGGCTCGCCCGGTTCTGTTACATCTACATTATCTGTTATCTGAATGGCAAGCAAGCTTCTTTTTTCAACGCTTGTTCCAATGGTGTGAATTTTCGTTAAATTAGGATACTGAGCATTTAGTTTTGAAAAAAGTGAAACTAAATCTTCGTATGAGTGATATTTCGCAACATCCTCATCAAACCCAGAAACAGTTACTAAAACTATGGATACGAAATATAGTAACGAAAACTTCGTTTTTTCTGGTAGCATTTTGCTAAGTCTTTTGACTACCATATTTCGTGACAACTTATCAACACTCAGAACGGAACAACAAACTATGCAATATCCACTTCCTGAATCGACAACAAATATTCGCTTTCTTGCCGTAAAATCCCGAAATCATTTTTGCATCATTAGACCTGATTACAGTCTTTATTTCATGTAAATTATAGAATAGAGATGTTATACAGATAATATTCTGGCGACACGTAAATGGGTAAAATCAATCGTAATGGATATCTACACAATTAGGGTTTTAGAAATATTTCTCATAACTACTGCAAACTAATGCTATACATTACTATACAACAATGTAGTACACAAGAGAAACAAACATAGGAAAGGGGGAGTAATTACTAATAAATTTAATAAAATGCCGCTTTATAAATTATACGTTTAAAAAAAGATATACAGATCTAAATAGGCTTAGCGAAAAATAAAAAAAAAATCAACTATAAATAAGAAAAAATTGTTCTATAACATCATATCCCACAACACAACAGACTAATGGTAGCCACACTAAAGGGGGGGGGTCTCCCTTATATAACCACTAAACCAGTGTTTTCAGACCTTTTTCTTCCTGGAAGGGGGGGGGGGGGGGGGGGTTGAAACTTTTGGCAGTCGGGGGACATTGGTAGAAGTATATATTTTCTACATAAATTATATTTTGTTCTGGGAGTGGAGTTGGAGGCCTTAGGGCAAGCTTTAGTGGGAGATACCTGAAAGATATTCTATACATTACTATCAACACTTATGGAGAAGGAAAATGGGTTCTGGCTCTAATAAATAGATAGGTGGAGGGGGAAGGAACAGATTGTGAAAAGCAATTTACTTAAAAATTTTAACTCCTAATAAAATACAATGAATTACATATTTGTCTGAAGTCTTCATCTGGGTTAAAAAACTAAAACAACTTGAGTTAAGTAATTTTTATATCACTTTGAAAAAAAAAGCTATTGTAATTTTTCCATCATTTTGTAAAATAATATTTGAAAGAATGAGTTCTGTGAATTAGTTTTTCTGACAAAGATATATCATTGAACACATATTTTTTTTTCTGTCTTAAGATTTCAAACTGATACTCATCATGATAAATTTTTCTTCATTGTCTACTGCAGAGGGAACCACTAGCACCGATAATAAAGTCAAGATCCATTTCTAACTTGTCATCATAGTTTCTTTCAGGCATCTCTGCAGGGGAGCACACGCTGACCCAAAGCCTTCAGACAAATATATGATTTATATAGAAGATAAAATAAATACTCTAATCATTGCATTGTCTACCCCCCCCCCCCCCACTGCAGAAGTGAAACTCTCCTAATAGCCTTTAAAGGAAGTAGAGTAGATACGAAGTGATTGTGTGATCTGCACAATGCCCCAACTGCAAGTAGGCTACTTGTATCTAAAGAATGATTTGAAATATTTAACTTAAACCACAACAAAACAAATAAACTCACAAATGAAATCATAAATAATTTTTTTTCTTTTATTGTATCATTTCTACAATGACAACCATAATATTATAGCTATATCTATAAGCAATAGCAGTATATATTTATTTTAATATAAGTGACCACTTTAGTAACAAAAAAAACCTCCACAATAAAATAACAGTAACATTCCTCATCAATGCCTTAATCACCACAGCTGTACCTTGTAATCATAATAGTTTCATTATTTTATTCTTGATACTTTTTAACAAGTCTATAATAAGAGTATTATCAGTAGTTCAACATTAAAAATGTAAAATTAAAATCAAACAAATCAAAGCAAAGAATAGTTTTACAAAGCATGCCTTTCTTTCTCAAGAGTAGCATTAATCATGTAATTTATAAATACCATATAAAGCATGGCCAACAACTCCAACACCCAGGCTTACCTTATATGAAACTGCAAGCATCCCTAGCTTCTCTGACTTAAGGTTAAAAGGGAAAGTACCCAACACTGTTTTTTGTTGTTGTAAATTGCCTTCTTGAGAAGCATATTTTATTTTAATGTAAATAAAAAAAAAGATAATGAAGCCAGTATTTTCACTGAAAAATTAAACTTCAGTAACACATATATTGAATAAACAATGTTTATTTATATGTTTTTGAAAATCATCTTTAAACTTCAAAAACCTTTATTCTCTTGCCTGTACTTTTGCTGAATCATATGTAATTGTAAAAGCTAAAAAAAAAATCTTATAATAATTGTTGAATAATGAAAATGATTTTAAAAAAGAGTAACAAAAAATTTAAGTAACAATCGAATCAAGATTCTGATAAATGTACAAATTGAGTGAATATATAGTATTCTTCTATAATATATACATAGTAGGCCTTTATATTTATTTTGTGCTTTTTCAAGATTTATTTTATTGATGTAGTACAAAAAAATAAAATTTGATAAACGCAATGTATTTTAATTTAAACCTGTTTAAAAATATACTTTTTGTTTTCATATATATTTTATACTGACAGCATAAAACCAAAATGAAGATTTTTAAATCACAGATTGGAATTTAGAGTAGTATGAACCTATAATCTAACACAGCATTTAAAATACAAAATCACAATGATAGTTTTCTTATATTAAATCAATAAATTAATACAAAGGCTTTTCTTAGCAACATCAACTCTAAAACAACATGGGTTATCACAATATTTAACTGATATATTTTATTATACCGAGCTATTAATTAGCAGCCATGGGCACAGCATTGCTGATGCAAGGACTGAACAATGAATAATTTTTTATAACATGCCCTAAAATATCCAGTATTACATAAGCAAATACTTTCAATCAAATAATTAAATCATTATTAGGTGCTGTGTGAGTAAACTCCCTTTCAAGATATAGTCCTAAACAAAACTGTGTACATAGAAAATTTTGTATTACAATACTTAATATATAAACAGAATTATTGAGTTTTTTATGTTTTTAAATATAATTACAGTGACTAATTAAGGGATTTCACACTTTCCTCTCAATCTTGTTGTATGTAATTAAAAAAAAAACAACACCATCACCCCATTCTCCAGAAAGTCACAGCAGTCAAATATTGCTTTGTAAAAATGTTATGATTATCAGCAAGGATTATGGAGCTTTCATTAAAGGGATTAAGAGATTAACTTAATAATTAACATAAACTACTTGGTTAAAGGTTGTGCTAAATATGTACTACATGGATTTATCCAGATACTGATAAAATTATGCTTTCCTCAAATTAAATATATACTAGTAAATAAAAGCACTAAATAACTCTTTCACTTGTGCATTTAAAAAATGTATTTAAAAAAAAAAAACAACCCACTAATATATTAAATGAAACATGAGTTAGGTTATGTATTAAAGTAAAACATACTTTAGTTTTAGAACTAATATAAATCTAACAAAAATATGCTATATAATGCTAAAAAAGTACCAGAAAAAAAATGCCTAAATTAATTAGTTTTTTGTGCATCTAACTGAAAATAGCAGTAACTTTGATGAGCAGCATTTGTAGAGCATGTCAACTTTAGTTTGAAAATTCTATGCTTAAAACTTCAGAGAATTAATCGGAAGAACAGAGTTTAATTTCTAGATTTTAAAGTTTTTATTAAATGTAGTAAATAAATATACAGTAATTACTGTTAGGTGAATGAAATGTATGTATAGATTTAAATCTGAATGAATTGTGCTTAAAAATGTTTTTAAAAAAAATAATTATTTATTAGAGACAGATGTTATTAAAAATTGTCATCACAGTAAACTAATGTCTACAAGTTGTATAGAACAAGTCTGACAGAACTATGGTTAAGAAGTTCAAATTTGGTTTTATTTTTAAAAGTTAAAAAGGTTATTTATAAAACATTACCTCATATATTTTCAGCTCTCTGTATTAAAAAAAAAAGTCCATGAGGATTTAACCCTTAAAGCTCATGCCACATGGCCTTACCCATTATAAGCTATGTAACAGCAAAGCCACAATCGTGGCTTGGCGCGCTTTAAGGGTTAAAAAATCAATTCACTTAAAACTTAAAATCATTTTGATACCTAAATAAAATGATGGGAAAAAAAACAACTTTTAAAATTTAAATACTTTCTTAATATGATTTTCAAATACAATAAGTTTTGGCAATATTGTTTTAATTCGTTGTATAATTTGTAAATAGTCTGAAATATATTTTTTAAATTCTAAATAAATATTAGACTAATATTCTTATAAAATAATTGTCATGATTTTTGCTGTTCCCTCTTTTTTTTTAATGAGACAATTAAAACAATGAATTAATTTGTTTTACAAAATTAGGCTTCCACAATTAGCTGCTTTGATGAGAGAAATCTATACAACATTAAAAAAATACTAATAGAGTTATATTTTTAAAATATATAACTTCTTCCAATGCAGTGTAATTAATTGTAATTAATGATGCATTGTTCAAAGTATTATCACATACACATATTCTCTCACAGCTTCAATAAGTAAAAATTTTAATTTGATAAATATTTTATAAAATGAATTAATCTGTAGATTACACATAAACCTAACTGCTCTGACTTTCATTACTAACTGTACAATAGATAACTGTAACAACTATACCAAAATGCATTTCATAATCTGACATAAGAGTAGCCTCCCTTTAAGATAAAGTCTCAAACACTTTTTATACTACTGAGTACATTTTTACATTCCAATACTCAATATATAGACAGAATTACTAGGTTTTTTTTAATATAGGTTTTTAAATACTAATTACAGTGATTTAATTAAGGGATTTCACATGATTTTCCCATACCGTTGTTTGTAAAAAATTTTTTTTTTAAAAGCTATCACCCCATTTTCCCTATTGTCACTTTCCTTACAACTACCATTAAAATTACTACACAAACATATGCTGGATCACATTTTAATAAACACATCACAACATCAAAAATAAACACACCTCTCTTCCATATTATTTTATAGACACCCCATTAATAAAAAAAAAACCACCTAGTTAATATTCCTTTTCCATTCTCGCCAAACAAATCATCCATTCAAAATACTAGGAATGTCATTATGGTCAACAACTCAACACTGAAATATTATTATTGCCACTAGTTACTAAATCAATGTTCTATCAATTGTCACCAACATTGTGCAGACTGTACCTAATAAATCCAACTGAGATTTCAGCCATGTGATTATACTGAACACTGGAACAAATATCTGAACAGCAACGTGAACATAGGCCTCTACGCTGTTACAGCCAAAGCTGTTTTAAGATATTGAAAGACAATAATAAATGCACAGGTATGGCACTAGTATTACAGTAACAATATATTTGTTAAACGTTTACATAATAGATGCTATCTTTTTGATACAAACAAACAAACATATATATATATATATATATATATATATATATATATATATATATATATATATATATATATATATATATATATGTATATATATATATATATGTATATATATGTATATATATGTATATATATATATATATATATGTATATATATATATATATATATATATATATATAGTTATGCGTACATATCCATATGAATATATAGTTATGCATACATATCCATATGTATATATATATGTATATATATGAGTGTATGTGGATATTTATATATACACACACTCATATATACATATATATACATATGAATGATGTAAAACAAGAAGACAAAGTGACTGATGTGATAAATAATACCAAGCGATGGTTGCATACATAAAAGTTGGTGCTTGCATTACAAAGTGATAGATTCACAACACAATACGGTGGCTTGTGTTAATCAGTTGAAACACTCACAATTCCGAGTTATGCACTGACATCACAAAGTGACAGTGGCAGTGCAAGGTGAAGGCTGGCGAGGTGATACGTACACATCACAAAGTTGTATTACATTACAAAAACAACATTTCAATACTAAACAAAAAAAAAGATGAGTTGTTAACACCCCTTTCTCCTACTGTATAAATTTACAAAACCCAAGCTGCATTATGAATGCACACTATCTATGTCAACAACAGTTCCACATTGTTTATTCACAGAGCAAAAATTAATCAAGTCGTTAAATTAATCAAAATCTTATGATACAAGTACTTGTACAGATGAATATCATGAGGTTCACAGCTTGATCTTACTTCCAATCTATGTATAAGCAGCCTCTGAATGCTACGAAATATTTACAAATAAAAAATGGATTCTCTCGTTACCTAAAGAGATACAAGGTTCTAATACTTTAAAGATAGGTTACCAGAACATTGAAATTATAAAGTGCCAAACTGAATAATACTTCAACTCAAAGCCTTTTTCAAAGGTTTTTGTATAATTTCCTACAATGACTTCAGATTTCATTCCTCTGTCAAAAATATATATTTTAGTCTGGCTTAGGGTTTGGTGCTTTAATTAAAAAAAAAAAAGTTTTAAAATATGAATGCTGAAACAAAATGGTACTTAATTTAAGCATCCAAATAAAAAATTTCAGCAGTAAATTAAACAAAACAAAAACAACAGCAGAACTTCAATATAGTTAAAGATACTTAACAATTTTGAAGACTAAACCAAAATGCAACATAGTTTTAAAACAAAATTAGCATTACAAAGTTAAAGCAGCTTACGATATAGATTGATCCCTCTATTTTGTAATTAGAAATGTTTAAATGTATCAGCTAAAGTTATTTCATTATAATTAATCCTAATGCCTATCTTCATTAAGCATAAATTGATTATTAATTATTCCATCTTATTGGATCTGCAAGTAAGAAATTAATAACTTTGCAATGGGTAAGTAAAAAGTAATGCAAAACTGAATTTTTAAGTTTAAAATTTAAAACTATAACTACAAAAATGTTAACTAGAGTGTATAGGACACAAAAACCATCATAGTTCAGAATTTTTTCTTTTAATGTGCATTTTAGGGTTAAATTTTGAGTCATCTTGGTATCTAAAATGATTTCAAAGGTTAATATTCAAATCTGCAAAGCTTTTGAGTTTATTTAACAGGTTTAACGTAACTCTGCTAGCATCAAGGATTTCAGGGTTAAACCTCACATCTGCTGGGCATGTGAAAATATCTGACAGGTTTAATTAAAGTCTGTTACAATTATAAGACGATCTCAGGGATTAACCTTCACTTATACTAGGCATCTGAGATTATCTCCGGGATTAACCTTCACTTATACTAGGCATCTGAGATGATCTCAGGGATTAACCTTCACGTCTGCTAAGCATCTGAGATTATCTCCGGGATTAACCTTCACGTCTGCTAAGCATCTGATATGATCTCTGTAGAAGGTGAGTCGTCAGCTGGCAAGAAAACCAGCTCCGACTGGGCTTGTGAATTTGGGCGCCGACGGCTACGCATCTGATCCATAGCTTGGATGGCTTCCTTGCGGTTGGACATGAACTGGTTTGACCAGAGCTGTTGTGTAAAGAAAAATATTACATGAACTGGTTTGACCAGAGCTGTTGTGTGAAGAGAAATATTACGTGAACTGGTTTGACCAGAGCTGTTGTGTGAAGAGAAATATTACATGAACTGGTTTGACCAGAGCTGTTGCGTGAAGAGAAATATTACATGAACTGGTTTGACCAGAGCTGTTGTGTGAAAAGAAATATTACATGAACTGGTTTGACCAGAGCTGTTGCGTGAAGAGAAATATTACATGAACTGGTTTGACCAGAGCTGTTGTGTGAAGAGAAATATTACATGAACTGGTTTGACCAGAGCTGTTGTGTAGAGAAAAATATTAAAGTAAAAACCATTGAATTTAATTGAACCTTTAATTTTCCAATGAGCTTTGGTTAAACCATTTTGTATGTGGAAGTATGGCTACACATTCAAGTTTCTGGGATGAGCCTATAATCCCACCCTCTGATTCTCACAGACTAGCTCAATCCCACCTTCTGTTTCACAAAGACATATAATCCCACCCTTCAACTCTACAGACAAATAATCCCACCCTCATTTCTACCCACAAATAATCCCACCTTCTGTTCCACAAGGACAAATAATCCCATCCTCTGTTTCACAAAGACAAATAATCCCATCCTCTGTTTCACAAAGACAAATAATCCCACCCACATCTCTACAAACTAATTATCCCACCCACTGTTTCACAAAGACAAATAATCCCACCCTGTTTCACAAAGACAAATAATCCCACCCACATCTCTACAAACTAATTATCCCACCCACTGTTTCACAAAGACAAATAATCCCACCCTGTTTCACAAAGACAAATAATCCCACCCACATCTCTACAAACTAATTATCCCACCCACTGTTTCACAAAGACAAATAATCCCACCCACATCTCTACAAACTAATTATCCCACCCACTGTTTCACAAAGACAAATAATCCCACCTTCTGATCTACAAAACCTAACTGTAAACAACTGACAAAAAAGCATGCTCAAAACATAAGTACCTTCACTTCATCGCTGTACATGCGCAGACTGAAATCCTCCCTGTTGCGATGTCTCTCACCAGTGAAAACATAATGTCCCTGAAAATATAACGGTGCATTGTTCATACCATACACAAATCTAAACATACTGTCCCGCCACGTATTACAGTTGGTGCATTGTTAATACTATAAACAAATCTAAATCTAGGTGATAGAGCTAGACAATAAACCTTGATACAACACTGTATTGTTGATCTGAGTGACTGAGAAAAACCCAACTCTTATCATACTCTTATCAAGCAATAAACAATATAAGAATTTGTATAACATTAGAATAAATTAATTTAAAAAAATCAAAACTTAAACTTTTAAATAACCGTAACACAAATTAAACAAATAAAACTTATAACAGTGTAAACTAGCCTGTCATAAATGAAAAAAAAAATGAATGTTAAAACTAAAACTACAAAGTTTTCCAAAAAAACTGCAACTCACCCGATCCCTCTGAGAACCTATGTACTGGCCAGTTAGTGGGGCGCTGTTCACACTGACCATATGCATCTCTGATTCGGACAGGGATATCTCTTCCTTGTACAGTCCATGATCTGATTCAGGAATTAATTAGTGAGCATCCCTACCTTTAATTAGTGCTCATTATTACATCTAATTAGTAAAAGCTCCCCTCTCAGACATAACGATCCATAGTTCAGATAAAGTAGAGTTCAAATATTTCTCGACCTCAACATATGAAGGGATGTCTAGGCAGCTCTATGCCCAGCAGCCTTTACTTTCCCCAATGTGAATCAGGGACCCATAAGAGATGGGTGGACTCAGGGGTGTTTTGCAGTGCTGATCGAGATACAAACTCGAGAAAATAGGGTTTGCAGCTAAAATTTCTACCATTCAAACAAGCCGTCCCATACATCTAATTAGTAATCAGGACCATTTTTAACTGGCACTTATCACTATTTTTAATTAGTGCTTTCAGATTTTAACAATGATTACTATACCTAATTAGTTCTCATTAACAACCCTAAAAAGTGGCCACCACCAAAACTAATTTGCAGTCATATTTTTTATTAGAACTAATCAACATACCTAATTAAGACTCAGAGCCGAACACTGCAAGTGTAAAAATATACTATCATTTTGTTTACATAAGGCTCCCCACCTGTAATTTTGCATTCGTTTTATTAACAGGCCCATCTCAATAGGTTTACCTTCAATGTCATCCAGGTGCATCTGCCTGCGATAATTAATCCTAAATATGAAAGACTCTAATACAAAGGCAACCACAATATTCATCACCACCTGTCAGAATAGAAAAGATAGTTACTCACTAGTCAATGATTTTTTTTTAAAAAGGAAAAATCTAATTAATACTAATGCACACACATAAAAAAACCCAAAAACAACCCTACAAACTTAAATGGTTATGTATATAAGGTTTCAGGTTCCCCTGGCTTCAGTACTTACCATCATGACAATGTAAAAGCTCATGAAATAAACCCTGGTCCATTGACTGACAGAACTAGCGTAACCTTCCTAGAGGTCAAGGAAAAACAGAGAAACAACATCAATCTACAATATAGCTGTTAGATGCAGGGGAAAAAAATGCTGATTATTAAAAAACAAACACTATAATAATTTTTTAACTGAGAGGTTAAAGAATTATGTCCCTGTTATAAAGTGGTTGTTATTTTACTTGTTTAAAGTACCTGAAGATTGTTTCAGTGTTATAAAGTTATTTTATTACAAATTATTATTTTTGTATTTTATTATCAGAGGTTAAATTAACTGGATTATTAACAATTATGCATACATTTTAACACTGTAAATTGACGTCAGTGATGTAGATTAATTTGAGTTTATACTGTAGCCATAGAAAGATTTAATTTTACTTTTCCAAGTCAGGTAAGGATCAGGAGTGGGTCAATATTTTAGGTCAGTAGTTCCATCAGTTTTACCCTGAAGTGGGTTTAATTCTGAAAGGTGGGTAGCCATCAGAGGTGGGTAGCAATTAGAGGTGGGTAGCCATTGAGGTGGGTAGCCATTGAGGTGGGTAGCCATTGAGGTGGGTAGCCATCAGTTGATTATTTGAGGTGGGTAGCCATTGAGGTGGGTAGCCATTGAGGTGGGTAACCATTGAGGTGGGTAGCCATTGAGGTGGGTAGCCATTGAGGTGGGTAGCCATTGAGGTGGGTAGCCATTGAGGTGGGTAGCCATTGAGGTGGGTAGCCATTGAGGTGGGTAGCCATTGAGGTGGGTAGCCATTGAGGTGGGTAGCCATTGAGGTGGGTAGCCATTGAGGTGGGTAGCCATTGAGGTGGGTAGCCATCAGTTGACTATTAGAGGTGGGTGTACCAACTGACAACTTACAGAAAGGGGCGTGTGTTCAGAAACTCCCCGGACAAAGTTAACTTACCATAATTATAAACCAATTATTTACAACTGTCAGTTCAAACAAGGTAACTAAGGAAAAAAAAAAGAAAATAAAAATTAACAAAATTCTCATAGTCAATTTACCTTTTCATATAGCAACTAAAGGCTTAAAATAAGTAAATGCAAATGTACAGCTTTTTCATTTAAAAAGGAAATAACTTTGTTGTGAAGTAATGACAGAACAAGAAAAACTAAATTATGGCTAAAATATAAAAATAAATATGCGTAAACAGAGGCGTAGCGAGGGGGGTGCGGGGGTGCGGATCCCACCGGGTGACACCATTTAGGGGGGTGACACCAAGGCAAAAAATAGCAAAATATATAGAGAAAAATGATAATTCCATTTAATTAAGAGATTAATTCGAGTGTTAAATAGTCTTTTAAGAGGTGCAAATCGAAAGTTTGAGGGGCGGGGGTGCAAATCGAAAATGGATCCCCAGGAAGGGTCGCTACGCCTCTGGGGGTGACACCATTAAGTGCCGCACCGGGTGACACCCGACCTCGCAATGCCACTGTGTGTAAATTAGTGAGAGTATTATATTTGTATTCAGAAAAATAAATATAAACTGTAGCATTCAAAAGGTTTGAGACATATTAGTGAAAGATTTTTTTACTGTGAAATATACTTTGACTTACCACCAGACAGGAAAATGTTGTCAAAATTATTGAGGTAATAGTAGCCTGTACTGACTGTGCCATTTTTGTAGGCATAGAATGATTCAACACTCGTGTTCCTGAAATGGAAGTGTGAAAGTGTTCACAAACAATGTAGCTGACAAATATGTTCATGCAACAAATGTGCACATGTAGCAATGGTGGTCATGGAACAAATGCTAGCAACAAATGTGTTTGTGCAACAAATCTTGGTGACAAATGTGCCTGTGGAACAAGTACTAGTACCAAAGAAGATATTGGAACAATTATAGGCAACAAATGTGTTTGTGCCACAAATGTTGGTAGCAAATGTCCTCTTGTAGCAATGATGGTTATGGAAAAAAACAGGCAACAAATGTTGGTGATAAATGGGTCTGTGAAACAAGTACTAGTACCCAAGATGATCATGGAACAAAAACAGGCAACGAATGTGTTCCAGAACCATGAGTGCTCATGGAACAATTCTGTCAGTGAAACAACTGTTGGCAACAAATGTTCCCAAAGAACAAATGTTGGCAACCAAATTTAACATTAATGAAATAAGTTATAAGTTGTCCCTGAAACTAATTTATTTAAAACAAAAAACATTAAAAAATGTAAACTTCTTAAAAACATGACTTACTGACAACAGTCCTTCAGATCAGTATCCAAGAATATCTCCATCCCAATTATGGCGTAAAAATAATATACAATTATGATACAGATTGCCAGGCTGTAGACAAAAAATAAATAAATCAGTAGCCACGCAGTAATTCATCATTAAAAAAAAAAAAAAAACTATAGTAGGAAAGATAATGTAATTTTTAAAAAATCAAACCTAAAAAGCTTTGAAAACAAAACAAAAAGCGTTCCCAAAACATCTCTGTATCTTTTCTTGATTTTGAACAATCTGGAAAAAATTATGTAAAATTTCATAAAGTAATGTTACTTTTTACTAGCCGGCAATTTACCGAGTGGAAAATTAAAAAATATATGCTAATCATTTCATAAAAAGCTAAAATATGGGTTAAAATCTACACACATGAAAACTAATATTGCTCATCATTACACAGAAAAAATACTTAAAAATTCGAACATTTATGGAAAAGGGGTAAATACCTGAGCAATCGAAATGGTCGAAGCACCATCACGTAATAAAAAGAGTTTTCAAATATTTCACCAAACACACCCACTACTGTAACAACAGTCACTAAAAAGTCAAACCTACAATAAAGGAACAATCAATCAATAGCTTTAAAATAAATCAAGATGAAAATACTAAAAATTTTTAAATATAACTCTGATGAAACAAATTAAACTAAATAACTGGAGAGGTAACAGATCAACAGTAAGTTAAAAAGTTGAACTTACACATCCCACCCTTTTGTAAAATAATCAAGAGGTCCTCTGCCAAGGATCTTTATCACGGCCTCAATGGAATATACTGGGAAGGAAAGCCACCATTGAATATTATTACTAGCAATTTACACTGGAAATTAGCATTTACTGTAATATAAACCAATTTTTAAAAAATGAATAATGATTAAAACTATTATCGTTAGCACCAATACATACCATATTAATTAAAAGTGAATACTAATAAAAATGAATCATAAGTCTATTGAAATATTTAATATTGATAATATTGTTATTCTTTTTTTTACTTAAAAGTTATCTTTCCTATTTAAAATAAGGGAAATAAAAGCAAATACCAAAGAATTTCTTTAAAATATTTTAATTATCATATACAAATGTGTAACAAATTGCTAAGCTAAAGTAGGAGAACTCTGCTTCATCTAGCCCTAGAGACTGTTTTCAAAAAGAGTATTCTCACAGATAAAAGAAAAAAAAACCCACACCAATACTTACTACAAACAAATAATATGGAGACCCAGTTTGCTGTGAAGTTGTACTTTTTCACATTAATATCTTGTGCTACAAATGATCAAGAGTTGACAATTAGCCACATCTGTTTTAATGCACATACATAGATATCTACATAGATAGATATAAAATTAATGTTTAAGATTAGGGTTATTAAAAAATCTTACAGGAAATCTGAACAGTCTCAACTAGAATCCCAATAAAGTTGCAGGCAATGATCATATCTGTAAATATAAAAATTCTGGATCAAGTTTAAAAGGAAGAAAATACAAAACTACCAATAATATAAAACACATCATAATATATTGACATAAATTTATGTATAAATAAAAAAGGAGTAAAAAACCTACATATAAAATAGTCAAAATATTTCCACTTAGCAAACCAGTGCAAGCCTGGAGAAAAAAAAAGATAAAAACTGTTAATTTTCTCATTAAACAGTTGAAGGAAATAAAAGCTAGCTTATGAAACAGATAGCAATGTCTAGTTAATCAAAACTATAGAAAATTATAAGTTTTTTCTATTTTTTTTTAAATTTATTAAAAGAAAATACACAAGATATAAAATTTCCCTCTTAATACCATCATGTGAAAAATAAACTAATTTTTAGCGCAATTTCCATTCTGGAGAATTGCGTTTATTAACTCGTCATTTCTGGGAATGGATGGATGGATGAATGTATGGATGAATGTGTGTCCGGGCTTTAAGTCGTATCTCCTCCTCAACGAAGCAATATCGATGACTAGTTCCAAAAGCAATTATGTTAAGCAAGTTACGAGAATGAGCATAGGCCATAAAAATTCCGGGTTTCTTTCATGTATTTCCCGGAAAAGCCAAAAAACCTCGAAAAAATGCAGTTTTTGGCCCATATCTCGGCAACCAGACCACTTAGCGACTTGAAACATGTACCAATCGATTCCTGCCATAATTTAGAACAATATTGCCGAAGAAAGTTTTCAAAAATATCCTCTCGTTCGGTCACAAATTTAAAATTACATAAACACCTACAAACCGATCGTTCTTCTAGCTTGAACGCACCCCAGCAATATACGTCAGAGCTATTTTTAGATAACATAAGGAAATTGCGCATAAATGTCACTAGACTTTTTTATTAACTTGTTTTTAAATTATGCTATTTGAAATATTTGTAAAGTAATGTAATCAGATTAAAGACTTGCCTCTAAATATGATGTAATTTGAAATATTGGTAAAGAAAGTAGTGTATTCAGATTAAAGACTTGCCTCTAAATATGATGTTGCAAGGATGCTTGAAGTTGGATGACCACAGGCTGAAATCACTCTTTAGCTGAAATTTTTTTTTATGTTTAACTATCTTAAAGCTGCTATTCATCAATCAGACAAAGCAAACACAATTTTCCCTCCAGTTTGAACCATTTAACAACAGATTAGTTAAAACTTTCTGATTAGTTTTAAATACAGTGAGAATTACAAAATAGAAAAAAAAATTATATTACAAAAACAACATACTTTCCATTTGAGCCTCGTCACTTCATAAATTTTGAAGAATTCTTCCAGAGTTACCATTCCTGTTCTGCTAGTGTTGAGGGCTTTAAACATCAGATAGTAGTCTTTTCTAGCTGGAAGATGAAAATAATAGCAGAAAAGTTACAACCAAGTCAAAGTATAATTCAAAAACAACACAATTTGATCACATTTAGAAATACTGTAACTTTATAGTTTTAACATCTTTATACTGACAAAAAAAATTAAATTAAAAATAAAAACTACAACACAAAAAAAAAAAACAAGAACAAAAAACAACTAATTAATATAGTTGAGTCTTTATAAAGGCTGTAACTGTGAATATTTAACATATATAGGCATATCTATAGATAGACAGTTATTTTATTGTTCAGTGACTGTTACTTTCCCTAGACAAGTCATAACCATCATGGTTGAATGGACACATGAATGTCATCAAGACTCTTTAGTATGGGACACTGACCACCAACAATCAACTCTACAACCACTGATCATCAGAAAGAACTTTAACTTTTACTTACATTTGTTTGGCATGTAGAATTCCATCATACCAATAAAATGTTTCACAGAGAGTAGGGAATGATTCTGGAAAAAAAAACAGATGAATTTTTGAATGGATTAATTTATAAAAGTATAATATATGAATGAATCCAGATGATATCACAGGAAGGGTGCTAAACTTGATGCCTCAAGGAAAAAGAAAGCAGGGAAGGCCAAGGGATACGTGGAGGCTCATGGAGGGGACACAGCTGGTAGAATTAGGACTGTTATAGGGGACTGCCAGGAAAATTGACGGAGACCAACAAAAGTAGATGGGGCTTTCAGTGGCAGCCTCATGCGTCTTAGGCACAAAAAGGAAGAAATGATTTTAAAAAATAAATAAACAATAAGTATATGTATTAAACACAGCAAGTTCAGAGCAAAGTACATTTAAAAAACATTATAAGTACTCACAGATTGTGTAACCAGCAGTCTAAAAGCATGCATGCAACCCTCACGTTTGTGGAAGAAGAGTGATCTAACTTTAATCTTCTCTAGGTTGGAAAAGGTGTCATACACCACAGCAAGGAGCTAGTAAATGTAAAACACAAACTGATAAGTAAATGGACTAATATACTTTATACTGGTTTTAAGTCAAATAATTAAAGAAAACAGGAGAATAAAATAATAAAAAAAATAATTATAAATTAACTACTTTAGATGTTAATATTTTTTTAATGAAAATTTTATTAAATTAAAAATTTGATATTAACTTAAATTATTTTTTTTTTTAGATCCCTGTGCCCCTTCTGCACTAATAATCTTTCCTAAAGATTAAACATAACAAAAAAAACAAAAACCCAGTAATTTTTAAGATCTCAAGGATAAGACAATCTTAACTCAATTACTTCCCTTTTACTTACTAGATTCATAAGGAAGTACAACTCAAGGGACAAGTAAATGATGAAAAATACACAGTAATATCGAGACTCATTGTAAGCAGGCATCATCACATCAGGGTAACTGTTGACAGAGACAAACAGTTAGAAACAGTTGAAATTTTGGTTTAAGCATACAGTACAGAGTTCTCTTTGAGATTCTGTGGTTAGGTGGTAAAACGCACAACTGATAACCCAAAGGTCTTGAGTTCGGTACTCAGACTGGAGTCGTAGGACAACCCTGAAAATATCCCAGTTAGTGTCAACAGGCCATTTGGTGCATAACATGTTGACATGCAATACTTTAGTGTGTTGGAGTGAATTCCCCTTCAATAGTACAAGTAATAACAAAGAAGAAGATAGGCACTGTGGCGATGCAAATTATAGGTTACGAGCCGACCCATGGCGTAGCATATGCCATAATTTAGTTGTTTTATTTTCTACTTTTCAGTAATTCATAATTTGTGAATTCGACACTACCCTACCCCCCCCCCCCTCCACACGTGAAAGTAGCTGTTCGTGACGACAGTTTACAGACAACAATGAAAAGAACAAGTTTCAAATAGTTTAAATACTAAATTATCTGCCCCTAACTAATAGCCGTCACATTGTTAACATTAGTCGTAAACCACAGCTCACCAGACTGGTGGGGGTGAGGGTGGTAGCGATATGCCTAGAGAGTGTGGGAGGGGGAGGCTAGGAGTGCGCTCGTGTCCAGCATGTTCCCCACGTAGAGAATAATATATACAGCTAAATAGTTTAGAGGTCAAGCAGAAGAAAGGAGAAACAGAGCATATTGTAGTCAGGTTGACCAACAGAGACAATGAGATGACCACTGAAGCGTGTGTTAGCAGTCAGATGTGTTAGGTTGGTCGCAGTTGACCAGTAGAGCATGAAGGCCAGTTAAAATGTAGACAGCGTTCGAGTTGATCATTGGGAGCGTGTAGGGAGAAGTGAAGTGTTAGTTGCAGTTTGTTAGAATTAGGACTTGTTGGATTGTGTATTTGTAAATAAACACTGAAATTTGAAATGTGGTCAGCTATCTCTATAAATACACATCTTCCAATGGAGATCACTGTGCCAGGCTACATAAGATTAAGATAAGGCAATTCCTGGACGAGAGACAATATGTCATATGTTCGTGGCAGAACATTACAGATATACATATACAACCAAACCTATTCTCTAAACCTCTCCTCACAGGGACCTATCTCATGTTAGGGTAAGTAAATGTGGATGGGTAAATGTACAGAACTGGCTACATTTTCCCTTCATTTTCACAAAAAAAACAGGTGAAAACAACTTCATTGCCATACTGGCCAGCTGGTCAATGAGAGTAACCTTGCCTTTTTTGAACAGTTCTCTAGTGAAACTGTATGGCTGAGCAGTTGACCAATGACAAGATGGCTCAAAAGCAAGACCTGATCAACAGATTAACTCTACTTCTTCCTTAAAGACCCTAACATCTGTGAATGCCGAATTAATCTTAATCTGTCAATTCAAGATGCTTAACTCTTGAGATATTCTCCGTTACCTACAGATTGCTATAGTCTTCAACCTTTACAGTGATTTATAGCACACCATCAAACCATATATATGCTTTTATATGATGATGTGCATAGAATTTAAAAAATTAATATATTGTAAATACGTTTTTTGCTTACTTTGCTGTTGTGAGAAGAACAAAAAGACTAACAAAACTTGACTGCATTGTCTTGAAGTTCTGGTGGAGAAAAAAAAAGAAATAATCAATGAGGTCATTAGACTACTTTGTACTTTGACTTAAAGCTTGTCACTAACAATATCAATCTATTTTAACAATATCATAAAAAATACTAAATAATATTTGAATTTATTTTAGAAGTATTAAAAAAAAAAATTAAATATTGTTTTATATATATTTTTAAACTTTATTTTTAAAATTTATTAATAATTAAACAAAATTATCTTCTCTTGTAAAAAAAAATGACAGTTTAGTCAAATAATAATTGAACTCACAGTGTCAGTCTTAATTCCAGAAAACAAATAAAAACCTGAAATTATGTAAATGTATTGTTTCAATAATTAAAGTTAATAAATTGGAAAACATAAAAAAGAGAGTAAACATAAAAAACAGCATTACGCCCAATGTTTAATAACTTTTTTGGTTAAAATATGTATCATTTTTCAACATAAAAAAAACAAAAAGTTTACATTCTTTTAAGTGATTTAATTTGTTATAATTAAAAGAAGTAAAGGGAGATATATTTATTGGATTCATTAATTTAATTAAGTAGCTCTAACTTAAAGAGCAGGTCAAACATGGCCAGACAGTAAAACAAAACATACCTAAAATAGAAAATATCAGCATGAAGAAAAGAAGAAGAAGAATCATATCCAGGATGGGAGGCATGGACTGCATGATTTGACGTGTGATCCTGAATTGAGAGTTAGAAATTTTTTTTTTTTATAGAGAAAGTACTAGAATATATATAATACTTATACATGAAATTTCATCAACATAGCTGTGAAGATACTCAGGTTAGTACTCATGTTATCATGATTACAGACACACACACACATACAGACAAGATTTTAAACTATGTTTCTGAGTCTGGAGAAAGTAAAAAAGGACATTCCTATCTAACGACTTTCATCGGATAGCAAAAATTGATCAAATGCTTCTCTTCAAACATATTTTAAATGATACACTATAAAAATATAGTCCTACAGAGTTGTACACTTGCTGAAATTTTAACATGAAATTAAAATGGCTTAAAAGCTTCATTAAGTATTTGATTATTTTAATTTATGAAACATTCTTAATTATGTCTGAAAAAATATAATTTGTATCTTTTTTTCCTTTTTTAGTAATAAGGTTTAGTAATGCTTTAGCATTAGGTTATTGCCCTTATATAAAAATCAAGAGGTGGGTTATTCCCCTTAACAACAAACTCATGACATGAAGGGAGACAATTACCTGCGCACACCCTGACAGTAATGAGTGTGTATTAGAAAGAGTGGCCTGAGAGCTCTTGTCACCCTGAAGTGATTTGTCTGTCTGACCAGGACGACAATAGCCTCTGTCAACATGAGCAGTGTCAAGACGGCCTGTCACACAAAAACAAAACAACATGATTTAACACATGCTATTTATTTCCACAATGCAGATACCCGCCCCTCCCTTTGCACATGTCACATTACCATCCGCCCCCACATCCCATTTAAAATAAAATAAAACAGATTGCACACTTCTAATGTTTGTTTTATTATGACGACCACATAGTGAAGCTTCAAATGTAATTTTCAATTAGATAAAATGTTTGCATTACAAATAATTTAGTTTTTTTTACATCTGAGTTATATAACTGATACTAATAGAGGAAAAAGAACTATTTTTAAAAATTAAAATACTCTGCTTCTTTAGAAAAGCATTACAGCGTTGCTGCTAAACTAGGATGGCTTTTGAATAGGGAAAAGATGGGAATCATAATGTTGACTAAAAGATGGGAATTATAATGTTCAATAAAAGATGGGAATTATATTGTTCATTAAAAGATGGGAATAATAATGTTCACTAAAAAAATAGGAAACACCATCTCATTTAAATTGTGAGAATCGGCATATTAACTTAAAAAGTCGGAATCACCATGTTTTATTTAAAATGTGGGAATCATCATGATCCATAATAGGTGGAATCAAAATATCCACTTAAAAGGTGGGAATCTCCATGTTTCATTTAAAAAGAAGAAATCATCATATTCAACATAAAAGGTAAAAATAATATCATCGATCTTCAAAGGTGTGAATATTCATCTCTACAGGTGCAAATTCTTACCTTAAAAAGGGTTCTCTTGTGCTTGAGAAATCCCAGCCATCCCAGCCACTTGACACGAATACCCAGATCTAAACTTAGAATCAGTAGACAAAGCAGCTCTATAGATCCATGGACCTGGAAACAGAGAGGTTTGCAAGTCAAAAAAGAATTTGGTTATGTAGAGATGGCCCATCTATTACTTTGATTGGGCTCCCAGGGTTACTCAGTTTATCATGTGCTTTTATATATATTTATATGTTTATCTGTATATACATCTGTATATATATATATACATACATATAGATATATGTTACGACTGCTATGTGAGAGGTTCTAGTACTACTATTATACTCTGCCTAGCCAATTACTAGTTCATTCTAAAGTACGACGACATCAAACCATACAAATGATTTGATAGAAGGCGCTAGTCAACTCTCTTATTTATTTCACAATACTAATACATGCAACGACTTGTACAAATGATATTAATACTAGATTAAATATAGATTACGACATCACCCCAAGACTACAAGAACAAGACTCCATTCTAACTTCTTCCCCGGCAACAACGAACTCACACTAAAACGTCACTTTCTTGCGTACCGCGTCACACTTTCACTCGTTCAATATACGGCCGCATAAAATCAAGAGCAAGTGAAGCAAAAGTTGATCTAGGAAGAGAGGGCAATGTAGGGTGCTGAAGGAGACAGAATGGATAGGAAAAAGATGGGAAGAGCTGACAGAGTGGAAAGGGACCGTGGAGAGTCAAGAGCTTTGACAGAGGCCCTATGCTCCGCAACGAATGAAGAAAAAGAAAATTGAAACCCTAGGAAAACATCAGAGCCAAACATAAGGAGCAATCCACCATCAGTGCATAGAATCAATAAAGTAGTTGAGTGAAAATAAGCTGCAGCTTACCCCAACTGGCATCTCAAGCCCTAGAACAGCTGGCCTTTCACAAGCGGCCAGTAGCATGACGGCCACAGCCGCAAACAGGTCCAGACAGTAGAACCAGTGGTTGTGGGCCACCTGGTACGCAGGCAGAGCCTCGTGGCTGTGGGGGTGGGTGTAGAACTTATCATTGTTGTGGCCCTCCTGGGTGAGGAAATGAAACAAAACATTAGCTAACTCTTGTGTAATTAATGAAAAGTAATGGTCTATTGACATATTAATTAAATTAGACTACTCGAGTAATGAATGAAAAGTAATGGTCTATTGACATATTAATTAAATTAGACTACTCGAGTAATGAATGAAAAGTAATGGTCTATTGACATATTAATTAAATTAGACTACTCGAGTAATGAATGAAAAGTAATGGTCTATTGACATATTAATTAAATTAGACTACTTGTGTAATGAATGAAAAGTAATGGTCTATTGACATATTAAGGGAATATTAATTAAATTAGACTACTCGAGTAATGAATGAAAAGTATTGGTCTACTGACATATTAATTAAATTAGACTACTCGAGTAATGAATGAAAAGTAATGGTCTATTGACATATTAATTAAATTAGACTACTCGAGTAATGAATGAAAAGTAATGGTCTATTGACATATTAATTAAATTAGACTACTTGTGTAATGAATGAAAAGTAATGGTCTATTGACATATTAAGGGAATATTAATTAAATTAGACTACTCGAGTAATGAATGAAAAGTATTGGTCTACTGACATATTAATTAAATTAGACTACTCGAGTAATGAATGAAAAGTAATGGTCTATTGACATATTAATTAAATTAGACTACTTGTGTAATGAATGAAAAGTAATGGTCTATTGACATATTAAGGGAATATTAATTAAATTAGACTACTCGAGTAATGAATGAAAAGTAATGGTCTATTGACATATTAATTAAATTAGACTACTCGAGTAATGAATGAAAAGTAATGGTCTATTGACATATTAATTAAATTAGACTACTTGTGTAATTAATGAAAAGCATTGGTCTATTGACATGTTGTCTAATTAAATTAGCTAACTCTTGTGTAATTAATGAAAAGTATTGGTCTATTGACATGTTGTCTAATTAAATTAGACTAGAGTAATTAATGAAAAGTATTGGTCTAATAGGTTTCTACAGTTATTGAACTAAAAATATTTATTAGTAGTGATATCAGATTAGGATTTCATTCGCTTGCTAAAAAAACATCACAAGAAATAATTTTTAGTGTTTTTAAATGAATGCTCAACTGCGGTGTGACTGCCCCTTGTATTTAGTGGGATCTATAATGTAAATAATGATGTTTCTTTTTAAATGTCTGAGGTGCACATGATATGAGAATTTGCAAAGACAGATAATAAGTTGAGCATATGCTATGCTCTGTGTATGAAATGGTGAGAACCAGTACCAAGCTTGAGTATAAAAGAGGTCCCTGAGGTCTAAAAATAGCAAAGGCTGACTACCCAATCCCAACATTTACTGGTAAAAGTCTATCTTATTTCAGTTCTCTTTGGTAAAAGTCTATCTAATTTCAGTTCTCTTTGGTAAAAGTATCTTATTTCATTTCTCTTTGGTAAGTCTAACTCCAGTACAGTGTATCAAAGGCCTGTAATGAGTGGCTTTACCTGTAAAAAGATGGCAGCCTCCTGGTAGTTGAGCCTCCACTGTTTTCTTCTGTGGTGTTCCCTGAGTTGCTGGCTAAAGCAGTCCTGGGGGTCAGGGATGTCCTGACCCATGTTCCCCACTTCATTTGCAATGTCAAGCTCAGGGTCATCTGATGAAGATAGTTCAACATCTAACTTAATTTGGTATGACAAGTAGAAATAATTACGCATCTAACTTAATTTGGTCTGACAAGAAAAATTAATTCAGCATTCAACTTTTAATTTGGTCTGACAAGAAAAAATAATTCAGCATTCAACTTTTAATTGGGTCTGACAAGAAAAAATAATTCAGCATTCAACTTAATACAATATCAGACCTAATTTGGTCTAACAAACAAAAATAATTCAACTTCTAACTTAATTTTATCAGGACAAAGACAAAAAGTTCAGCATCTAACCTAGAAAGCATTGCATTGAGAACATAATTTTTATAAAAAAAAAATCTCATTAAACATATATTTAAAATGTGCATAATGACATCACCATGTTGGCTCAAGGTTATAACTAGCCATAACTATCAACATATCTAATATTTCTATCTTCCAAACTTTCAAACTGAATTGCCTCAAATGGTAATACAAATACTCATTTGTTATATTTTCTGTACAACAATAAACTTTGTGTTGAAAAGGGCAGAGGTCATTAATATACAATATAAGGGAAGTATTAATCAGCTTGGAGAACCGCAAGGCTGCATGCTTGCGCCAAAGACCTTTTTTATAGTCATTGACTGGATTATGAAAATAAACTGGATCAGATGACAAGAACACCGTCTATGGTTTTCAGAGTATGACAGCAAAGTAAAATCTGTTCTCTATGGTTCTGGGACGTGGAGAGTAACTACACAAACTAATGACAACCAACTTCAGACTTTCAGTAACGGATGCCTGTATTGCATATTTAACTTCAGATGTCCTGAAAAATTACTAATGCCAAACTAGAGAAAAACCAGGCAAGACCCTGGTGGCAAAGAAAGAGCAAACGGGAATGGATTGTACACACCATGCGGAAACCAACTAGCAACATCACCAGATGGGCATTAGATTGGATTCCCCAAAGGATTTTTAGATGAACAAACTTGGAAAAGGTCAGCTGTTAGTGAAGCAGAAGCAGCCGGAATGTCATGGACCCAACTTGGAGGAATCGCACAGAACCCAGTAGGATGGAGAAGTGTGGTTGTGTCCCTATACACTACGAGGGGCATACAGAAATGATGATAATGCTTGGACAAAAATCTAAATCAAGATTTTTATTTAACCTCCCTGAGTGTATTTATAACTTATTTATAAGATAAATAAAAAGAACCAGTTCATGAGCTGCTAGCTGCAACACCATGTCTTAGCATTTGTTAAAAAAAAAAACATTCTGAAGTTATGTAATGTGAAGTTGATAAAGCAATGCAAAGCAAATTACATAAAAAATTTTAAAACCAAACTGACAAAATGATTTCAAAACCACAAGAAGATACAACTTATATACCTTACAGCAAACTCTTTTGCAAATAAAACATGTTAAAAACAAACAGACTAGCCGTCTAAGACTTACCTTCTAAGAATGAATTAGGTAAATCATTAAGCATAAAAAAAGTACCATACTTATTGCCAGCCATACTAACACATCAAACTACACACCAACTGTTGCACTTGTTCATTCAAGCAAATAAATTATGCGTCATTAAATTCAGCTTTTTTTTAGCCATTTTGAATATCATTAGCTGTACTTTTACCTATTTTATGAACATAATGTGAAACTATACACTATATACAGGATTAAAATTGGCATGATAGTTGTATCATGAAATTAAATACTTGTTTTCATTAGTAAAATAACCAAAATCCCCTAACCCCATATATTTACAGTATTTAATATACAGGGATAGAGGCATGTGAAGCACTCAATGATCTCACAATATCATCATCACAATTTGTTAATATTTTGTAATCTCTATCACATTATATTTTCATGAACTTTTTTTTTTAATCCTGACGTAATTTTGATTTATCAGTAAAAAATTTTTTTATTCCAACTCATTTTCAAATTCATTTATTCTATAGGCTTTTTGTTCTTATATTAATATTAAGTTAATTAAAGGTAAATTAAAAAAAAAAAATTATGTGATTTTTTTACTTCATCCAGTACCCACTTAGGTATAACAAATATTAACTATACTTAAATTGTGGCATTAGAGGAACATTTACAGTAATAAAATAACAAAGATTATGTGAATAGATATGTGGTTTTTTGAACTAATATTTGAGTTAGCCTATAGACCAATAGCGTAGGTCACCGTAAGTGAGACTACTACATATATGGAGAACTAAAAATACTACATTTTCAAAATATGGAGGTACTGGTGACGGGGGGTGGGGGTGTAGCCTACTTTAATAGATGAATTGGGGTTGTAAGCCCACTTATAAATTGCTCCAACAACTGTCAGGTACCAACTGAAGCTGAGTTGACTCATGGGATTTAAGGGATTAAAACTGTAAATGTGATTGGCTCCTTGCTCCACTTAGTGACAAACATTTTAAACAATTTTCAAATCATTTGTGCAAGAGTAGCACAACCCAATTACTTCTTAAAATAAAGTCCATCACCAAGTTTTAATAATTACTGTGTTAATTACTTTACAATAAAAAAATTTGTGACAATTAACACAAACTGGATATAACACAATGACTCAAGCTATTTAATGAAATATATATATATATATAGCAGTGACGGAAATTTAAATATCAAGCGAGTGAAATGATTTAACAATGGCCAATTTATCAAACTGATAAGAATACTTTAGCCTAGTTCTTAACAAATAGTGACCTGAAAAAATATTTTTTGTAGCAAATAACTCATGAGCACATTGACTTTCACAGGAAGTAACTTTTAGAAGTGCACTTCATTCAAGTATTGTACAACAGTTATTAGAGTATTAGCTACAAACAGGTTACAATAGAAAGTCAATGGGTTTCATTCATTATATAAATAGAGAGAAGTTACGTATTCTTAAGCTGAATCACCTCCCCTCCAATATTAAACATCCCCACAAAAAGTAAAGAGCAAAAACAAAGTTCCAAAACTCTCCACACACTATTCTTCTAAAACTTCATGGTTTTCAAATTTCTAAGTTTTAGGAGACACAAAATGAATGTTATGCCACATTTCTCAGCTCTCCCCTGCATCATTATTTTTAAAGTCAAAAGTGTTGTGACTCTTGAAAGGTATACTGTTTTTACAGTTATCTCGATAGAAACACTTTCACTTGAAAAAGAAATCTAGAAAAATATTTGACAATTAATGAGAGCCAGATGCTAAATTGGAAAAAATTTACCACTATTCAACAGTCTTTCCAATAGTATTGGAAACACTAAAAAAAAGTTATTTATTTTATTTTTTGTTCGGTTTCAATTTTTAACTAAAACATTTAAAAAGCTGTTCCACTTCCAAAATTTCAAACAGGTCTGTCAACTTTAAAAACTACATCAGATCTAAGGACAACCATGTTCTATAATAAACCAGGTGAAATCACTCCACTTGCTAAAAGGGACCTTCAAAATTAACCATCATTTTAACTCAAAGTCTAGTACTGAAAAAATTTCATAAGACGTTTCTAGTATATTACTCTATTTTTTAATAAATGTATCTGTTTATCTCAACACAACAATCTCATAAACCACAGTAAAACATACTTTACAGCATTTTATCAAAATGAGTAAGGATTTTAAGCCCCATAAAATGTTTTAAGGGTTAGTGATAAGTGTGTAAATGAAAACAGGATCGTAAAACATGCTTTTAAAACAACGAACCAACCTATAATGACTTCAGCTAGTTCAATCCATTCATCACCAATTTTTGCCAACATTTTATCTATAACAGAAGGTTATACCCAAACTACACACAGCTGTAATTTGTATTCCAATACTGAAATTGTAGTTTCTTCACAAATTTGAGTTAAATATTGATTGTAATATTCCATTTTTTCTCCCATGATTTCTTGGTACATCCAAGAGAAATTTATTGAAACTATAGTTATTGAAACTATAGTGAACAGAACACAATAGATACAATTATTTTCTAGAACTGATGTAGAATGCACTATATAACAACTTTACTGACACAGTTTATTAGATAAACTTATTAAAAGCAATTAATTTTAATGTTACTATATTACTACAATTTTTTGTAAAGGATAAAAAAACAAGACCAATGCTCTAAAAATAACTTTAAAATATACATCACTAGCTTGAAAAGTTATCAGTATGGTGAAAAGTTTTATCACATGACTGATAATATCAATAAATAGGTCACAACCTTTAATTTACTACATAATGGACATTTTAATTTTTTTTATTAAAATTAAATCTAAAGTATTTAGTTAGAAATGCTTATTTAAATTATAAAACATGATTTTATTCATCTTGATAAGTATACATTAGGTTTGATTAGTGCAAAAGCATGGCTAGCTGGACAAAGGTTGAAATAGGTCTGCTTAAATGATGGAGCGAAACATCTGGAGCATTACTATGATCATTATAAAAAATAAAATGTTTCCATTGACACTGTCAATTGTATTTTTAACTGACAGAGTATAGATAACAATTTACTGATAAAACAATGACAAACGCATTAATTTTTGTATGGACTTTTTGTTATAGACCAAAGATGTAATCAGTCTCTTGAGCTGTCTTCTTAAGTTTGTAATTTGTAAAGAATTTTATAATTAGAAATTCAAACATATCAGTAGAAAACCATTGTGAAATTATTATGCATGTACAGTTTAATACAAAGGCGGCTGGGCATAGTGCTGACCACACTATCCCTTCATATGCCAAGGTCACAGAAACAAGTGAACTCTACTTCACTTTCCCCATAAACCATCTAGTTTGAAAGGGAACTTTACTTACAGTTTGTTTAATGCAGCTACACATCAGTTCAAACATAGTCTGTATCATATATCAAATAGAGAAATAGAAAAATAAATGAGGGTTTGTGTGGGTTTCAGTGGAAAAAGGGACCCACCTCTTAAGATAAAAATATTAAAATAGGATCAGTTTGCAGCAAAAAAAAAAAAACAGGTAGCATTAGTATCCTCATAAATTACAGACAATTACATGGACTACAGTCTTCATCAGCACACTACAGTGTGGTTAAAGCAAAAAGACAAGAACAATTCACAAGATGGCAGAAGAGGAAGGAAAAGATTTAATAATATTTTACAACTACCACACCACCATTAAATTCACCTCCCAAATTTTAAGCAGGTCTGTTAACTTTCGGCACACGACCATAAGATTAAAAACCACATGAGATCTAACGCCAACCATGTTCTAAATTAAATCAGGTGGAAGCACTCAAAATATACAATCAATTTGAGTCTCATAATGCGGTTTAAAAAGAACAAACACAATATTAAAACAGACTTTTATTTTAAAACAGACTGCCAAATGCAGCCATAATTAAAAAACCCAGCAAACTATGACAATTCAGTCAATACAGCTAATTGGTATTAGGGCACCAAAGTTTAAACAAACATGTTCTCTATCATCTTAACCCTACCAAACACCATGCCCAACTCTTCCAAACCCCTTTATATTGTTTGCATTCTCTAATAACATATGCTTCTTCTTCTGGATAACATGGTCTTTCAACTAGACATGTTTTTATCCTCAAGCCTGAAATTGAACCACTCTTTGTGGTGTTTTATCTGTAACTACAATGTTGATGTTGTGTGGTGATGAAGACCTTAGGTTGAAATGTCTACTATGTGGACACTATTGTAACTTGTCTAGTCACTTGTAGGCCGGCATGTTTCTTTTATCACTTAAGCCTATAATGTAAGTTATTAGTTTTTGCTTAAACTGTGCAGCTACACAGAGGTACATGGCAACAGTAGAGTGAGTGATTTATTCAGAATAAATTGAATAGTTGAAGACATGATATGAAGTCAAGCTGCAAAATAGGTCTACTCAATTTAGATTTTAGATACTTAAACTTAAGAGTTTAAAAATTTTGTGTTAAGACATTCTGCTGGGGAAACAACAATCAAAGGGTTGACTGGCAAAATATTCATTGTTTTGAGAATTAATTTAGAAAACAAAGTGGGGTTTTTAGAAGATCAATCACTGCAGATGGGAGAATGTTTATTTATACCAGTGTCCGATAATGGAATCTTCTTTAAAATAGGGGTTTAGTATGGCTGGCTAATGTCAATGCTAACCCTGTCCCCAACTCTGGCCTAACCCCAGTCCTGGTCCTACCATACGGCTACGCCTAACCCCAATTTCTAACCATAAAATAATAAATTAGTTTAAATTACAATACTTTAATAAAAGTCTTAACTACTAGATCTAGATCTAGATCTAACAACAAACCAACACCCCTTTTTAAAAGAAGATTCCATTATCTGACACTGGTATCTAAGTATCTATAATCATCCCCAAACGGACACTGAGTAAACTCCGTCACTCAAAACTTCCATCAGTAGTGACAGTGACAGTACACTACAGTCACTACAGTTAACAGTAGTTTGTTGAGTAGACTGAGGTGAGGTCTGACTGAGTGGAAGACGTTGACAACATCGTTGACGTCCGTTGTTTTACTTTTTGACTTTTATTTTAGTTTTAAGCCTTCACTGTAACTAAAGTAGGCTTATGTAAATAATAGATCTAATTATAATATAATAGGCCTACATTTTTTAAAATAAACAAATACGCTATTCCAATATTTAATTATTTATGCATACTTATGCTGGTGGCGCGGGATCTTGGAAGATGTGTACATTCAATAAACGGGCCATCTCCCATTCCCTCCATCTTGGATAAAATGAAAACAAACATTGACCTTGCTAAAGTTTAAAAGTCATTTCCGCTTTTCTTGTTTCCTTAACAACAACAACACGCTATGTAAGATGAAGACAGGACGAGCTTTTATTGTGTTTTTGTAAGCGTTTTGAAATTATTTAAAATTTCTTCCCTATGAATTCGCGAAACGATATTAGATCTAGTCTACATCTATATTGAATGATAGAAATAGTACTAATTTAACGCAAATGCCTTATTTAATATCTCTCAAATTACTCTCAATCTTATTGATATGAATATTCTGAATATTGATTCGACGCACTGTTCACTGTGTCGCACGCACCTCGAACTCTTTCTCAGTCTTACTCTTTCTGCTGACTTTTTCTGATTTTACCGTGCTACACTCACAGACTCCAACAATAGTATGCCTATATTATAATACGAGAAAAATGGCCCGTTGAGGAAGGATACACCGGGCGCTTGGTTGATAGTGCTGTCTCTTTTCTCTAAACTAAAACCAACCCCCCAACACCCCCCCCCATCCCCCAAAAAAACATGTCTACCGTCCCATTCAACGAAATATAATTATATACTTTTTCCAGTGTCCGCCCCCTCCCCGAAAATTCTACCCCCGCCCCCGAAAATTTCAAGTACCCCCACCCCTCTCCGGGGAGGAAAAAGTCTGAAAGAAACACTGGTCGCATTTGTAGATCATACAAACTAAAGGAAGAATCTGGGCGGGGCTCCGCCCCTACTGGAAGAGAGGAAAAAGTCTGAAAAAACACTGGTGTCGCGCTTAGCCACTACCCGAAGAATTGCATTAAAGAAATTGCAAGAAAACCACTTTTTAGATTAGACACATTAATTAAGCGGTAATTTTATTATAGAGTATTGATGAAGAAATTTCTTTTGAGTTGGGGAGGGGGGGGGGCTTAGACGTTCTTACGCGGGGGGTGGGGCTTCGCCCCTACCCGAAGAATTGTATGCAAGAAACTCTTCACGCAAACCATTTAGATTAGACAAAATTTCCTTTTTAATTCAATGTTTACTCGAGAATCAATGACGTCATATTACTGTGTGCACTCTCCGGCTGGAGATTATTTTCTACTCTATGCTAAATGTGACCGCGTCATACTTCGATTTTCGAATTACTGTGCATGTTTTTATTTTGCTTGTGTTTTCTCTACAGCGTTCTTGTCAGATAGATAGATAGATAGACAGACAGCGAAACTATTAGTATTAATTAGTTTTATTTCGGAGAGTTTTAACTTTGATTCATTCAAACTTTTTCAATGTCAATGAGACTAAGATTTTAAGATGAATGAGACTAAGCAAGTTTAGTATTAGAGTATTAGTATTATTTTTAATATTTTATATTATACTTACAGTATTACACTATATAGATCTACTATATTCTAATTAAGTTTAGTTAGAGACTGAAGGCCTGTGTTTAAACTAGTTTAAAGTTAAAGTCTATTCTTGACCAAACTAGACTTAATTATAATTATACATCTAATAAATTGGCTTAAGGCATTTACACTGTATATTAACTTATCATTGACATTGATTATCAAAGTAAGTGTAGTTTTACTTTCTCGTATACAGAGTATAGAGAACAGTGTTTTCGGGGGGGGGGGGGGGGGGGGGGGGGGGCGGTAAACTTTCTTCGGGGGGCGGACACTGTTAAAAGTATATATTTTCTATATAAATTTCATTTCGTTCTGAGGCTTTGCCCCCCCCCCCCCCCCCCCCAAAGAGATGTCTGGAAGAAACTCTGATAGAGAATAGAGGAAGTATTGTAATCATGCACAAAAATCACATGAAATTTTGATAGTTTTCATCACTTTACATCTCGGTACTTCATCATACACGGATGATAGGGCACCTATTTTAATCGGGCAAAAATTATAAATGCGGATTTATCAAAATTTCGGCGTTCTATGCTTAATCCATGCAGAAAAAGTGGTCTTTGCTGTTCTGTCCGTATGTCTGTGTGTGTGTATGTGTGTCTGTGAACATGATACCTTGAGTACCGTTACAGCTAGGTCGATAAAATTTCAAATATAAGTATTATATCAAATTTGTAGTTCTGTATCAACTTTTCAGTGATTTCCGGTAAACAGAAGTGGAACTTATTCTACTTTCAATTTTTCAAAAGCCCATAGATCTAGCTTGAGTACTGTTTCAGATAGATAAATGAAATTTCACATGTAAGTAAAAGATCTAATTCTCTGCCTTTTGTCAAAATTTGAGTTATTTCCGTTTGACCGGAAGTAATAATTTATGTTATTTTCGATTTCTCAAAAAACGCATTTGAGTTTATAAAGCACTAATAAAATTGCACACTATTATACACAGATTATTTGGCGTTCACTTGCTGCACAATTCTTTTTTCTTCGAGATTTTATTCTATTTTAAAAAGTTTAAGCAATTAAAAATGGATTTAAAATCATATCTTTATCACGTTTGCCATCACTCATAGTGTTATATAAGAACATTTGAGGAAAGTTAAGGGGAGATTACTCCCGGTTTATTTCAGTAGTAATAATTGTAGTCACTATACATATTATATAATATCTAAGAACAAAGTAAAGATTTTAAGAATAGTCAAAAATAAGTATCTTTTCTTATTTAGTTTTGAAGTTTTAACTAAATCTTACAGTTACTTAAATTGAAAGTCATTTTTAATATGCCTATTAATTCATTTGAAATGAATTGAGGAATGTGATGTTAGTAGTTAGATGAGTGGTCTCTTTATTTGTGGAGACCAGTCAATTAAGTTTGAGACTAAAAATATCCTAATATAAAGTAATATAATTTATGAATTAGAATCTACACCCATGAACACATTTATATTTTGAGTTTTATAAATTTATGATTGAAATTAATATCAATACGGCTTACTCATTAAATAAAATCAATTATTATGTAAGTAACATGATTTTATCTTTTCAGGTTCATCTGAAGATGTGTTGACTTTGACTCGACACAGTATTTTTTAAATTGAAAGTGTTAAGTTGCTGGGATAAGTGATTAAACTTTCAAAAATGGCAACGCAAACAATCACCATGAGTAACGAACTGGTCTCTGAACCAACCGTCCACATACGTCTCGCTCCTCTGCCTCCTGGGGGCAATAAAAAAAATGTCACTACTGTGCGTGTAAGAAATATTAAATTAGATCCTACACGTGCGTTGGAGCCTGCTAGAAAGAAACTCTCTGCTATAGAGTCACAGAGGGTGATGGCAGTCTTTGAAGATACTATTAGAAGAGTTGAGATTGTAACAGCCTTGCCGTATATTATTAGTAATATTGATCGTTTTCGAGTATCATTGGGTGCAGAGCTATCCAACTTGATAAACCAACATATTAGAATTCAAGACAGCTACCAAGACATCCGAGACCAGTTAGATCAGATTCTATTTAAAAGAGCCCAGCAGTTAGAAAAAATTGAATTAAAAAGAGTCGCAAAGGAGGAAGAAGAGGCAAAGAAGAGGGAAGAATTAGAGTTTGAAGAAGACGATGATGATGATGAACAATATGCAGAGAATGAAATGCAAAACAACGCATCTGGTCTGAATCTCCTAGAAACATCTCAGGAAGTTTCTGGTGATATTCATCAAATGGTTAAGGAGGATGGAGATGGAGAGGTGAGGGCATCTTCAGCACACAGCAGGGATTCTATCATGACGGATTATGAGCCGAGGATTAAAGAAACTATGAGGAATCTCGGACTCGTTGCACAACAGGTTTGATTAAATTTTGGTTATTTGTAATCTACTGTTTGTTGTGCTTACTAAATGTACTAAGGGTACTGTGAAAATTTATTTTTAAAAGCTTAAAATAGTGGTTGAGAAAGTGATTGAATTATTGATGATAAATTAATAAGCAGCTAAAATAAATTTTTGAATACATTTTGGAATCACTTTATTTAAACCCCCCCCCCCCCCGTGTCTCTGTTAGGGTTGGGGTAGAAATACCAATAAAAATAATCAATACAGCCCTAACTGAGAGTAGTGTGGTAGTTAAACTTTTGGACCTGAAAATCAGTTGGGCAGATCAGGTAGGCTTGATCTTTTTCTGTAATGTCAACATACAGAATGATAGTGTGGCCAGAGCTATGCCCTGTTGTTGTGTCATAGGCTGGACGGACACAGGCACATCCAACATACTCTAACCTGATTTAAACCTGAGACATTTTAAACTAGTTATTCTGTACTCTATGAGTAGTAGGCATTCCTACGTTTTCTTACCCTACATTTTCATATAGGTCTTAGAAACTATAGTCATCTGTTTCTAGGTTCTCTGTTAATGAATGATCATTTTAATGCTAGGTCATATGTGCTTTCCATTCATCGTTGTGGCTCCACAGCCAATGACTGCCTTGACCTGTTTCGCTATATTTATCCATTCAGAATTACCTCCCATTTTCTTCTTCTAAAGACTGAACTTCAAGCTGGCAAACGTCTGTCCAAACTATCTATCTACCCACAGTTACTTTTCCTGACTTAAGTCTGTACTTATCAGTGCTGGATGGACACATCAACATTCTACAGATTCATAGATTCATTTACCCTTAGTGATGGCGACAAAGGCATCATACAGACTCTGCTTAGTCACTAAAATCTAGACTTTCACCTACCCATTTACATATTATATAACATAATTCATTAGTAAATACAAAATCTAAAATAAAGTGTAAATTATTCTACCAGGTTAGCCACTCATGCAAGTCGATACTCCGCCTATTCATCATCAACCCTGCAGCCATGAAGGTTGTCACGGAGTCATGCCCTAGGGAGGAGAGTGGTGAGAGCATCCTGTACAACATGCAGGAGCTCAAGGAAATCCTGATGAACAAGCTGCTGACCAACCCTGAAGAGGAAGACGAAAAGGTTGCGTATTTGGACGAGATATCCAAAAGGGAGAGACACAATGCCTCTGTTATAGAAAAACTAGAAAAAGATCTGAAAGCTGCTATAGAAGATAAAGAAGAGGAGGTACATTTTGTTTGCTTGCTTTAAAAAAATGTAAATTATTTTTTATATGGACTATAATTAAAATGTTTTGGGCGTTTAACTCTTAATAAGGTACAGTGTCATAAGCCTACAGACAACGTATTCAGCTTTTAAATATTTTACTTGAAAATTTGGCAATATGTCTAATATTAACATTTATAGAATCTTGAAAATAACTGTAATAATTATGTTTTAAGAAGTTAGATCGTGGCTAATTATTATTTAGTTTTCGCTGTGGCAAGTTTTACTAAATATCTTGAAAATTTTATTCATATTAATAAAATAAAAAATCTGAAATTTTTAATATTATTAAAATTTTAAATATATAATTTTAATTTTTCAGATGTGTGTTAATTTTTTTTAGAAAAATAAACCAAAATATTTATAGTTGGAGTCACTTTAAAATTTTCATTTTACATTAACTCCAGGTAACAAAACAGAAATTTAATTTCAGATCAAGAAAAATAATGAAATCATCAAAAAGCTTCAGACAGAGCTCCATACAATTGAGAAGATCTCAGAAGAAAACAATCGGCGCACAAAACTGGAAGCTGAGAAACAGGAAATGGCTGATGCCAAGAACAGCCAACAGAAAAGCCAGAAGTTGCAGTCAGAAGTGAATACCCTGCAGTCAGGGTTGAACAGTTTAGTTACTGAGCACAGGGAACTAGAAGCTGATCTGAGAGCTGTAAGATCATGTTTATTTCTAAAACAAATTGTTTTTAATTTTTTCATGTTAAACTTTCATCATCATCTTTTTTGTGTGTGCCAAAGACACATGAGGCCACCACAGGAAGCTCCCTCCACTTTTGTCAGTCACCTGCAATTTTCCTGTCAGTCCCCCATGATAGTCCTGCCTCTGCCTGCTGCTTCCAAGCTGTGCGCCTCCACATCACCCTTGGCCTTCCTTTCTTCTTTCACCCTTGACCTTCTTTCTTCTTTCACCCTTGACCTTCTTTCTTCTTTCACCCTTGGCCTTCCTTTCTTCTTTCACCCTTGGCCTTCATTTCTTCTTTCACCCTTGACCTTCTTTCTTCTTTCACCCTTGACCTTCTTTCTTCTTTCACCCTTGGCCTTCCTTTCTTTCACCCTTGACCTTCCTTCTTCTTTCACCCTTGACCTTCTTTCTTCTTTCACCCTTGGCCTTCCTTTCTTTCACCCTTGGCCTTCCTTTCTATCTTTTTCCTAGAGGTGTCCAGTTTAGTGCCATTCCTGCTATATCATCCGGATTCATTCTTAGGACGTGCCCCATCCAGTGCCATCTTTTTAAAATTATTTCTCTGCTTCCATTTCCATCTCTCATAGTAATCTATCATTAAAGAATGTGTTGGACCAGTGAACTTATATATGTAACAAGTACATATAAGCTAACGTGTTTGATTAACTTAATATATAAAAACTACACATAAAACATGCTTAATGTATTAATCATATTTGTAATGGCTGATTAAGATAATCATAATAATTTTTGTGCAGAATATTATAAAACACTTTTAATGTTTTTATTGGTTTACTTATATATTATTTTCTAACAGAAAAAATATAAAGTTGAAAATGAAGTGGACAACTGGATCCAAAAATATGATCAGGACTTAGGAGAGAGACAGGTATTTACCTGGTGTGAAAGGTGTAGAGAGTTATTTGGTGTGGAAGGTGTAGAGAGTTAATTGGTTTAAACGATGCAAGTAGTTATTTGCTGAGAAAAGTTCAACTAGTTATTTGGTGTGAGAATTGCAGCTAGTTATTTGGTGTTAATATAGCAGTTAGTTAAAAGTAAAGAGATTAGACCTGGAGGTCCATGTGGCAGGTGAAGTAGAGTTCACCTGCTTTTATTACCTGGGCACATGATTGGATAGTGTGGACAGTACTATGCCCATTCACCTTTACTTTCCCTAACATGAGTTAGGTACCCATCAGAGCTGGCTGGACTCAGAAGTTCTACTCACTTGAACCTGGATTCGAATTTTAGACTTTAGGGTTAGCAGCCTAGCGCCCTATCGCTAGGCCATGCCCTCCCATACAGTTTGTTATTGGGTGTGAAAAGTGCTGTTTGTTATTGTGTATAAAAAAGACATATATCAATGTATATGTCCAAATGTCATAAAATGCTAGACCAATACACATATCAAAGTCTATGTCCACATGTCATAAAATAGTTGACCAATACATATATCAATGTTGACGTCCAAACATCATAAAATGCTTGACCAATATATATCAATGCCTATGTCCAAATGACATAAAACAATTGACCAATACATATATCAATGCCTATGTCCAAATGACATAAAACAATTGACCAATACATATATCAATGTCTATGTCCAAACATCATAAAATAAATGACCAATACATATGTCAATGCCTATTTCCAAATGTCATAAAACAATTGACCAATACATATATCAATGTCTATGTCCAAACATCATAAAATAAATGACCAATACATACATCATTTCTTATGTCCAAACCTCATAAAACAATTGACCAATATCAATGTCTATGTCCAAACATCATAAAATAAATGACCAATACATACATCAATTCTTATGTCCAAACCTCATAAAACAATTGACCAATATCAATGTCTATGTCCAAGCATCATAAAATACTTGACCAATCCATATATCAAAGTCTTATGTCCACATGTCATAAAATAATTGACCAATACATATATCAAAGTCTATTTACACACATCATAAAATGCTTGACCAATACCTCCCACACAGGATGAGTATGAGGAGATTGACGCCGTATACACGGAGGAGAAGAAACAGCTACTGGAGCTTGAGGAGAGGTTCGCCACCCTGGAGAAGGAGTACCTGTCCATCATGGAGGAGAGGAGGGTGGCCCGCAGCAAGCTGGAGAGGGCCCAGAGGGAGCTGGAGATGATGGTCAAGGCCGCGACCACCATTCAGGCATTCTGGAGATCCTACAAGGTCCGCAAGGCGCTCAAGGCTAAGGCGAAGAAGGGCGGGAGGAAAGGTGGAAAGAAGAAATAAAGACACAAATTTATGTTTTTTATTGGCAGGAAAGTAGAAAGAAAAATAAGGACAGAGGGTGTATGTATTTAATTGGCAGGAGAGTGGAAAGAAGAAATAAAGACATAAATTGTATGTATTTTTATCAGGAAAGGTGGAAAGAAAAATAAGGACGGAAATTGTATGTATTTTTTTGGCAGGAGAGTGGAAAGAAGAAATAAAGACAGAAATTGTATGTATTTTTTTGGCAGGAAATTGGAAAGCAAAAATAAGGACAGAAATTGTATGTATTTTTTTTGGCAGGAGAGTGGAAAGAAGATATTAAGACAGAAATTGTATGTATTTTTAGTTGGCAGGAGAGTGAGAAGAAAAATAAGGACAGAAGGTGCATGTATTTTAACATCAGGACAGGTAGAAAGAAAAATAATGACAGAAATTGTATGTATTTTTTTAGCAGGAAAATTGGAAAGAAAAAACAATAGGAACTGCATGTGTATTTGTTAAAATATACAATTTTGTTACATTATATGCCTATGTATTGTAAGAAGTTACATTTTTACATTGACTGTGAAAGTAATTAACTTTTTTTTAAATAACTTATTTAGTAATAGTATTTAATGGATAGTGAATGTTCTATAATATATGAGTTTTCTGTTATAAAAAATCTATCTTTTTCTTGTAATGGTTTTGCTTTACAGTTTTAAAAAGAAGAATATGAATAATTTCAATAATTTTTTCTTTAAAAAAATAATTCCTATACATTTTAACGTACACACTTGTTTTTAAAAATGGTTTTTTCAAGAATGACAGTAAATTTCAATTAATATGCCTACACTTTTATAGTGAGGCATAATGGCAAAATTGTATGCAAAAATAAAAAAAATTTGTTTTTATTTTAAGTGTGAAATTTTTTGTTTTATTGGTAAAAGATAGATGTAAGATAGACATAAAATATCCATACACTTACTTGAAAAATGTGATATTTGATTGTTAAAAATTATTGTGATATAATATGTATCAGTATTCTGTTAAGTTACTAGTTATTTTTAAGGTACTAGCCTACATTTTAAAATGTCATTATTGTATATTTTTATTTTCTGTCACTTTGTTGTTAACTCATGTTTGTACCCATTTGAAACAGGGAATACAAAGTAATTACTTTTAACAATAATAAACAAATGAAACTACTTATGCTATTATAATTAATTAGGCTTATAATAAAACTGCCAATTATCAATTGAAAAAAGTAAAAGTACATTTGTACATCTAAATTATTTTCCCCTTCCAAAGCTATTTTAACATTTATATGCTAATCTTCTTCTTCTTCTTCGTTCTTAATTTTTAGTGTTGGGAGGGATCGAGCCTTATCTGCCAGAGGGTTTGAACTCGAGACTTTTTCGAATTTATCAACCATGAGCTTTGCCGACTCGACCATGTATATGCTAATAACTTTCCTCACTAAAATTGTAATGGAACTGTTAAGATTAAGTGTTTATTTATTTTGAAAATAAAATATTTATGATGAAAAGCTATTAGCTATGAGTCTGTTTCGATGCAGTGTTTTCTCCGGTAAAATAAAAATGCCTGCTCTTTTTATGTAGTACTATAAATTTGTCAGAATAATTGCTTGGTTTCCTGACAATGTAAATTAAATTTTAAAATTAAAATTTCTGTGACTGTTCCTCTACATAGAAAATACAGTCAGCTAAAAAAAATTGTATCCATAAAGAAATGTATAAATTTGAACAAAGGTATTGGAAATAAAGTCACTGAAGTCAACAAAAAAATTTAGTTTATTGTATTGTTTTTAATTTATGCTGTTTAGTTAGAAATTAATAAAAAAAAAAAAAAGAACGCTGATTCAAACCATATTCAAATGTATTCCGACAAGATCATAACATGATTCAGGATATCATATGATAAGTATTGATAAGACTATTCAATAACTTAATCCATCACCATTAACCCTAGTTGGAGTCATCGGGGCACTAAAGTTGATTTTTCTCATAATTTTCTACTATTTGTCTTTGTTCTCAGCTGCTCTGAATAGTTCTGCAACATGCAGCACTGTCCACCTGTTTAGTGATCGCACATTTCCAAGTACAGATTGTGATTTTATTTCTTACATTGATCTTAGTTCTTGGTAGACCAGTAGTAAACATTCCACCTCCGTCATGATCTGCCCTTGTTAATCCATAAATGACTGATAGATGAACCTATGATATAATATATGGTAACTAGTACTAGATGGGATTATACTAAAAGATTGACTGCAGATCTTATATATATATATATATATATATATATATATATATATATATATATATATATATATATATATATATATATATATATATATATATACATATATATTACACATAGGTTGAAAGGCAGGTGTTAACAAACAGACCTGAGGAAAAAACAAATCTGACGCATCTGACGCTGGCTCGATTCACCGCAATTTAATTAATAAGAGTTGATTTAGACATGGTACGTTGATTTAACCTGGGATTGCAATCATAAATGATAAATTGTGAAGGGAGGGGAGGTTGAATGGTTTAGTGGTTAAACACAAGGGGTCGTCCATAAATGACGTCACACTCGTAGGGGGGAGGGGTCCGTAATTTTGTGATGGTGTGTGATGAGGGGGAGGGGGGGGATTCAGATGGTTCGACGTCACACTTTTGAATTATAAGAAAACCAATTTTAGACGTTATTTCGCGTTTTAGAAAACTGTTTTAATAAATTGTAAAAGGAATTGATCAAAATACTCTATTTGACAGAGTTAAGACAAGATTTTAGAAAAATATCGATGTTTTAAAAAAAAAAATCAACTGCAATTTTGAGGGGAGGTTGTAGGCTGAGGTGGGACGTCATTTTAGGGGGGGGGGGTCTGGCTTTTTGTGACGACGTGTGACGGAGGGGAGGGGCGGGAGGTAAAAATCGTCAAAAAAAGCGTGACATCATTTATGGATGACCCCAAATCCAAATAGTTGTACCCTGTGTATTTTTCGTCGGTTGTCTCCCATCTAAACTCTATACCGAGTTTTTGTTTTGTTTTTGGTTGTCTCCCATCTTAACTCGACCAAATCTTTTGTGTTTTTTGTTGTCTCCCTTCTTAACTCTACATAGGGTTTTGCCTGTGGGTTGTCTCCCATTTACTCTAGCCAGATATAGAACGCTGCATTAAGAAGACCAAAGAAAAACTAGGAACAAACAGACGGGTTTCTACATCCTGTAGGAAATCTGATGCCTAAAGAACAACGCTTAATCGATTCATGGACGGCTTGGTTGTGTGGTCAAGTTTAAAATTGTGTTCACGAGAAGGGGCCCACCCGGCTCTGATTGGCGATAGACGCTTGTCACATAAACATGTACGACAACTCTACTTCATCTGTCTCATGGACAATCTGCTCTGAAACAGAACTTTACCATTTACTTTTGGTTGAAATATTTAGACTAAAAATTAAAAAAGAATTTAAGTTTTACAATGTTGGATTTAAAAAAAAAACGACTCCAACATAAAAAAGCCTCTATGGTCTTCAAGAAATAACAGGCACGAATTCAATCCTAACCCCTAACATTTTATGGCCTTTATAAACCATTAGTCAAAACGAACCATTAGTCAAAACGAGAATAGAAGTGGGACAATTGAAGTCGTCGTTTCCTTTTTCTCTGTAGTCCTTGCTTTCGTGAAGGCGAACGAAGAGAGCTCTAATACTCCGTGTGCTCGTCTGAATGACAGGTAGCGCAAACGACGAGGTGGTAGATAGGATCAGAGTTTCTTTCAGGCATTTCTTGGTCCGGATGTGGGGGGGGGGGGGATAGAGGCATCACAAAGTCAATCCACCGCCCCCTCCAACCCCACCCTCAACCCCGGACGAAAAGAACAACATATAATATGTATGCTACTTTAACCAGTGTCCTCCACCCCCACTCCAAAAAAGTTAAGCCCCCCCCCCCTGAAAGAAATCCCTGATAGGTTAACGCGTATATATATATATATATATATATATATATATATATATATATATATATATATATATATATATATATATATATATATATATAAGAGCCTATAGACAAGCTTCACCAAATAAACAGCTACCTTTAAAGGAAGTCTAATAAATCAAACATCTTTAAATAAAGTTTATTAACTAGACACCTTTATAGGAGGTCTATTAACTCGACACCTTTAAAGGAAGTCTATTAAATCAGACACATTTAGGGAAAGTATAGTTTTAAGACTGTCATATCGTTTATCTCTTTTATTGTTTCAAATGATTTTCACATCAAACTTTTGCATTTGGCGTAAAATTAGAAAATCGTATCTGTACTCTCCGAACCAAAGCGAGACCTATCATTTGATACAGAAAAAAATAACCAATGAAATATTTGGTATCATTTTGACCCGGATGTTTTAAGACATTAAACTTAAAAAAACAATGACAACGATACAAACAGTAAACTCGGAGAAAAACCATGAATAATTTTATCGATGTGAAAGTCCCTTGACAGTTTAGCCTACCAATATATTTACAGTGTGTATTTATTTAGACAGACATTCTTTTTATAGATTCTACAAACAAAAACTTGAGTTTTTGTAGTATTGTGTGTAAACAAATACACACATATTCGATCTAGAAAACTAGATCTGGATGTAGATTTTCGAATCTAGATGTAGTACACTCATATGCGTAATCCATAATTTATCACCATGACGGAAACTGTACACGTAACCGGCTCGATTAGGTCTCTCTCTTCACACAAAACGTCTGTTTCCGAAAAATACAACATCCGAATTCCGAAGAAATCTCATGTAAAGTTGGACCCGATCGAGAAAGATCTCCAGCGTTTTATCCCGACGATTGAAGTAAGCAAGGTGCTTGCTGCGTATCAAGAAACGATAAAAAAAGTAGAAATCGTCACGGCTCTGCCCTACATCATGGAGCAAATTTGCCGCCTGCGGTTTCCGTTTGGTGTTGATTTAACGAACGCGATAGAACGACACTACAAGATACAAAACGCGTACCACGAAGCTCGATCCCGCGTAGACCTGCTTCTCAACACAAAGCGGAAACTCATTGAGAAGATCAGGTTTCTCCACGAACAGATGGAAGCAAAAGTAGAAAACTCGAAACAAGATAATGCCTTCTACGATTTCTTCCTCGACAGCCCTTTACTCTATGCCGAAGATGATTTCGATCGTGAAAGCGAGGTCAAATGGAATTTGGAGTCTTCCCAGCAGAAGGTAACGGAAAGTGATCTAACCCAGACGCAGACCGCCGACAAGAATTTATCCACTGAAGAGAAGCTGGAAGAAAAACCATCCGAAGAAAAACAATCTTCGGAGGAAAAGCCATCTTCGGAAGAAAAACCGTCTACGGAGCACGACAATAAGCTTGATAGCAGCAATTCAGACACGCCTTACGTGAAAACATCCGGCAAGACGACCCCGAAAGACGAGGAAGCTGTTTCCAAGGACAGCATAGAGAGCGAAGAGGACCAGAAGCGCCTTGCCGTGGACGACGAGGTCCCGTCGAGGAGATCGTCCAATCGATCAAGCACGAGTTCCCGGGCCAGCAGGTACATAGAGCTGCCCGAGAACAACACCATCTCGGACATCAAGCTGACCATCGCCATCTACGAGCCGCAGATTGAGGAGGCGGTACGCCATCTTGGTCTCATCGCCACGACGGTTAGTTGTCTTGTGGTTGTAGGTCATGTCGTTTGTTGTTGTTGAGTAAACATGAGGGGGGAAGGGGGTAAAATATTAATATAGGTCCAGCCGGAAAGTGAATATCAGACAAATAAGGTCTACACATACAAGGGTTATGTTTCAAACAAGGGTTATGTTAAGGGCTTGAACAAAGTTACGTTCAAGTTTTAAAAAAAATAAGTTGAGTGTTGGTTTTAGGATCTTATGGTCGGGCTTATTGTAAGCTCTAGATTTATTTTTTAATTAATTTTGAAAAGCAAAGTAATTCCAGCATTAGAGTTTTTGTATGCTGATTAGGTACCTACACAGTTCTTTTATATGTCTAGCTGAATTAAGCACAACATAAGTAGCTCATGATATTTTAGCTAGACGTTAAATCAAGTCACCAAATTCAATAACAAGAAAGAAAAAAACGTTCAAAAAGATATAAATTTAACTTTACCTTAATTTATAAATGAAATGCATATACAGTTTGTTATGGTTATAAAGAAAAATAGTCTTACAGTTAGCCATTGACTTTGATTGGACGGGACGGCGTGGCCTAGCGGTAGAGCGTTAGACTGCTTACCCGAAAGTCCCGGGTTCAAGTCAGTAGTATGGATTGAGTCCTCCTATCTCTGATGGGTATCTAACTCACGTTAGGGAAAATAAAAGCCCTTAGGCATAGTGCTGACCACGCTATCCATTAAGCGCCGTTACAGAAATAGATGAACTCCACTTCACTTGCACATTGAGCCGCATGTCTCGAAAAGAGAACTTTCTTTTACCTGAACCTCACCGGGTACAAATAACTCAGTCTGCCACCCCCACGACGCCACTAAAAATAAACCCGCACTTCAGGTCTGCCATTCACTCAAGAACATCCTCCGTCTCTACATCGCCAACCCTCTAGTTTGTCACGACCCCACCACTCCCCTTTGCGACGCCACTAAAAATAAACCCGTACTTCAGGTGTGCCATTCGCTCAAGAACATCCTCCGTCTCTACATCGCCAACCCTCTAGTCTGTCACGCCCCTACCACTCCCCTTTGCGACGCCACTAAAAAAAACCCTCACTTCAGGTGTGCCATTCGCTTAAGAACATCCTCCGTCTCTACATCGCCAACCCTCTAGTCTGTCACGCCCCCACCACTCCCCTTTGCGACGCCACTAAAAAAAAACCCTCACTTTAGGTGTGCCATTCGCTCAAGAACATCCTCCGTCTCTACATCGCCAACCCTCTAGTCTGTCACGCCCCCACCACTCCCCTTTGCGACGCCACTAAAAAAAACCCCTCACTTTAGGTGTGCCATTCGCTCAAGAACATCCTCCGTCTCTACATCGCCAACCCCCTAGCCGCCAAAGCCCTTGAGAGCCACAAGTGCATCCGGTCTGAAAACTGCGAGGCTCTGCTGGATCTTCTTCACGAGCTGGGTGGGCTGGTCAAGGCGCAGATGATGGTCTCGCCCGAGGAAGACACGAAGAACAAGGAGTACCTGGAGAGCATCCTGCGGAGGGAGGGCATCACGCATAAGTACATCGCCATGTTAGAAGACGAGCTCAAGAAAGCCGTGGAAGATATGGAGGTTGAGGTGAACAGTTTGATGTGTGGTATAAGCGTAGGCAGGAGTGTGTCTTGGAGGGTGGGGGTTTAAAGACAAGTACCATGAAACGCAAGACAGCTTTCATTTTGGGGGGTCCCATGCTTTGGGAGTTTGAGGGGGGTATTCTGACCCACCTAGACAAATATCGTATAGCATAAGACAAGTTTCATTTTGGGGTCCAGTGCTTGTGGGAGGGGTATTCTACTCACCAAGACAAATATCATATGGCGTAAGACAACTATTAATTTGAAGGCCCCCCTATATGGGAGGAGGTTGATTTGCCCCACCAAACACACTCTGTTTACGCCACTGACGAAAAGTTTTCTATTTTATTTTTGCTAATCAATTACATAATAAATGTGGGAATTGTGAGTATTGTGAAGCCACCACAAGAAGGGACATGATATACGGGGAATACTGATATAATAACATGGACTGCCTTGTAAAACCTTTTTTTAACCCATTCATTGCTCGAAATACCTCGCTGATTAATTAAAAAATACGCATATTTTTTCTTAATATTATAGACATAGGACGAAATAAAAATAAATACATTTATATAGAAAATAATACTTTATACTTTACCCCGTGTCCGCACTCCTCTCCCAGGAAATTTAAAGTACGACCCCCCTCCTTCTCCCGACCAGGAAGTTGTAAGTGCCACCCCCTCCCTCCCTAAAAAAAAATTGTGAAAGCAATCCCGGCTGTAGCCTATATCAAAAATATACTTTTTTTTTCAAACCCTCAACGCCGCTCCCCTCTCCCTCCTTCCCCGCCCCCCCCCCTTTTTTTTGCTTCAGCTTCAGCAGAAAAATATTCTGATAGAAAATCTAGCAGTAACCTACATTAGAATATCCTTTATTATTCAACCCCTCAACGCCCTTCCCCCCCCCCCCTTTTTTTTCTCAGCTTCAGCAGAAAAATATTCTGATAGAAAACCTAGCAAGTATCCTACATTAAAATATCCTTTATTATTCAACCCCTCAACGCCCCCCCCCCCTTTTTTTTTTTCTCAGCTTCAGCAGAAAAATATTCTGATAGAAAACCTAGCAAGTATCCTACATTAAAATATCCTTTATTATTCAACCCCTCAACGCCCTCCCCCCCCCCCCTTTTTTTTTTCTCAGCTTCAGCAGAAGAAGATCCTGATAGAGAACCTGCAAATGGACCTCACTCAGATCGAATCGTTCTCAAACGAGGCTATTCGGAGGACACTGGCCAACTCGGAAAAGATCGAGTTCAACTGTGCTAAGAATAGCGAGCAGCGGACCAAGCTGGTTCAGAAGGAGATCGATGCTCTGGAGGAAAAACATAGAGCGGAGTGCAGAGAGAACAGGGAGATGGAGTTGCAGTTGAGAAATGTAAGGATGGTGTTTAGATTCTAACTTGCAGTTGAGAAATGTAAGGAAGGTGTTTAGATTCTAACTTGCAGTTGAGATATGTAAGGAAGGTGTTTAGATTTAAACTTGCAGTTGAGAAATGTAAGGAAGGTGTTTAGATTCTAACTTGCAGTTAAGAAATGTAAGGATGGTGTTTAGATTCTAATTTGCAGTTGATATATGTAAGGACGGTGTTTAGATTCTAACTTGCAGTTGAGAAATGTAAGGAAGGTGTTTAGAATCTAATTTGCAGTTGAGAAATGTAAGGAAGGTGTTTAGATTCTAACTTGCAGTTGAGATATGTAAGGAAGGTGTTTAGATTCTAACTTGCAGTTGAGATATGTAAGGATGGTGCTTAGATTCTAACTTGCAGTTGAGAAATGTAAGGACGGTGTTTAGATTCTAACTTGCAGTTGAGAAATGTAAGGAAGATGTTTAGATTCTAACTTGCAGTTGAGAAATGTAAGGAAGGTGTTTAGATTCTAACTTGCAGTTGAGAAATGTAAGGAAGGTGTTTAGATTCTAACTTGCAGTTGAGATATGTAAGGGAGGTGTTTAGATTCTACTTTGCAGTTGAGAAATGTAAGGAAGGTGTTTAGATTCAAACTTGCAGTTGAGAAATGTAAGGAAGGTGTTTAGATTCTAACTTGCAGTTGAGAAATGTAAGGATGGTGTTTAGATTCTAGTTTGCAGTTGAGATATATAAGGACGGTGTTTAGATTCTAAGTTGCAGTTGAGAAATGTAAGGGAGGTGTTTAGATTCTAACTTGCAGTTGAGAAATGTAAGGAAGGTGTTTAGATTCTAACTTGCAGTTGAGATATGTAAGGATGGTGCTTAGATTCTAACTTGCAGTTGAGATTTGTAAGAAAAATGTTTAGATTCTAACTTGCAGTTAAGAAATGTAAGGAAAGTGTTTAGATTCTAACTTGCAGTTGAGAAATGTAAGGAAAGTGTTTAGATTCTAACTTGCAGTTGAGAAATGTAAGGAAGGTGTTTAGATTTAAACTTGCAGTTGAGAAATGTAAGGAAGGTGTTTAGATTCTAACTTGCAATTTAGAAATGTAAGGAATGTGTTTAGATTCTAACTTGCAGTTGAGAAATGTAAGGAAGGTGTTTAGATTCTAACTTGCAGTTGAGAAATGTAAGGAAGGTGTTTAGATTCTAACTTGCAATTTAGAAATGTAAGGAAGGTGTTTAGATTCTAACTTGCAGTTGAGATATGTAAGGATGGTGTTTAGATTCTAACTTGCAGTTGAGGGGGGCGCCAAAATGGGTTGGAAAAACAAATTGAAAGTTTGAGGGGGTGGGTGTAAATTGAAAGTTTGAGGGGGGGGGATGCAAATTAGAAAGTTTGTACCCGGACGCCGGGAAGGGTCGCTACGCCTCTGTTTCAGAGTTCTCCATCTCTTTTTGCTTCGCTGCTTGCATAGATTTTTACCAGACTTTAATATTTTTGTTGTTGTCAACTTTACAGGAAAAGTATAAGGTAGAGAACGAGTTAGAAAACATGATCAAGAGATACGACGCAGAAATGAACGATAAAACAGTAAGAACCAATCGTTTTTTTTTTTCAGTATCAAATTATTCTTGCTTTTTTAAAGTTGATCTGTGTGTGTGTCTCTATTTGAAGGGGGTATTGGGAGTGGGGTGGGGGAGAGTTGCTAATCTTTAACACCCTTACATAGTCTGGAGTAGCTAGGTAAGATGGTTGCACATTTGATTTGTGTGGACGACTGTAATTCTGATAGCGCATCAAAATGATCCATTTGCGCCTTTAGAAGTCTCCATTTTGGAATTTGATTTCGAATGTAAAAAAATGATAACTAGTAAACCGTCATTTAAAAATGTAATTTATTGTTTGAAAACGAATAATAATCTAGAGTTTTCGTTTACTTAAAATTTAATTTCTTGCATAATCTAGAAGTCGTCTTTTTAAAGTTTAATTTCTTGCGTTCAAATGATCTAGAAAAAAATAATAATTGAAAAGCCGCCATTTAATATTCAATTTCTTGCCTACAAAATAATTTAGAAGCGGCGATTTTAAAATTAATTTGTTGCCTAAAAAAATGTTGAAGCGGCGATTTAAAATTTTATTTCTTGTGTAAACAATAAAGTAGAGGCAGCCTTATAAAACTTTCACATGCCGTATAAATACAAATGGTGTTCCCACACAGGACGAATATCAACACATCGAGCTCGTTTACGAAGAGGAGAAGAAAGTTCTGGCGGAACTCGAGGAAACGTTCTTCAACCTGGAGCGGGAGTACAACGGCATCATGGAAGAGCGGCGGGAACAGCGCATTCGCAAAGACTGGAAAATCCGGGAGGAGAAACGTCTAGAAAAGAACGTGAACGTCATCCAGTCTTTCTGGAGGGCGTACGTCGTTCGGAAAATCGCCAAGAAAGACGCCAAGCGGAGGTTGAAAGAGGAGAAGAGAAAAGCGAAGGAGCTGGAGGAGAAAGAGAAGCAGAGGGCTATTGCGGAGGAGAAAGCGTTGAACAGAAGTTCTAGTACTGTTCAGGCGAAGCCGGTTAAAAGTAGTTCTAGTGTAGCGTAAGGGAGGGTGCCTAGCGCGTAACAGCTCAGGGAAATGGTGAGTGATTTACGGTGAGGTTGTTTTAGTTATTCTTAGCTTTGGTGTTAGGTATACTAGGGGGTTGGGAGGGCGTGGATGAAGGGTGGAGCAAACTATAATCTGGAAGTGGGTCCCTCAACCCATCCTATTCTGATTGGTGCAAGACGAGACAGGGAAAGAAAATGTGGCTGGGTTTGATAATATTAAGTCACTGAGCCCACCCAGCTCTAATGGGTACCTGACTTGTTCAGTAAAACTAAAAGTGGCTAGGTGTATAATATTAAGTCACTGAGTCCACCCAGCTCTAATGGGTACCTGATTTGATTCAGTGAAAATAAAAGTGGCTAGGTGTTTAATATTAAGTCACTGAGCCCACCCAGCTCTAATGGGTACCTGACTTGATTCAGTGAAAATAAAAGTGGCTAGGTGTATAATATTAAGTCACTGAGCCCACCCAGCTCTAATGGGTACCTGACTTGATTCAGTGAAAATAAAAGTGGCTAGGTGTATAATATTAAGTCATCGAGCCCACCCAGCTCTAATGGGTACCTGACTTGATTCAGTGAAAATAAAAGTGGCTAGGTGTATAATATTAAGTCATCGAGCCCACCCAGCTCTAATGGGTACCTGACTTGATTCAGTGAAAATAAAAGTGGCTAGGTGTATAATATTAAGTCATTGAGCCCACCCAGTTTTAATGGGGACCTGACTTGATTCCCGTAATATCTAAACAACCGCACCCCAAATATCATCACTCGTCATGGAAAGGAAGAGATTTACCATCCTCATCATCGTCATCATCATCATCATCCTCATTCTTGTTAACCCCCTTGTGTAGCATAGGGAACGCAACCACTACGCACCATCGTACTCGATTAGAGTCGATTCCTTCAAGTTGGGTCCACGACATTCCACCTTACGCTTCACTTACAACTAATCGTTTCCACGTTTAATTGGCTTTTCCACTTTTCTCTACAATGGGAAGATTGTTCGTTGAATTTTAAAATTTCCGTTCACTAAAACATTTCTTTAATATTTTGTTCACAGAAACAGACTTCAACGAACAAGACAACTGTGGATACTTGCCTTACATCTCATTTAATTATCTTGATAAAGAAAACAAATTACTTCAACTTATATTTTTGGACTGGATACTAGACATTTATTATTTTTTAACGATTCATATACATTTTTATTTCCTGTCAGCTATACAACATACAATACGACGAGACTTAAAATTAATGGACCGACGAAGTGAAATCATATGTGAAATGTGATTATATACAATACAACGCGTGATATGGATGGAGAACGAATTTGAAGACTACATTAACATTAGCAAGATGTTATGGCTTCGTATAGTGAGCTCTGACGGGGTCGCTATGTTGTATGCGGCGTGTTTGGTTTTGTTATGAAAATAAATGTTTGCCACTCATACATGAATTGGTTTTTCGTTATCGAGAATATACTGTGAATTAACGTTATTTTTTTTGCGAGACATTACGTCACGGACTAGACGATACGTCACTGACTAGACCATACGTCATAGACTAGACAATCTGGCAATACCTAGACCATACATCTCTAACTAAACGACGAATCACGTTACGCCATTGACTAGACACGTCATTGACAAGACAATTCGTCAATGACTAGACAATACGTCAGTAAATAGAGGATTTTCTTAGGGGTTATCACTAAACTATTTTCTCAGAAATTCCAATTCTATCGAGAATTTTACAAATGGTAAATATAACTGTTAAAAGAACAGGTATTTTTTTCCAGAGAATTCCTGGTGTTTTACTTAAAATGCTTAATCTAGGACAAATTGTGTGAAATAAATTGTTTTTTTGAGTTTTTGTCTATCGTAGGCGCATTATTTCAGAAGTACTATTTTTCTTTACCTTTTAACCCAGTTTTATACATTGAATAATTTATAATTTATACATTCAAATAATAAACAACGCTAAATAAAGGTAATATTATTTGTTTCACTTAGAAGATGAACCTTAAAAATGTTGATATTTTATTTTCTGGTCTTTAAAAATTTGCTCTCCACCTGTTTTTATTTTGTACTAACTTTGAAATCGTGATCATTTTTTTCAAAATTAAACAGGTATCGTATCAGTTGCTCAAAAAGGCCTATCTTGTATAGCTCTATCAGTCTTCTTTAAAGAAAAAGTCCTCACAGTTTGCAAATGCATGTGGAAGTGGTTCTTAAAATTTGATGTAATGGTGGCGTCGAGTATCTGGCTTTAGATGCAATTTTTTTATTCTTGATACAAGCAATTGCTAATGAAATAAAAATTCCAGAAAAAAATATTTCAGTGAGTTTAAGATCTAATACCCGCAGTGTCAAACGGAAACAGTCAGGCCAATACTACACATGGGAGCCTAAAAAATGTTAAACATTTTGAAATGGGATTTTTTTTTCAATATCAGTCTTTATAGGGGATGGGTGGAGCGGCAAGGGCACTCACTGCAACCCCCTTGCACACAGAGTTTCTTCCAGGCATCTCTTCGGGGGGGGGGGGGGGCACGAACGAAATGGAATTTACATAGGAAATATATACTTTTGACAGTGTCCGCCCCCCGGAAATTGTTATCCGCCCCCCCCCCCCCCCGAAAATTTCAAGTGCACCCCCGGAGAAAAACGTTTGGAAGAAACACTGCTTGCACACCGCCTAGTGACGCCTCTGTTTGTCTATCTAAAAGCGTGTTCACAAGACATTTAATGCCCCATGTACACTGATAGAGCCAGATCTTATAAGATGAGATTCTCTTCCATTATACTAGCGATGCATTTTTTAATTATTTTCTTTCAATGGCTTGTTTTTCTTTGACGTATTTAAAAAAATATCTTTTTATGACTTGTTTCCAATTCCAGTGATGTGTTTTTTTTTCTTCTTTCTTTCTTTGACTTGTTTCCTGTGACGTGTTTCTTTCTTTTTGTAATTTGTTTCCTGTGACGTTTTTCTTTCTTTTTGTAATTTGTTTCATGTGACGTTTTTCTTTCTTTTTGTAATTTGTTTCATGTGACGTTTTTCTTTCTTATTTCTAATTTGTTTCCTGTGACGTTTTTCTTTGTTTTTGTAATTTGTTTCCTGTTACGTTTTTCTTTCTTTTTGTAATTTGTTTCATGTGACGTTTTTCTTTCTTATTTCTAATTTGTTTCCTGTAACGTTTTTCTTTCTTTTTGTAATTTGTTTCCTGTGACGTTTTTCTTTTTCTTTTTTCTAATTTGTTTCATGTGACGTTTTTCTTTCTTTTTGTAATTTGTTTCATGTAACGTTTTTCTTTCTTTTTGTAATTTGTTTCATGTGACGTTTTTCTTTCTTTTTGTAATTTGTTTCATGTAACGTTTTTCTTTCTTTTTGTAATTTGTTTCATGTGACGTTTTTCTTTCTTTTTGTAATTTGTTTCATGTGACGTTTTTCTTTCTTTTTGTAATTTGTTTCCTGTGACGTTTTTCTTTCTTTTTGTAATTTGTTTCATGTGACGTTTTTCTTTCTTTTTGTAATTTGTTTCATGTGACGTTTTTCTTTCTTTTTGTAATTTGTTTCCTGTGACGTTTTTCTTTTTCTTTTTTCTAATTTGTTTCATGTGACGTTTTTCTTTCTTTTTGTAATTTGTTTCATGTAACGTTTTTCTTTCTTTTTGTAATTTGTTTCCTGTGACGTTTTTCTTTCTTTTTGTAATTTGTTTCATGTGACGTTTTTCTTTCTTTTTGTAATTTGTTTCCTGTGACGTTTTTCTTTCTTTTTGTAATTTGTTTCCTGTGACGTTTTTCTTTCTTATTTCTAATTTGTTTCATGTGACGTTTTTCTTTCTTTTTGTAATTTGTTTCCTGTGACGTTTTTCTTTCTTTTTGTAATTTGTTTCCTGTGACGTTTTTCTTTCTTTTTGTAATTTGTTTCATGTGAAGTGTTTTTTTTCTTTCCTTTTTTTACTCTTTAATCTGTTTAATGTGACGTTTTTCTTGCTTTCTGTAATTTTTTTTTACTGTGATGTGTTTTTTTTCTTCTTTCTTTCTGTGACTTGTTTCCTCTGACGTTTTTTTTCTCTTGTGAATTTATTTTACCCACACTTGATCAATCACGGGGTTGAGACTGTTTTGTTCATCACAGACGTAGACAAGTCTTCGACATACAATAAACCTAAAAGATAAATAAAAGCAGAGGTAGTTATGACAATCACCCTCAGGCATTTCAATTGAAATATATTTGATACAATTTGAAAAATAATTTGATAGCAGTCGAATGGTAGAGCCATAGGTGTAGCGATGGGGGGGGCGGGGGGGGGGGGGGTGCGGACCGCACCGGGTGACCACATTTAGAGGGGTGAAACCAAAGGCAAGAAATAGCAAAATATATAGTGAAAAATGATAATTCCACTTAATTAAGTGATTAATTCGAGTGTTAAATAGTCTTTTAAGAGGTGCAAATCGAAAGTTTGAGGGGGAGGGGATGCAAATCGAAAATTCAAATTTTGTCCCCGGGGAGGGTCGCTACGCCTCTGGGGGGTGACACCCTCAAGTGCCGCACCGGGTGACACCCGACCTCGCTACGCCATTGGGTAGAGCATTAGGCTGCTATCCCAAAAGTGCAGCTCGGAACTCGATCCGGACTCGGGAATGTAGAAAGTCCCCGGGTCCATCCAGCCAATCAGAGAGACTTTCTTATATATATATATATATATATATATATATATATATATATATATATATATATATATATATATATATATTGCATACATTTTCATTATACACATAAATGTACATTTTAATTTGTATGTTGTTACTCGCTAAAGTTTTACCTGCCCATGAGGCTGTCATGAAGCAAGCAAGACATCCCGCCAACCAAGTCATCAAGATAATTTTTGCCAGCTCCTAATTTGGAAAGTAATTTTAATTTTTTTTAATACATTAGAAAATATGTTGAGGTAGATCCCACCTGCTCATAAACGCGATGATTATTATCTGATGCTAGAGCTAATACTTTAGAAAAAGAAATGTTTACATTTGATAGGGCTGGTAAGTAGGTCACCAACCAGTTTTATGGCTCAATAAAACCTGCATGAGCCATAGAACTGGTTGGTGACCTACTTACCAGCCCTATTACCATCGTCTGAAAATCTGAAGATATAAATAGAATAGATAAAATTGCCATCGCTTGTAGAAAGAAATATGCGGAATAGAACATAATTTCCATACAATTGCCTTCTTTTGAAAAAAAGAAAAAAAAAATAGAAAAAAAATTGCCACTGAAGATAGAAATTGACACGGGAAAATTACCATTGGCAATAGATAGAAATTGAAAAAAAAGTAAAAATAGCCAATCGGAAAACAGAAATAGAATAATAAATAATATTAACGTTGTCCGAAGATAGAAATAGAATAACGAATTACATAGACCTAATAATAAATATATAATAATAAAAAAAATTACCATTCTTTTTTCTGGGACCATGGCTGACAGTCCCCCTAGAGCGACCCCTACGGACGTGGGGTTGGAGAACCCACAAAGGGCGTACATTGCAACAATCTCAGACCTCTTCTGGAAGCGGAAGAATTATAAATTAAAGATATGAACACCTATTTACTTGCAATATTTCAAAGCTGAAATACAGAAAACTTTATACTGTACCATAATGAAAGTCACAACGCAACAAACCCATACAAAATATTACGCAGTGTCTTGACGCTTAACCTCTGATTATGATCCTGTACCTGATAGTTGAAAGAGACCTGCCTATAACTAACCCCCTCTACTGCTCTACATATTCGAATTTCTCAAGCTTGTATCCGGGTTCAAGTGGGTATAACCTTACTGAGTTCACTTAACTCTGATGGGTACCTAACTAGAAGTTACCTAACTAGACGGTCTCTAACTAGAGAATTTAAGACTGGACATAGTATTGACCACACAAGCCCTTCGAATGATGACGTCACAGAACAGGTGAAGTTTGTCCAATGGACCGTCAGAATATTGTATTCGGAATAAATATGTAGCCTATATTTACAAATGTACTATTTATTAAAACTCTAACATCACCGCTTATAACTAAAACCTACCAGTGTGGCGTAGCCAGGAATTGGTCATAGGAGGGGTTCAAAAATGTTTCCATAGGTATATAATCTTATATATATATATGTACATGTATATGTATATATATATATATATATATATATATATATATATATATATATATATATATATATATATATATATATATATATATATATATATATATATATATATATATATAGGGGTCGGGGTCCATGGGAGGGGTTATAACCCACTAACTCCCCCTTGCCTACGCCACAGAAACCTACCAACGCTACTGATTCCACATACGACACATCATAGTCAATTCATAATTGTTTCCTCGTGACTTTTATCACCATTTATCATCAACAAAGTTACCCATAATTCTATTAACTTATCAACTTAAAACAGCACGACAATTCTTCTCACCGATAGGATCTCACCCGCTTTCACCATCTCCGACAAGCGCTGGTACCCGACCAGCTCGTTGACGAAGGTCTTCAGTCCCACGATCTCCCCCACGGCCCGGCAGTCGTACCACGGCACGCCCATCAGGTACACCACGGGCATCAAAGGGTAGGCGATGATCCCCTGGGGAGTGGTATGTCAAGAGTAATATTTGAAGTCATCACATGGAAGTTGCGATCAAAATGTCTTCGTCAGGTTTGAAAATGAACAACTTGTAAAAATTTCATAGAACGCCTAGTAAAGAAAATATCGTTAGGAATTTTTATAATCCTAAGTTTTTTCTTAATTTATTTCGCCAGAGACGCCGAAAAACGGCGTAGCGACTCATTCGGGCGCCCGGGCAAACTAACAATATCGTGCTACCCCCCTCTTTATATTATAGTTATTCATTTTGGTAAAAAAAAGCGCCCCTCCAAGATTGAAAAATAATTGGTAACAAATTTTACAAGTCACTATCCCAAAACAGTTTTTCTTTTGGATGCAGAAAACATTTAAATCAATGTGTAAAGCCTTGTTTATTTTCTTAAATTTGACTGTGTACAGTTCAAACTTCAGGTTAAAATGAACTTATATTTTTTTTATTACCACTTTTTGTCGCCCCGCCCCACCCGCCCCACCCGCCCCACCCGCCCCACCCGCTTTCTTCTAGCTAAGCCACTTCTTCTTCGTTCTTAATTTTTAGTGTTTGGAGGGATCGAGCCTTATCTGCCAGAGGGTTTGAACTCGAGACTTTTTTCGAATTTATCAACTATGAGCTTTTGCCGACTCGACCATGCTTCCATCACAATTAAGGATTACGAGTCAACTTGTTATGCGCCATTGATACCATTGACTCCGATTTCAGCCTGCTTTTCTTTTTGGATTTGCTTCCATAGCCTTTGTCCAACCAAGAACAAACTACAAGGCAGCAGTTGTTTGATTTTGGAGTTGTCTCTCCTAGAAGAGTGGCTGTCCCCAGCTAACGAGCCTCATCTGCCCGAGGGTTCGAACTCGAGACATTTCGGTTTAGCAACCATGAGCTTTCACCGACTCGACCACGCCGACCCTATGACCTCTACGCCACTGACTTCGAATAAGTCTCTTTTGTGAAAAATAGTGCCTCAACCACTATCTTTCACTTTGTCCTGTCCCATGACGTGTGATTTGCCGCTTCCTCGACCATCCCTAATACCAATAGTTCTAAGAAAAGCCAACTTTTAACCAGTTTTCCCCTGAACTTGATCCTAAAAGCTGCCTATTTGTGCTTGTTAGTAGGCTAGTCATAGAGTGACAAAATTCTAAGTTAAAATCATGACAAGTTTTGAAGCCTTACACCCTGTCAGTAAAGGCGTCTAGTACAATAATTATTGGTTCTTATATGCTGGCATAATTCGATACAGACATCTATACATACTTATTACATATACACATCCTTAACTACCCGTACCTTAAAATACAAGTAGTACTTAACACAATAATACATACATACATTGATAAATATTTTCTCACGTACGTGCCTATTACACCGTTACATACACATTCCTTACGTAAATACATCGCTACATTTGTACGTATTTACATCATAACATTCTTTAATGCTTACACCTTACAAATATTTTAAAGTAATACTTTATCACATACGTAAATACCTATACTTTATGTATGTTCATACTCAGTCGACAAATACGTACATCTATTCATACATGTATGCAGAGGCGTAGCGTGGGGGGGTGCGGACCGCACTGGGTGACACCATTTAGGGGGGTGACACCAAGGCAAAAAATAATAAAATATATAGAGAAAAACTTGAGGGGCGGGGTGCAAATCGAAAGTTCGAGAGGGGGGGGGGGGTGCAAATCGAAAGTTTGAGGAGGGGTGCAAATCAAAAATTTGAAGGGGGGGGGGGGTGTAAATCGAAAATTTGAAAGTTTGTCCCCGGGAAGGGTCGCTACGACTCTGGTGGGAGGGGGGGGGGGTGACACCATTAAGTGCCGCACCGGGTGACACCCGACCTCGCTACGCCACTGCATGTATACATACATGGATAAATTCCTGCAAAGATTCATTTACATATACAGTGCCGGCGCCCGGTTATTCAGCGCCCTAGACAAAACTTATTAAAAAGCCCCCATTCACACACATTAATTACCAAAACATATGTATAAGAAAACAATTAATTAAAAGTGACGTATTAATTAGACGTTATAAGTAGACATTAAAATCCAATTTTACTTGCCTCCTTCGTCTCAAATCCTTCAATTCCAGTTTGCAAGCGTAATCACATTTTATTGAAATTGTTGATAAGTCCGCGAGTCTACTTTGTACTTTACGATAAAGCCCCCCCCCCCCCTTCCCCAGAAAATTTTAAGTGCTCCCCCCCCCCCCTCCCGGGAGAAAAAAAGTCTCGAAAAAACCACTGAAAAAAAAGTTCTTGTAGTGTTGGGCTCTCTGCAGCCCTCCCAAGGTGAGTTCCAAAACGGAACTTACCTGTTTTAAGTTTGCCTGTCTTTAGTTATAATTGTAAAATGTCTATATTGTGTGATTACATAACATTTTTTTTTGTTTTAAAAAAAATAAAAGTTTGTAATTGTTATAGATTCCAGCCTACAATTGTTATATATAAATTCTTGAGGAGAAGGTGAAAAAAATGAAAAGACAAAAAATTAGATGTTTAATTTACGGTTAAGATTGTATGTATTGCATAACATTAAGTATTGCAATCTACATCGGCTACTGATGTATTTATTTTTCAACTTGATAATGCTAAAAAAAACCCAAACTATTTTGTTTAGAACTTATGCTCTATATAATTTTTACAATAGCAAATAATAACTTAAAGTTGTATTTATATGTAAGCGGTCAACCTAAGGTGCAGTAATTTAAAATGAATGTAAAGTTAAGCAACAAATTATCTCCCATTTGAAAATCCAAATACCAAAATTTTATTCAAGGGAAATAACTTTCACAAGAATAGCTAAATTAACCAAGTGTAACTAAGGCATGCTTGAAAAACAAAATAAAACATTTAAAATTTCATTAGGTAATAATTGTAATAAATCTTTAATATTAGCTATGTGACCTAGTAAAAACAATATATTTTACATATTGATTACTTAACTGTAGGTTTTGTTTGAAAGTATAAAAATGATAGCTTTATTATAACATTCTCTATTCAATTTTGATGACATATATTAATTTGCGGTTGTCGTTAACGTAGATAAGTGAAAATTTTGGATCCCCTTAATAAAGGGACGCCTTTCAAATAATTGAAACACGGATAACATTGCTATAATTATTGATTAAATAAAAAAATAATAATTTCAGAAAAAACGAAGTTTACTGTTAATTATAAATTCCATCCAATTTAATATTATATATTGATACTTTAAGAGTGGTAATATAGATTCCTACAAAACTAAAAAAATTTCAACTAGTAGTGTGTTCGGTACTGAATTGAAATTATATAACTTACGATAAACTCGACTACTCGATATACTCTACAGTCTACAACATTCACAACACATATCAAACTTCGATACCTAAACATAACTAGACTCGATGCTCCAGAACTACGACACCAACTTTTTTAACTTCACCAAGCTCTACAAACGGTACTCCCAATCAACAACGATTTCACTGGACCTACTACTACACTTTAACAGTCAATATAATTCGATACTTTAATACCTTAAGAATCAATATTCCCGAACTCCAGAACTGCGATTCTTCATCACCTGCAATCTCATTTCTTTACTACCATTCAGATTCCACTAGACTTTCATCTACATAACAGCCTAATAAAAATTATGACACTTTAACACTTCGATACTTTATACCTTCTGTGATAACGCAAGATTACGTCAATTAGAGGTTAGCAGAAACAGACTATAGCGAGTTGGGTAGAGAGACCAATGAAAGTACAAGAGCTGACCGGTCACGTGGGACGGTCAGCTGACCACTGAAGCGTGGGCTGCTGTTAGGCCGGCAGCTGATAGGTAGCTAGCGAAGAGAGGAGAAGGCGTTAGGTAGCGGCTAGAGACGGTCGCAATATGTAGAGCTAGGGAACAGTTAGATAGTGTTAGGCAGTGGCGTAGCGAGGTCGGGTGTAACCCGGTGCGGCACTTAATGGTGTCACCCCCCAGAGGCGTTGCGACCCTTCCCGGGGACAAACTTTCATGTTTTCGATTTGCACCCCCCCCCTCAAACTTTCGATTTGCACCCCCCCCCCAAGTTTTTCTCTATATATTTTGCTATTTTTTGCCTTGGTGTCACCCCCTAAATGGTGTCGCCCGGTGCGGTCCGCACCCCGCCCCCTCCCCCCCTCGCTACGCCCCTGGTGTTAGGAGTGGTCATGGGAGTGCGTAGTTAGTAGTAGTAGATAGCATATAGTATGAACAGTCAGATAGAAGTAGTACAGTGTAGATTAGTTAGGTAGGAAGTTGATTATACATTTTTAATAAAGAACTTTATATTGTGAACTTGAACGTGTGTTGGATATTTCATCAGCTCAATTCATCACCCCCACTCTCACATTTGGTGGGTGTTGTTGTGTTATCCCCACCCTCACAACTGGTGGCAGAAGATCATCTAGTTCACTCGTACCCTCACACCTACGAAACCATATCAGCAACAGAGTTTCTTCCAGGCATCTCTTAGGGGGGGGGGTCTACCGCCCCCCCCCCCCCAACGAGATGGAATTTATATAGTAAAAATATACTTTTACAAGTGTTCCCCAGTAGCGTAGCGAGGGGTGGGGGCGGGGGGGGGGGGGACGACGACATATATCCCCGACCTTAGGGGGTGCCAAAATGGGTAGGAAAAATAAACTGAAAGGTTGAGGGGGTGCAAATTGAAAGTTTGATGGGGGTGCAAATCGAAAGTTTGAAGGGGGGGGGTGCAAATCGAAAAGTTTGTCCCCGGGCGCCGGGAAGGGTCGCTACGCCTCTGGTGTTCCCCCCCCCCCCCCCCCCCCCCGAAAAAGTCAAGTGCCCCCGAAAAAGTCTGGAAGAAACACTGATCAGCAACAGCCTTCCGCCGTTACTCCCAAATCTAAGCGATTCATCAAAACTTACCAAACAAGTACAATACTTTGAACACCCCTTCATTACACATAAACTCAGACCGTTACGACGACAGGAAATTCGATCTCCGGACAAATTATCCTTGAACAAAATATCTCAGGCAAAAATCTCAAGTGATCGTTGGACAAAATTAAAAGTAAGTAAAGTTTCCCTTTCAAACCTGACGGTCTATGGGGCAAGTGAAGTAGAGCTCACTTGTTTCTGTGACCTCGGCATATGAAGAGATATTGTGGTCAGCACTATGCCCAGCCAAAATCTCAAGGACAAATGATCTTTGGACACAATACCTCTTGAAAATGATCACACGGATAAAATATATGAAGACGAATTTCTGAGATATTTTGTCTGAGATCATATTTTTATACCAAATCGTTTGTCGTGGAACCTTCGTTACACACTTCTATGCCAATATACTCACATCGATGGTCAAGCCTTGGATGTTGACGAGGCTCCCTAAGTAAGAGACGACAGCGTTGAGGAAAGCGAAGATGCTGAGGAAGGCGATGATGGTGGCGAGGACAGCTACGATGATTCCCACGGCGTCTTGGGCCCCCGTGATGGCAGCGTCGATGACGTTTTGGGCCTTGGTGCTGGTGGCCCTGGTGTATCAGAACGTTTCATTAGCATGGTGTGTTCATTAGCATGGTGTGTTCATTAGCATGGTGTGTTCATTAGCATGGTGTGCTCATTAGCATAGTGTGTTCATTAGCATGTTTTAATTGGTGATAGGGTTGGTATGTAGGTTTCATTAGCATGGTGTGTTCATTAGCATGGTGTGTTCATTAGCATGGTGTGTTCATTAGCGTGGTGTGTTCATTAGCATGGTGTGTTCATTTGCTTGGTGTGTTCATTAGCATGGTGTGTTCATTAGCATGGTGTGCTCATTAGCATGGTGTGTTCATTAGCATGGTGTGTTCATTAGCATGGTGTGCTCATTAGCAGGTTTTAATTGGTGGTTGGGTTGGTATGTGGATGTATTACATGAGGCTGACATTTTGTAAAACGCCAAAATTGGATAAAAAAACCGAGATGGACACAGGCTGAGATGTACAAAGTGCTCATCTGGACAAAAGGTCGATATGGGTTAAATGCCGACATGGGCAAAGAAGCGACATGGTTAAAAGACCCACATAGATAAAAAGCCGACATGGACAAAAGACATACTTGGGCAAAAGGGCGACAAACGAAAAAGCCGACTGGACATATCGCCAACAAGCCATAAGGAAGTCAGACAAAAAAGTCAACAAAGAAAATGCATCCCTTTTAATTACAAATAAATAGTGGTTTTTATTGTACATCATTGGTCCTCTAAAATAACGGACTAGAACAACAATCAAACTGGAAATCCCAGTCAGTCGGCTGTCACTGCCTAACTAAAACAAGTTGTAACGTCCAGTGGACAATGTAACGGTAGGTGCCATACTTATGCTGTAAACAAAAAGATCCAAGCGATTAAAAAATGACTTTGTCGTCTTAAACACAAAATGGCATCACCACCACATTTCGCCAACAAAATGAGGATACCCCCAAACACAAAAAAACAGTACTGGTGACATGATTTACAGAGATCCAAGTGCGAGGTTGTGAAAGATTTTTAAAACACAAAAAGATCACTCTGGGTTGATGAGAAAAAAAAAGGAAAATGTAACAAGGAACTACTGAAGCCGAGATAGAGTCATTTTTCTTGTAGAGGTACCAAAATATTTATGTAAGAAACATTTGGCTCAGAAAGAAGATAGAAAGAAAGCAGAACAACATAAGAGTTCACTGTTTGTGTTACAGCTCAGCTGTTCATGTCTTGGTTGATAGTAAGAGGTGGGGGCGGGGCGTGCTAAAAAGTGAAATTATGGACATTCAAATTAATGTTCTTGGTGTATTTTTGTACGTTGTGTACTAAGTATATGGTCATCTCAAGTTTTGCATATGTTTTATATTGATTTTTGTATACACTATTCGATTGAGAAATTAACCCTTTCCCGAAAGGAATACTACTTCAATGCCACCCTAACCACGCCACTGTGAATATAGATATACCTACTTCAGTGAGGAGGCAATAATAAATAAAAGGTAAAACCTTAGTTTAGCGTCGGAAATTATCGGGCAATGTTTGTTGGGTTTCGGTAACTAGAGTTACGGTAAACCATGGTTTATTTGACCATTGAAATATAAATAAATTGAAAGTCGATTGTAGTAAATTAATGTTTTAATTTTTTAAGTTTAATCGACAAAAGGAAACAAGAATAAATATAATAGTAGATTTAAATTAGTAGATCTAAAAATTAATATATATATATATATATATATATATATATATATATATATATATATATATATATATATATATATATATATATATATATATATATATATATATATAATATATAAATATAAATAATGAAGTCAAATGTAATAATTTAATGTTTTTGGCTTGCAGCGGATTTGCGACCATTAATTAATTAGATCTAGCTAGATATCTAGCTGCTGGACCAAGTAAAAAAATCTAGATTACGAAAATAGTAAAAATGATTACAAAATGTAAAAATGATTACAAAAATAAATCTATCCAAATTTTAAACATTCTGTATAAAAATAAAAGATGACACCAAATAAAGTATGGTTTACAGTACTTCCGGTGAATTCCGGAAGTGTGTGACAGACTTTGGCATTGTTTTACTGTTTTTTACTGCTATACGATTCCGGAATAATAACCGACGCTAAACTAAGGTTTTACCAAATAAAATATATGTTTACTTTTCCGTGGCTCGTATCTGTTTGTGTGACCCGGTCAGCGTGACCTCCGTCTCTGGACAGATGAGCTTGGACACGGCTATACCAGCTGGAGCTGACATCAGCACGGCTGTGATAATGTCAGAGGATGACATCTGAGGAGGATATGACACGGTGATGACATAAAATAGTTTGACATATGGTGAATTGGCATCAAATAGTTCAAAAAGACACATTGAACGTAACCTAGAAGACGCTGAACGTCTTGAAATTTTCGCGGATGGGTGGTGAGGGAGGGGGACGCACAAAAATTTCCAAATTTGGATAAAGTATATTTTTTCTATATAAATTTTCATATTTTATCTATTTTTTCGGGGGTAGGGGGTTTGTGGTGTTAGTCGTGCTTTTGGGCCCCCTCTCTAGAACAGATGCCTGCTTGTACTCGCTGCTACAAATCAGCCCGCCAAACACTTAAACATGAAACTAAATTTCACCTCTATACAAGAAAATAGAATTACATTTCTCTTTCACTGGGGCGAGTCTTAACAAAGTTAATTTTGCTTGAAACTTTCACAAAAGTCTTAACTTCAACCCATAATCACTTAAAACTATAGGAGAAAATTTGGTTGTTAAAATACTTCCTATGCCATAATTAACTATTCGTATCTCATCGTTAACGCAAAGTTAATAGATCACATAATTAACAAAGAAGGGGATTTTGACCTCGACTTTAAGAATTATTCAAATATTTCACCGCTCAATTAACAGTGAATTTCTTTTACCATATTTTTAACAAAAAGAAAATTATTTTTCTCTCATAATGAATAAAAAAGTGTACCTCATAATTTAAAAAAATGTGAAACTAATTATGATGGGATTTGTGATAATTAAGAAAAGAAAAGAATGTTGTCCCATAATTTTCAAATATTAAAACACATTTTACTTCATAAGTAATAACTTATTACATTAACTAGTTCTTCTTAATGAATAAAGGAAAAAAAAAACGTTTACTTCATAATTAACACATAAAAAACTAATTTTACACCATAGTTAACAAATAATAAAATAAACTCGTTCCCCACAAATGGAAAATAAAAATAAAACACTTAGACGATAATATAAAAGGAAATAACTCCTATTCATAGTTACAAAGGGAAATAACTTACTCCATAATTAACAAACAATGAAAAAACGTCAGCCGTGACGGAAGCGAAGCCTGCAGTCAAGATTGCGAAGAGCTCAGATCTCGTCATAAGATGGAGAAACGGTTTGATGGTCAGAGATGCTTCAGGCTGCAAAGATCAAGGATTGTATATTTAAAAAAAAAACAACAACTACAGTATGTTTCTTAGTCAAGTATTGCTATATTTAAAAAGATTGTTCACATTAAGTTTTAATTCAGAAAGGCAACACTAGTAAGCCTACGACTTTTGGCGATATGTGACTTAAAAAAAACCCTCTCCCCACACGTACAAGTAGCCAACATTGAGACGAACCACCTAACCCAGGGGTCGGCAACCTGCGGCTCGCGAGCCGCATGCGGCTCTTTTGATATCAAGATGCGGCTCTCCAGCTCCTTGAACAAATACTAATAATCTTAATAAAAAAATAAAATATTTTAAATTAAAAAATGTCAGTGGCTCTTTAAAACCAGGGAAATTTTGAAAATTGTAACTTTTGGCTCTTCAGCTTCAAAAGGTTGCCGACCCCTGACCTAACCCAGAGCTTGCCGCCACCCAACCCATACCCTGCCAGAACATCTGATAAACCATCTAACCACCCACACATCGTTCGACAAACCACAGTACAACGCGTCTAACGCCCGCCTGCATGACAACCCACCTGACCCACATTTGACAACCGACATGACAACCCACCTGACCCACATTTGACCTACACCTGACAACCCTCCTGACCCACATCTGAGCAACACCCGACAACCCACTCAACACATTACAACCCACCTGACCACCCACCTGACAACCCACCCGACCCACACCTGACAACCCACTCAACACCTGACCACCCACCTGACAACCCACCTGCCCCACACCTGACAACCCACCCGACCCACACCTGACAACCCACTCAACACCTGACCACCCACCTGAAAACCCACCTGCCCCACACCTGACAACCCACCTGACCAACACCTGACAACCCACCTGCCCCACACCTGAAACCCAGCTGACCCACACCTGACAACCCACCTGCCCAACACCTGAGAACCCACCTGCCCAACACCTGAGAACCCACCTGCCCAACACCTGAGAACCCACCTGCCCCAGGAAGATACACGCCGCTGTGCTGGTACTTTCTGCTGCTGTAGTTCCCACACCTGACAACCCACCTGCCCCACACCTGACAACCCACCTGACCCCCACATGACAACCTACTCAACACCTGAGAACCCACCTGCCCCAGGAAGATACAGGCAGCTGTGCTGGTACTTTCTGCTGCTGTAGTTCCCATGGTGTAGGACATGACGGTGGAGATGCCGTGGATGACCCACTGCATGGCACCAAGGTAGTAGGCCACAGAGATGACGGAACTCATGAAGATGATTGTTGGCATCAGCTGAAATGTTAACACTTTTATATGTCACTTCTGTTGGCATCAGCTGAAATGTTAACACTTACGTTTTCATTATTGTTGGCATTAGTTGAAATGTTAACAATTTCATATGTCACTTCTTTTGGCATTAGCTGAAATGTTAACATTCGTATATGTCACTTCGGTTGGCATCATTTGAAATGTTAACGCTTGTATATGTCATTTCTGTTGGCATCAGCTGAAATGTTAACACTTTCATATGTCACTTCTGTTGGCATCAGCTGAAATGTTAACACTTTTATATGTAACTTCTGTTGGCATCAGCTGAAATGTTGACACTTAAGTTTTCATTATTGTTGGCATTAGTTGAAATGTTAACACTTTTATATATCACAGATATTGGCATTAGCTTTTAACACACTGAAGGCTTGACCTCATTGCGAACTGACAACCGCTCACATTGAAAGCTGTACCTCAATGTGAACTGACCACAACTCACACAGAATACTAGAACTCAATGTGAACTGACCACAACTCACACAGAAGACTAGACCACAATGTGAACTGACCACAACTCACACTAAAAACTAGACCACAATGTGAACTGACCACAACTCACACTAAAGACTAGACCTCAATGTGAACTGACCACAACTTACCAAGAAGACTAGACCACAATGTGAACTGACCACAACTCACACTAAAGACTAGACCTCAGTGTGAACTGACCACAACTCACAGTAAAGACTAGACCACAATGTGAACTGACCACAACACACACTACAAACTAGACCACAATGTAAGCTGACCACAACTCACACTAAAGACTAGACCTAAATGTGAACTGACCACAACTCACACAGAAAACTAGACCTCAATGTGAACTGACCACAACTCACAGTAAAGATTAGACCTCAATGTGAACTGACCACAACTCACAGTAAAGACTAGACCTCAATGTGAACTGACCACAACTCACACTAAAGATTAGACCTCAATGTGAACTGACCGCAACTCACAGTAAAGACTAGACCACAATGTGAACTGACCACAACTAACACTAAAGATTAGACCTCAATGTAAGCTGACCACAACTCACAGTAAAGACTAGACCACAATGTGAACTGACCACAACTCACACAGAACACTAGACCTCAATGTGAACTGACCACAACATACCAAGAAGACTAGACCTAAATGTGAACTGACCACAACTCACACTAAAGACTAGACCTCAATGTGAACTGACCACAACTTACACAGAAGGCTAAACCTCAATGTGAACTGACCACAACATACCAAGAAGACTAGACCTAAATGTGAACTGACCACAACTCACACAGAAGACTAGACCTCAATGTGAACTGACCACAACTCACACTAAAAACTAGACCACAATGTGAACTGACCACAACTCACCTTGAAGGCGAAGTAAAAATCCTCGTACCTATCCCCAAAGACAAACAGCACACCGGCATTGACGTAGCTGAGAAAAATTTCAATCTGGTGCCCCAGGAAGCTGAAGACGTTGGCACCAACAGCGGTCCTCAACACGACGAGACCCAGCACCATCTGCATGGCGAGTCCCCAGATCACTGGGCGCCATTTTACCTGGGAAGTAAGGTATGATTTTTGAATAAAAAAGTAAAGTACCCTAGGGTTCAAGGGTCAGGTGAAATCGAGCTCACCTGTTTCAGTGAGCTCTTCACCTGAAGGGATAGTATTGTAACCCAGTGGCGTAGCGAGGTCGGATGTCACCCGGTGCGGCACTTAATGGTGTCACCACCCAGAGGCGTAGCGACCCTTCACGGGGACAAACTTTGCACCCCCCCTCAAACTTTCGATTTACTATTTTTGCCTTGGTGTCACCCCCCTAAATGGTGTCACCCGGTGCGGTCCGCACCCCCGTCCCCCCCCCCTCGCTACGCCCCTGCTGTAACCAGCTGATTTAAATTTCCCCGAACGTGAGTCAGGTACAAATTAAATATGGGTGGACTCAGTGACATTCTACATACACACCCACAACAACCAGAGATTCAAACTCGAGACTATCGAGACTATGGGATTCGCTGTCGTAATCTCTAGTGTCCGACTACAACGTAATTTCCTTAATTCTTTGGCACATTTGAGTATATGCTAATAATGTCCGCACAATTTAAAATCATAAAGTATAGATCTATATACAATTTGAAGCTTTGAGATCAAGAAGGCCTTTATCATGGCTGTAGTCTACTATTTAAAAATCTTAAAGCAGAGGAGTATTATTTAAAAAAATCATCATAACCATCTTTATTGTGGACCGCTTGGGGAGAATTAAGATGCAAGTAAATCTCGTTATATTACTCAGTTCTGGACTATTCCTGCAAGTTGGGTCCACGCCATTCCAGCTGCTTCTGCTTCACTGACAACTGAAGTTTTTCAATTATGTTTTGGCCCAACATATTTCCATCTTTCTTTAGATTCTAATCGAGTGTGCCTGTCTGGTGATGTAACTTGTAGGTTTACGCAAGTAATGTCCAATCCATCCCATTTGCACTTTGTATTTCTTTGCCAGTTTTATTTTCACAGTTCGGAATTTGTAATTTTTTCAGGCCACCTGATGTTCAATATGCGGCGGAGTCATCCGTTAATGAAAGTCTGAAGTTTGTTTGTATTAGTTTGTGTTATTCTCCACATCTCAGAACCCCAGAGAACAATTTTCACATTGCTGTTGAACATTATTATTTTGGTAGACGTAGACAGTGCTCTTGATGTCCAGATTAATATAATAATTGCTCACACACCCAAATCCTCTTTGTGATTCTCCGACCATTTCTTACCCGTATCCTAATCATAATTACATCCATTGACTTTTTTATGTAACAGGTTTAAAATGTTTTAGTATTTCCTTTCTCTCCTTATACTTTTCATTAATCTTAACCATAATCATTAACACTTTTAGGTGTATACTCTTTCTTTATACCTTTCATTTATCTTAACCATAGCCCTTAACACTTTTAGGTGTATACTCTTTCTTTATACCTTTCATTTATGCTAACCCTACCATTTAAAATTTTAGCTGTATTTCTTACTTTATACCTTTCCAATGTTAGTTTCATTCTCTTACCTTGTATCTATCATATGAAATAAGCCAGCTGAAGAAGACAATGACGAAGAGACCTAGGGCCGGCTTCAAGTCGTCCAAATTTTGATAGTTTTTCACAACCACATAGGCCAACATGGCGCCTACTGTTATGACGTAACATGTTCTGATAGACAACAGACAAAAAAATTATTTTTAACATGAGGTTTGCAATAATGGTTTAAAAAAAACAAATGTTCTCAATAATACTTTGACATTCCTTGTATATAAATGATACGAAAAGTGAAAATAAATAAATTCCGTTCATTACTCTATATTATGAGTTTACCCCATAGAGATTCTTTGATTTTGGTGCTGAGTCCTCTCATTTAGTAATACAATCGCAATGAATATATATATTTCCTAGCGGTAAAGAACTAGACTGCTAGCGTGAAAGTCTCGAGTTCGAATCCGGGTTCAAGTCAGTAGAGCGTACCTATATCCATCCAGCTCTAGTGGGTACCTAACTCACGTTAAGTAAAGCAAAGGCGGCTGGGCAAATTGCTGACCACACCACCTTCCCTTCTTACGTGGAGAACTTTGAAAAAGATAAACTCCACTTCATCTGACCAATTTGTCTTGGGCACGAACGGGAAAAATGGTAAATGAATGTATTTAAAAAAGAAAAAAAAATGGTGATGGGGTGATATTTATTACAGCTGAAAGTTTTGAATCCGATAGCATTTAACGTAATACAACTGTCATTAAAGTGAGACAATCGGATGGAGTGTTAATCCTCCCTAACACCCTATTTGGGGTCATCCATAAATGACGTCACGCTTTTTTTGACGATTTTTACCTCCCCCCTCTCCCCTCCGTCACACGTCGTCACTAAAAGCCAGACCCCCCCCCCTAAAATGACGTCACACCTCAGCCTACAACCCCCCCCCCCCTCAAAATTGCTGTTGGATTTTGCTTAAAACATCGATATTTTGATCAATTCGTATTACAATTATTAAAAACGCTATCTAAAACGCGAAATAAAGGCTAACACTCGTTTTCTAACATTGCTTTTTTATAATGCAAAAAAGTGACGTCACACAATCTGAACCCCCCTCCCCATCATCACACACCTTCACAAAATTACGGACCCCCCTCCCCCCTACGAGTGTGACGTCATTTATGGACGACCCCATTCTACTAACTGTATGCGAGCTAAGTAAATAATACCATCTTGGGACCTGAACGTCCAACGGTGCAGGTGAAGTAAATCTGACCACATTCGGCATATAAAGGAATAGTTAAGTCAGCACTATGCCCAGACGCCTATACTTTCCCTAAGGTAACTGTGATGACGCAAGGTTATGTCGGATTGGTCAAGCAGATAGAGGTTAGCAGAAACAGACTATAGCTAGTTGGTTAGAGAGACCAATGACAGTACAGGAGCTGACCACTGAAGCGTGGGTCAATAGTTAGATTAGCAGCAGTTGGTGTTAGGTATCGGTTAGAGACGGTCGAAGAAATGTAGAGCTAAGTAGACAATTGATAATAGGTCGTAGTAGGAACGGACGTAATATGTAGAGCTAGGAAACCGTTAGATAGTGTTAGGATTGGTCATGGGAGTGCGTAGTTAGTAGTAGTAGTACAGGGAACAGTTAGTTAGAAGTAGTAGTACAGTGTAGATTAGTTAGGTATGAAGTTGATTATGTAAATTTTAATAGAACATTGTATTTGACTTGAACTTCTGTGTTGGATTTTCATCATCTTCATCACCCCCACTCTCACATCTGGTGGTACTGCATTTCCCCACCCTTACAACTGACGGTAGATCATCCATTCATCACCCCCCTCACAGTAACCCAGGTACCTATCAAAAATGAGTTGACTCAGCGAACCAGGATCCGAGCTCGAGACTTATGCGCTACCTTTCGACCACACCGCTTAACATAATATGCATACATACTCCTTGACCGGGGAAAAAGTAAAGTGATCATGGAGAAAAACGGTAGAGGAAGAGACAAAGACCGCTGGGCTCACGAGGGCACAGATAAAGGGGAAGCCCAAAACCGAGTCCGCTGGAAAAGTGTAACTAAAGCCCTCTACTCCCCAGGGGCTTCAAAGGAAAAATGATGAAAATGATGACTCCTAGACCAATATACTAACTTTATTTTTGTTCATGTGTAGACCTTCCATGAGTCCACCCAACTCTAATGGGTACTTAACTCACGTTAGGGAAAGTAAAGGCGGCTGGGCATAGTGCTGGTCACACTATTTCTTCATATGCCGAGGTCACAGAAACAAGTGAACTCTACTTCACTTGCCCTATAGACCGTGAGGTTTGAAAGGGAACCTTACTTATTTACTTTCTGATCATGTACGAAGTATATAGTCATAGTTTTTTGTAATCACAATAGTAATCACAGCACAATTATATACATAATTTAATCAAAAGATAAAAATTGAAAGAAAATAACCCAAAACTTACATTTTAACAGGTCTCTTTTCGAGAAAATCAGAAAACTTCGCCGCCACTTTACTGAAAGCTGCCTTGGTTTCGGACACTCTAAGAAACAACGCCGATGAACTATTCCTTGTATACAGTCTGTACCCTAACCGTTTAGCAACCACCACCACGGCAAGACACGTCATCACTAAAACTGGAATCGCTTGTCTGAAGTTCCAGGCTAGTGCCAGTCCAAAGTACACGAAGTAGCCGAGAATCAGAAGAACATATATACACCATTTTATCCATTTTTTGTATTTATCAAATCTGGATACAGATCCTTGTGGATCATCACCCGCATTGATGTCAACATCGATATTAGCTGTTTTTACGTTATCCACTAAAACAGAAGTGGAATCTATGTCTGTAGTCACCGTGTCGTTGTGGATCAGTTGTTTTATACAAGGAACGGGCGTTTGAGTTTTTTCATTGAATGAAGAGAAGCTAAGGGGAATTAACCCATTTTCTGAGGGAGGTAACTGTTGTAGTTTACTGATATGAATGACTGAAGCGTCGTTTTCTAATCCCGCGTTCTTCATTTCATTCTTTTTAATCCTGTTTCAATAATTAGCCCTTTACATTGATGCTTATGCGCTGTAAAAAAATATTGAAAGAAAATAAATTAGTCAAAATGATTATTTATGTACCTTTATAAATGCTAACATTTAATAGACATACTAGATGAGGATAAAAGTAGATGAAAACTGTTAAGTCATGCCTTGGTCTGTTAACAAAAGTTAACATAATTGCAGCATTTTAATTAAAGTCTTAAGTTATTCACTCAGACGTGTAATTAGATATGTAATTAAATAGCGAATCTTTTTACCAAGTCACGAATCTTCCATGCATCATGAAAAAGCGAATAAAACGACTGTTACACAGCACGTGACCTTGGATGCAGCTCTGATGACTTAAGAATGTGACTTAAATTTTAAAAAAAATGGCACAAAACTATTGCCCCAATTTGGGGGAAATATCTCAATGCACAGACATTTTACTGTGTATGATACATTAAGAGTCCGAAAATATAACATTAATGGACAATTCTTTAAATATGAGTATGTCAGTAGATTATACAGTAATGTAACTTGTAATATCAACGCTAATATATCCCTAAATCAGGGGTTCTTAAGCTGGGTTCAATCGAACCCCAGGGCTTCGATGAGTCAGTCTCAAGTTTGGAGGAGTTGAAGACGCACATATGATTCAGCATCGGATTTTGTCAATGCGGACGATAGAACTATTAAGAAAGGTTCAGTGAATGCGCATATGAAACTGGTGGGGTTCGGTACCTCCAAAAAGGTTAAGAACCACTGGCCTAAATCGAGAGCAAAATTACATTACAAAACTTCTAGCAACCTAACACACCTTAAGTGGAAGACTCCAATGCTGGACACTATTAGTAAAAATACACCGATATTTCTTTTCGATCCGAAGCTAATTAATAAAACTATTTTACCACGAAAATCTCAACAATCCACACACCACACTATCACAGAAAAACAGTCCTCCAACTGCCGGATAACTTGATGAACTACATCAGCTCCCCGTCCCCCCCCCCCTAATCTCAACTAAACCTACCCCTACCCTCACCGGATCAGCTGTTTAACTATCTAGTCCCAGAACCTGTCACGTCTTAGGAAGATGCATTTCATTTTCTTATCTATCTAGGTTAACATCATTTTTTTTTGTCTCTAGATTTTTACCACCCCCTTCCCCCAAAGTCTAAATTCCAACCTAAAGTCTAGGCCGTAGTACAAGAATTTGGAGCCATTATATTGTCCGTTATGTCGTTACACATTAATAGTAGGCTAAGTTCACTTTCAAACCATGACGACCTTTGGGGCAAATGAAGGAAAGTTCACATGTTTGTGTGACCTCGGCATACACACCCCCTCCCCATATATATATATATATATATATATATATATATATATATATATATATATATATATATATATGTATATACTGAGTAGTATCGATATGTTTCTGACAGAATTCGGTTAGGGTTATGATTGGGTTTATATGATGATGATTCGGATACGAATAAATGTTACGGTTTCAGCCGTTATTTTGGTTAGAGATATTGCTTTGGAAGAGGTCATGCAGTGATTAAATAGCAGTTCTCACATTGGGTTTTAAAGTAGCTTGTCTCAGAATGGACATCTTGATAGACCAGTTCAAAAAATAAATTAAGCTACGTTTCTTCACGATGACTCCTTATGGTGTCTAGATTCAGTGGCTAAGACCTATGGTGTTGAGAGTGTTAGAATATTCAACTTAAATTCAGTCTCCACCCTATCCCCTCACCCTCTCCACACTCGGAAACAGAATATGAAAACTGCCTAATCATCATCCCATTCATTTGGACCCCTTGTAGAGATTAAGGACGCAACGCATACCTCACCATGCTACTTAATTTTTAGGCGATTTCTCCAAGCTAGGCCCACGACATTCCAGCTGCCTCTGCTTCACTGACAACTGATCTATTCCAAGTTAAGCTGCCTTATGCTAAGTTGCATTGTGGCGACGGCAAGGTTTTGACGATTTCAATTGTTTGATTAAAAAAATGAATTTCATAAAGGTATAGCTTTAAATGTCTCACAAATCTTCTGGTACAAACAGTGTTACCTCGAAATACGAGTGCCCCGAAATTTTTTAGAAGCAAGTTGTCGAGCAACTCAACTTTGCTTCGACATACGAACAAAATTTTAATCCGAGTCGCGGGATTAGTGTTTTTAACAGTTCGTGGTAAAAGAAAACACACCGAAAAAGTTGGAACTGATTTAGCATCGAGTCTATTTAATAACACTCATTTCTGGAACATTCTGAGTGGGTGGGGGGGGGGGGGGGTACAAACCTCCTTGTACAGATTGGCTGATTTTCAAAGTAAATACACTTTACAAGGCCATTTTCTTTCTTTGCATTAACCTATTTACCAACTATTTAAACAAAAATTGCAAGTTATAAATACACTACCTAAAAATAATTTGCTTAACGAAATAAACATGGGTGGAATTTGGAGACTGGAACGGATTAAAATCATTTCTCAAATTTTAAATGTAGAAAATTGCTATGAGATACAAGCACTTTGACATACGAGGAATGTTACGGAGCAAACTAAACTCTTATTTTTTAAAAAAATCGCTCGTACCTCGAGGTACTACTATAAATGGAAACACAATCAATAACGCCTCTATGCTGCCACATGCTTTTATGGGTAAACCGTAGAAAATGAAAGATGTCTACGATCTTTACCATCCCACTCATATCAGTAAGGAACTACGTTAAAACGAAAGTAACTTTCTATGACCAGTGTTCGAATATCTTAAGCACTATGGACAGTGTCGACAAACTACTAGTTTGACCACATTGTTCCAGTATTCTTTTACTTGAGACCCCCCCCTTCCCCGCCACACCCCACCCCCACGATGCGACAGTCTAGACGTGGTCTGAACTTGACATTATCTTCTGTCTGTGTGAGATCGGCGTCCGTTCTGTGACCTAGTGGAAGTGACTAAGTTCTAGGTCGTAGGTTGTATCATGTGGCGGTGCTGTGGGTAGGAGAATTAGGTTGATTTAGTCAGTAGAGGGTTAAGGTTCGGTGTGTAATAGGTAGGGGTTACAGTGAGGTAAGGTGTGTTATATGTAGGGGTTAAATGTTGGGTGTGAATGGCAGTGGCGCAGCCAGGATCGTCCCAAGGGGGGGGGGTTCCAATTTTTACCCGGGGACAAACTTTCGATTTGCACCCCCCCTCAAACTTTATATATATATACCGAGGGGTGTTTGGGGGGGGGGGGGGTTATTAGCCCCCCCCTCTAACCCCCCCCCCCCCCCCTGCCTACGCCACTGGTGAATGGTAGGTAGGGGTTAATTTTAGGTATGTAAGCAGTGTTTCTTCCAGGCATCTCTTCGAAAAATGTCCTCGAAGGAAATAGAATTTACATAGAAATTATATACTTCTACCAGTGTCCGCCCCCCCCCCCCCTGGACATTTTTATACTGTCCCCCTTTTTCAAGTGCCTCATCCTTCCCGGAGAAAAAAGTCTGGAAGAAACACTGTATGTAGCAGGTCGTGGTTAAGATTAGAAGTGTTTAATTAATAATGCCTAAGGTTATGGGGTACCAGGTAGATAGGGGTTAATGTTAGATGTGTTAAGTAGATAAAGTTTAGAGTTAGGCGTGTATACTAATCGAGACTTTAAGATATTTAGTAGGTAGTGGTTAAGGAGTTTAGTATTTTGTAGTTAAGGTTAGGGGTAATTAGCTGGAAAGATTAGGTGTATGTGTGTTTAATTTAAATGTTTAAGGATGGGTAGAGGGAAAAGGCTAATGTCTAAGGTAGGTGTTACATCATGATATACAAAAAAGTGTTTTTAGTTTTATTTTAGAGGTTAGAATTAAAGTTATATATGTGTATTAGGGAACGTTATAATGTAGGCCAAACACTTGGCGTGTAGTACTTGGGGATGTGTGGGTTACCTAGGTGGGGGCTAAGTTGGCTGGGTATTTAACAACAGCAGAGACTCAAGTTGAGAGGGATGGTGGGGGTCGCTTTGGCAAGAAAAAAAAATCAAGATGGTGGATTACAATATCAAGGTTTGCCAAAAACAAAGTTAATGATAGGCCACACATTTTATAAAGAAATAGTTTGTGTATATATATATATATATATATATATATATATATATATATATATATATATATATATATATATATATATATATATATATATATATATATATATATATATATAAGAAAACCAAAAATGGTTTTCTATTTTAATAGTCAATATGACACTACCCAACCCTTGAATCATAAATAAAGTTCCCGTGCTAAGGCATGAAAAAAACTATCGGGGGGGGGGGGGGGGGGGGGGGTTAGACATGGGGGTGGGTGGGTGGGTGGGGGGGGGGTGGAGTAAGCTGTATTCACACAGAAACTGTAACACGATATGTAAAAACAATGAGGCTTCAGAGCCGATAAGCTGCACAACATAATGATCTTACTGTCATAAATTGAGAAGATAAAAGTGTAATCCTTCAACGTAATCCCCCACCCCACTTCAACGTAATCCCCCACCCCCAGTAAATCAAGGACCAGCATTTCTGTTACTAGTCAGACAGCTCCTTCAACTGTCCCCCCCCCCCCCCCCATCCCCCCCCCCCCCCCACCGGGTTTACGCTGCGTGTAGCAAGCAATGACAAAAATGGGAGAGAAGAACAACATGTTTGAAATTGAGAGGGGAGATAACACTAAAACTTAATCCAGATTATCTGCCCCTGAAATGTGGGCGTTGTTAAAAAGACAACGAGTAGTTTAAGCGAAATCAGTAAACAGGTGATAGAGATAAAGATATGAGACATGTTTATTCTTTCAGGGTGATTTGGGTACACATTTACTAATACAATAAATACTAATCTTCTTTTTTATCCTCCTTCGTGCCCAAGACACAGGGATCAGGTGAAGTAGAGTTCCTCTGTTTCAATGACCTCGGCATCCAGGGGATAGTGTGGTAGGCGGTAACCGTGGTAGGCACTATGCCTTAGTTTCCCTAACTTGAGTCAGGTACCTATCAAAGTATGGTAGGGTCAATAGACACTAGTGACAATCTCGAGCCCAGGATTCGAACTCCAGACTTAGGGTTAACAGGTCGTCAGTTCTACCATTCGACCATGCTGTTCACGTACTACAAAATTTGAAAAAAAAAAATTATATTTGAAGCAAATTAAAAAAAAAATAATAAAAAATAACACTTCAACCGTTTCCTCTTAAATTCATTCTTCATTATCTTCTTCATAGTTCTTATTTTTGTAGCTCACCTTTTTTTTTCTCTTTCCATGTGATGTCTCTCTAGGAGCTCTCCTAGCCAGTACATCGGCACTCTTTCTTAGTACATGGCCCTGCACCCCTGCACCCCTGCACCCCTGCAGCCCTGCACCCCACTCCCCGAAAAACGTCCACCGTCCCCCCGCCCCCCCCCCCCCCCCCGAGCCCCGAACGAAATAGGTTTATATAAAGATTTTAGTCCACCCCCGAAAATTAGAATATCTATAGACAGTACCAAAGTGTGGCTGCTAGTATGTGCAGTGGGAGGGGAGAGAAGGGAGGGGTCGTTCCTTTTGAAAAAACCGTTTACGGAGTTATTCTTGTAGCTTATAGCATCCTTTATAGAAGGCAACAGGAGACTGTCCAAATCGGTGTGTGCATCCACACACATCTCCAATCACTGCTACAACCACATCTCCACACACATCTCCAACCACATCTCCAACCACATCTCCAACCACATCTCCAACCACATCTCCAACCACATCTCCAACCACATCTCCAACCACATCTCCAACCACTGCTACAACCACATCTCCAACCACATCTCCAACCACAACTCCAACCACTGCTACAACCACATCTCCAACCACATCTCCAACCACATCTCCAACCACATCTCCAACCACTGCTACAACCACATCTCCAACCACATCTCCAAACACTGCTACAACCGCATCTCCAACCACAACTCCAACCACATCTCCAACCACATCTCCAACCACATCTCCAACCACATCTCCAACCACATCTCCAACCACTGCTACAACCACATCTCCAACCACATCTCCAACCACAACTCCAACCACTGCTACAACCACATCTCCAACCACATCTCCAACCACATCTCCAACCACATCTCCAACCACTGCTACAACCACATCTCCAACCACATCTCCAAACACTGCTACAACCGCATCTCCAACCACAACTCCAACCACATCTCCAACCACATCTCCAACCACATCTCCAACCACATCTCCAACCACATCTCTAAACACTGCTACAACCACATCTCCAACCACATCTCTAAACACTGCTACAACCACATCCCCAACCACATCTCTAAACACTGCTACAACCACATCTCCAACCACATCTCCAACCACTGCTTCAACCACATCTCCAACCACATCTCCAACCACACCTCCAACCACATTTCCACACACATCTCCAACCACATCTCCAACCACATCTCCAACCACATCTCCAACCACATCTCCAACCACATCTCCAACCACATCTCCAACCACATCTCCAACCACTGCTACAACCACATCTCCAACCACATCTCCAAACACTGCCTCAACCACATCTCCAACCACATCTCCAACCACATCTCCAACCACTGCTACAACCACATCTCCAACCATATCTCCAACCACATCTCCACACACATCTCCAACCACATCTCCAACCACATCTCCAACCACATCTCTAAACACTGCTACAACCACATCTCCAACCACACCTCTAAACACTGCTACAACCATATCTTCAACCACATCTCCAACCACATCTCCAACCACATCTCCAACCACATCTCCAACCACTGCTACAACCACATCTCCAACCACTGCTACAACCACATCTCCAACCACATCTCCACACACATCTCCAACCACATCTCCAACCATATCTCCAACCACATCTCCATTCACATCTCCAACCACAACTCACAGCAAAATATAACTTTCACGTCCACTGCCTTAGCGAAATACGACACAATTCTATCTTGTTATGTCATTAATCTCACGACGCACGCGTCATTGATGACGTAGTTTACACGACCGCAACTACGCGCTGTAAATGTCAAATGTCACAATGGACATTAATCGTCTGTAGAAAAACCCCGCGATATTTTTTTCCTGCCAGGGTTTTAACCTTTGCACCTGTAATATAAACTAACTAGTTTCGTTTGATATCTTAAATTTGTGTACTGATTATTTATAGTTTTAGAAATTTTTATTTAAAAATCTATAGGAAAGTCATATAAAAAGAGTATTATGCTTATTTATGGAATCTGTGATACATTTTATTGATTAATGCTTTTACTAATAACATAAGTTAATTTTCTTATTTTCAGTGCACCTGTTCTCATCTTTTTCCCGTTTTGGAGTTCATCTGTTTCAATAACGTCGGCATACGAAAAGATCGTGTGGTCAGTACTATCCCCAGCCATCTTCTTTTCCCTTATAGGGCTGGTAAGTAGGTCACCAACTAGCTCTACGGCTCAATAAAACCTGCATGAGCCATAGAACTGTTTATTGACCTACTTACCAGCCCTATTGCGAGTCAGCGTTAGGATGCAGACACTTTCTACTAACACGAACTGGGGATTCGAACTCGAGACTTTCGGGTTAACAGCTACAATCCCAATTCATCTATGCAAGACTATTTTTCAAGAAATTCTTTGAGATTAAAAAGTTTTGCAAAGGGTGATTCAACTTGGTTAAAAAAAAAATTAAATCGCTCAAATTACCAGACTGCAGACGCCCTAATGATCAGCAACATCACCAAAAATCCTAGCTATAAATCATTAGCCTCACATTAATTAACCGAAATAAAGTATGTTTCCCCAAGGGGCAAGATGAACTATTTACATGTCAAAGAACAGGTTGACATGCTCATATTTTCATGTAAAGACGCGAAGGGATACCGACTGTAATGGGATTATACTTTTTTTTTATTAGTGTGTTTGTGTGTGTGTGTGTGTGTGTGTGTCTGTGTGTTGTTTTTCTTTTTCGATGAATTTAGGTGATGACTTGTTATGAGTTCATTAAAATCAATACAGTATCTTAACATACGACTTGATTTTTACTCTCTATTTATGTAACTGACATTGATTCCTAAGAAATGACCTTTTACAGTATTTTTACTGGTGTGTTTGTCTGTCTGTATGTGTGTGTGTGTGTTGTGTGTGAGAGGGTAATCAATTTAGGATGAATTTAGGCGATGAACTATCAAGAGATCATCGAAATTCATACAATATATTAACACACAACTTGATAATTACTCTCTATTGTGAATAAAATTAGTTAAATAATATACATATATTCATTTTTCTCCCAAAGTTCACTTCGTGCACCCTATGGTTTTCAACCTACGCAACAATTATTAAATATTAGCTGATCGATACTTATTTATCTATTGACAACAATAAATCTCGATACAAACCGTTAATACGTCCCAGGTAGGTTTTTTTTTTTTACAAGATTTTATTTAACTTGTTTCCTCTGTCTGTTATTCTGACGTGCTTTTGTCGTCATAGATCGAAACGGCCGAACGAAATTTCGAGCATTTCTAATTAACCAATTCGTTTCAAGGTTGGCATGCGGACCAAGTCTTAAAAACAACGCAAAATGACATTAAATTTGACTTAATTGGATGGCTAATTAATTTTTTTGTTAATTAACTAAACTTTTCTGCTCTACTACTACTATTCTGTACCATTATACGCATATCATCATGTTCATTTTATGTAATAATGTACTAAAAAGGAAAAGAATAGATGAATGATTTTAAATATATAATAATACACTACTATTTAAATAACTGTAAAGGAAACCGTGGGTCATTATATTATCTATTAAATACCTTGACTAATATTTAGGATGAATCCCACGCTTTTCTCTAGCTTTTTTCCAATTATAATTTTTAAATCGCGATTGACGTTAGAAAATATTTTTTTTAAATAAAGAGAGTCCTTTTGTCTAGTTTCAACAGTTAACCAAATATCAGATTACTAACAAATGTGTTGATAAAAGTACACGTAAAAGGGCATTTTAAATACAAACTGAAAAACAGCTCAAGGTAGGGTAAATGAAACAAATGAGAATCCTTTTGTTTAAAGAAAGTTGTAATTATTTCTGTGGCATGTACAGTGGTTGATCATTAGCGAGACAAAGCATGGACTTAATAGATGTTAATTAGTCTAGAAAAATTAACTCTTTTGACAAAAGTTAAATTTTGACAAAAAAATATTCACAACAAATCAAGTTTGTTTATCTTCACAATGTGGCAGTGGCAGTCAATTACTGGCAGACGAAACTGACATGTCATCGTGACCCAAGGTGGGTTAACGTGGTGACTCAGTTTTTAAAACGTCACTGTCGGGACATTTATATGTCACTGTCATCCATTTTCTTTGTAGAAAAAGACGTAATTTAAAAAAAAATATTGACTCATAAAAACAATGAATTCAAACGTATGTTTTTCTGTCTATATTTGTCTATGTATCGTAAAAATGGCCGAAAACTAGTTCACAGAGTCGTGGATAAGTCTAGATGATTCCGCAAGATATGCGAGCCCGTAAGTGGGATTAAAGGGTTAGGGTGGGTGGGCCTACTTAGATCAACAGCTTTACTCTAAACTATTTACTTGATATAATTTAATAACTAATTGTGTCATCGTGTCTGTACATCAAAGACCTATTACATTATCATCATCATCATCATCATCATTATCATTATAATCATCATCATCATCATTATCATCATCATTACATCATCATCATCAACATATCATCATCATTACATCATCAGCATCGTCATCATTACATCATCATCATCATCATATCATCATCATTACATCATCAGCATCATCCTAATCACCATCATCCTCCTTCTCCTCCTCCTCCTCCTCATCATCATCAGTTTTTATCATCATCATCATCATTATAATTTCTGTGGGCAACTCCTCCAAGTTGGGCCCACGAAAAGTCTCGAGTTCGAACCCTCGGGCAGATGAGGCTCGTTAGCTGGGGACAGCCACTCTTCTAGGAGAGACAACTCCAAAATCAAACAACTGCTGCCTTGTAGTTTTTGTTGGTTGTACAAAGGCTATGGAAGCAAATCCATAAAGAAAAGCAGGCTGAAATCGGAGTCAATGGCCTCAATGGCACATAACCAGTTGACACGTATACTTAATTGTGATGGAGAGAATCTCTTCCAACACTAAATAAAGAACGAAGAAGAAGGGCCCAGGACATTCCGGCATCTTCTGAGTTTTGGTGTACATACTATACTCATCTGTTACAGGCAATTTGCCCCTAACGGTATTTCATGAAATCAGCACGGGCTATCCAGAAATGAATAATAAAAAAAATTATCTGACCAAATTTCATGTTGGTGTCTTTACTTCAAACAGCTAAGAAGTTTAGAAATAGTATATAGACATTTCTTTAACAAGTTCTAGGAAAAATAAAGTTAAATATAAATAAAACTAAAAATTGACCTACTTTTATCTAGCGATTTGTTTTAAATTTTAAACGCGTCGAAACATTTTGCCAAGAGAGGAAACTTTTCACTCCTAAAGGGAAATAACCTTTAACGAGGGAAATGAAGAGTGAGATCGGAATAGCCTCAGACATTTAGAATTAACCACTCGTACACATTGTGATGTTTTAAGTTTGAAACTGCATCACGTTGTCCAGATTAAGATCGCAAACTGGTAAAAAAAAGACATCTCTTTTTACCAACTAATAACTTTTCAGGCTAGTCAGATTTAGCAACACGATTAATCAAAGAATATTTTGTACACCGCGACCACCCCAACCAGACGATGTGATTATTAGTTTGGAGTTACTTCCCCTGAGGGAGGAAAAATAGTTTTTCACGAGCTGACATTTGTAATTCTACTTTCAGATCAGAGTTTCTTCCAGGCATCTCTTCGGGGGGGCTTTGCCCCCCCGAAAATTTTTTACCGCCCCCCCCCCCCCCCCCCGAACGAAATGAAATTTATATAATTTATATAGAAAATATATACTTTTAACACTGTCCGCCCCCCTCCCCCCGAAGAAAGTTTACCGCCCCCCCCGAAGATTTCAAGTGCCCCCCCCGGAGAAAAAAGTCTGGAAGAAACACTGTTTCAGATTCTATTTGTGACTATATTTTAATTTGATTGTAGCTTTTTCAAGAGGAAAAATTTTGATCTGATGTTTACTATGCCGTATTGTACTCTGTATCGCAGTCATGTTACTTAAATTTTTTTTAATTAAATCACAAAATTTATTGCAGCTCTAGGGATACATCCACCCCAGTGTTTGTTCCAGACTTTTTTTCTCCGGCGGTGCACTTGAAATTTTCGGGGGAGGGGGCGGACAACAATTTCCGGGGGGGGGGGGGGGGGGGGCGGACACTGTCAAAATTATATATTTTCTTTATAAATTCCATTTCGTTCGGGGCGGGGGGGGGGGGGGGGGGTAGACTTTCTTCGGGGGGGGGGGGGGGCGGTGCCTTCCCGAAGAGATGCCTGGAAGAAACTCTGATCCACCCTACTGAATAAAATAAAACTTCCTAGTGTTATTTTTTTAAAAAAAAGTATTTTAATGTATGTCCAACCTCCAGATCTTATTTTATGACTTTAATGGCGACCGAAAAAAAATGCGCAAAAAGTGCGCAAGGGCATCTATATTTTCTTAACCCTAGCATTTATACACATTAGCAAAGAATGACCACATGTACATTGTAGGATAATAAAACATTTTTCCTCAAAATGAGGAGTACTTTTTCAAAACCTGCTAAGTCCACTTTTGGAAAAAAAAATGAGTTATTCTTATAGCCTTCTTAATTATGTGGCAATTAAAGCTGTATACTAATTTTTGTTCAAAAAGGTATTATACAAAATAAATTTCTTAACAGTAAAAGATAAAAAAATTATAAGGTTAGTTAACAAAATAAAAGTTTT